GTTCACACAAGCGGCCGTGCTGGCGGCGCGGGTCAGGCGCGCGCTCTTCGAGCTCAGTTGACGCCACATATCGATCGCAAAGTGTGGCGGAGGTTTAGTAGACGTGCGGCGCGCCAAGTTTCATTGGCCAAAATCATGCAAATTTCCCATCGACCGGATGCAAGTGGCACCGTATCCGGACAAGCCCACGGACCGCGGTGATGATGGATTGGGCGATGCTTGCCTCCGACGCTGGCCGCAACGCACTCGCGCACGTGGCACGACCGACGCCACCTACGGGACGGGCGCCATGGCTAGCCACAGGGTGGAGCTGCCTGTTGCCGAGCCATGCTGATGGGAAGACGCGCGGATGCCAGGTCGCATGGCTGGCCGGCTGGCCCCGCTGCATAAACGCGGCCAGCTCTGCAGTCGCCAAGCTCAGTCGCCATGCACTTGCGTACCGGTGCGAGCAGGCGTGGGTCAAGGACATTGTAGCGAGCGCATGCAAACGGCCTTGCCATCGTCGGATGGAAGGGCACGATGTGGTGGAGCTACCCAATGCGACCGACCTCATTGCCTCGTGCCACCACGCGCTTCGAGACCACGTGACGCATGCCATGTATGCCTGCCATCGACTCGGTGGCTGCGCGGCTGCATGCACCCGACTTGAAGCGGCGGTGTGGCGCGAGAGTGCCGGCACCACGTAGTAGGCGTCGCGGCAGACGAACGTCGCGCAGTCGCTCCACCGGACACGGAACGTCTGCTTGTCGCCAAAGAGTCCAAGCCCGCGGTGGCGCTGAAGAATGCATTCCATGCACTCGGCAAACACGGCACGACGCTGTCGACAGCAAGCGCAGCGGGACAGCACGAGGCCGAACGAACTATTACCCTCCACCCGACACGCAAGCCTTCACCGACATCTATCGCGCATGGCTGCACAGCGTACCATTCCTTTTTGGGGGTACAAGGGCTCGGCAATGCATTCTACAGCATGACCCAGGACTTGCTACACGCCATGAGCGCGACCTGGCATGGATTGCGCTCCTGAAGCACCCTTCTCGCGCAGGTGTCGCCTGTCACCAAGCGCATACGTACGACGCTGCTTGGGCTCGCGGCTAATAGAGGCGTGCATGGGCGACAGGCCCTTGGGCGAGGCTGGGCGGCGGCCCCGTCTTCTGGTCCCCGTCCGTGCGCGCAATGCCTGTCTGCTCCAAAATGATGATGCAATCCGGAGGCGTCGCATACAATGTTTTTCCTGGATTTTATTCCACATACAAATATCAAGTAGACATCATTGGTTTTATATTATGAAACGCTCGGCCGGTCCTCTGTTGCTGGCGGCAGAGTCCCATTTCTCTACTACCGGTAGTAGCAGCCAGCACCATGCTCTCGTTCGTCGCCCGGCAGTACAACTGGTACAAGCTCGAGTTCGGCCTGACGCTGCTCTCGCAGTGGGAAGTCCTCGCCTTCAGTACGTGCGTCTTCCATCCTGGCCTCGTCACGAACCCTTGGATTAGACTCGGTGGTCCTCCTCGTGCTCAGCGCCCTCGTCTACTACAGCGCGCAGGCCGTCGGCGCGATCCTGTAATTCCTCAATTTAATACGACGCCCATGGCTACCTACCAATGGCACGCAGACAATGGGCGTAACAGGGCTGGCGGCGGTCGTCCGTGGCCAGGCCTAGGACGAGAGCGCTCCGCGCATGCGTCAGCCACCATCGTCGACGCTGCGGCCCGAGACGATGAGGATGATGGTGCTGATGTAGCCATCTTCGTGTTGTAGCAGGCATGCTTGTGATATCGTACAATATTGATAAGCAAGTGCCACAAGGCACCGAGGGAAACCGAGCACGCTATGCCAAGCGTGTCCTGCGCTCGGATGCAAGACACGCGGCTTGGTCGGCTGTCTTACTGCGGACAAGACCACGGTCCGCTGGCGATGAGCTACGACCAGTTCAAACAAACCGAGAAGCTCACCATCCGCCACCATCAACCGTTAACCGCTGCCAGATTTAGCCTCACACGCATTTCGTAATAGACTATCCTGGAGCGCAGGACAACGGACAGAGTATGAGCGACGAGATGATGGACTGCGACGACTTTGAGAGTACACCACCGCTTTAGCTTTCATCTTTGACCTTGTCGATTCAATATCCCTGTTTGGTGGTAGAGACGGTCAAGGTCATCGTGCTTGGCAACGGCAATGTGGGCAAGACGAGCTTGACAACGCAGTACGCCAAAGGCCGCTTCACGAGCACGTACAAGAAGACGATTGGCGTCGACTTTATGGAGCGCACGGTCAACATCGACGGCGACGACGTGCAGCTCATGATCTGGGACACGGCCGGCCAAGAAGAGTTTGATGCGCTCACGTCGCGCTACTACAAGGGCGCGGGCGCTGCCGTGTACGTCTTCTCGACGACGGACCGCGCGTCGTTCGACGCGCTGCCCTCGTGGCAGCAAAAGGTCTTTGACGAGTGCGGTCGGTCGCTCACGCAAGTGCTCGTTCAAACAAAATCGACCTCATCGAGAACGCCGCCATGACTACGTCCGCCTCCTTATCCATTCTCTCATGCATCTGCCCGATCAGCTCATAGTACAAGTCCTGTAGAGACGAAGTCGACGCCATGAAGGAGCGGCTCCGCGTTCGGCTCTTCCGGACGTGCGTCCAGGAAAACCTCAATGTCGACACCATCTTTGAACACATTGTGAAGCGGTACCTCCGGAAAGGCCAGGACGACGTCGCGCCCGTCGCCGACATTACGACGCTGACGTCCGAGGTGCAGCAGTCGTCCAAGAAGAGCATCGCGCTGCAAGAAGCCAAGACAAAGGAAACCAATAGCGTGAAAGCACGACACTTGACGGCGACAACCCCGAAGAAGAAAGCAAGTGAGAAGAAGCTGCCGATGGAAGAGGCCGAGTTCGACAGCATCATGGCACCCGACCGCGCCGCATCGGAGGCCAGCGACGACGACGACAACGATGCGTTGCCAGAGGCACCGGCCAAGGCGACAAGCAACGACGCCCCACCACGGCCACTCGCGCCGTCCAAGCAGCGAACCAACGGCAAGAAGACGCGTGCCAACTGCGTCGTGTCGTAAATAAATGATCATACGAACACCCTAGCCAAAACCAAGGCCCTAGCGAAAATCTTGGTCCTCATCACTGCCGTCGCCACTGGCATCGCACCGCTTCACTGTGACCGTTGGCCGCATATCGTGGTGGGGCACTGGGTGAACCATGCCCAAGTCAACGCCACTAGGCCGGGTGTGTCGTTGCATGATTCGTCTGACGGGAGAAGTCCGTTGATATGGGACTGTACAACCTTTGGCAGCAGTCCGTCGACGTTTAGCTAAGCTGCCATTTTCCGTGCTGCTCTGCAGGACACTAGCCGGTGTGTAAGGCGTTCGGTCTCCCCCTGTCTAATGTTCACATTTTCGTTTTGAAGCACACTGTCTGAATGTGACCGCTTCTGCCAACGAGTTGGTTGAAGTGGGTCGATCTCCGAATGAATCTCAAAGAGCACTGCGCAGTACCAGAAATGGACCCACGTCACAGTCAACCAACTCTCTATGCACGCATGACCATATACCTAGTGTGCTTATGCGACGACCCTTATGACTCTAGCATCGAGCGTTTAGTGCGCCGTCGTCGCAGGCACGGCGACCAAGCCAGGATAAGGTCTTGACTCTGGAAATCATATTGGGAAGCATGAGCAGGTTTGTGCACAGAACTCGTCGTGTCCTCCATGGCGGCTAAATTTAGTTGACCATGAGCGACGACCCTGACGACTTTCGCGCGAGCAACTCGACGGTGCTCATCCCGCTCGCCTACATTGAGATCAGCGACGACGTCGATGCATACGTGGCCTTGCAGCGCATGCGCGATGCGAAAGCGATGGCGCAAGAGGCGCGGAGCATGGCGTGGGAAGATTTCTTCGCCAAGCGCTGGAACGACGACGAGCGCGCGGTGGCCAAGAAGGCGGCGGCAAACCTCGCGCGCCAGATCGACGTGCTCTCCAAGGTACGGCTACGTGTTTCGTATGGTGATGGATCTTCCCATTTGTCTCGCAGCACCAAGCCGCATCGAGCAACTTCGAGCTATGGAACGTGGCGCTCGACTCCAAGTACTACGAGTACGTTCGGTACGCGCTCCGCGACGGCGCCGAGATTCCGCGCAGCATGCTCTTGACCAACATCAGCAACGACGGCGTAACACCGCTCGTCAAGGCGTGCATGCTGACCGACCTGACGCTGCTGCGCATTTTGCTCGAGGCTGGCGCCGACGCGACGGCCAAATACCCCAAGAGCACCAACCCGTACATGCAGGTAATCAATCCCATAATCAGTTGGTCGCATCACGGTGACGATGTACGATCTAGTCCATGTACCGCGCGGCCCTCAAGAACGTGCAGGTCTTTGACCTCTTGGTCGCGCACGGCGCGTCGACGCTCGAATCCGAGCTGCAGTACGTCGATGGCGACGGCAAGTCGCTCCTGCACTTGGCGGCGGAAGGCGGCCACGTCGACGTCCTGCGTCGGCTTCTCGAACACGACCTCACGCGCCACTTTGCACAGACACTGACGTCGCGCGGGTACGTACTTGGATCCGTTTCAATGCGTTTGGACGACTTGGTGGATGTGTCTCATGTCGTGTGTTTGGGTGGTGCTAGGCAGACGCCGCTCCACTTGGCGGTTCTAGGAAGCTACACGCGCTGTGTGCGCGTCTTGCTCCAAGCAATGCCACCCGAGAGCATCACGATGGTCGACGTGGACGGCCACAACGCCTTGCACCTTGCGCTTAAGCTCGAGAGCACCTTTTTCCATCTCGAGACGCTCATCGACACCTTCGTCACTGCGTACGTCGTCGTTACGACCAAGAATATGCAGACTACCATATTATAGCGGACCGCCGAGCTTGTTTGAGGCTTTGGACGCGAATGGCTGCACGGTGCTCCACCTCGCGATGGGCCAGAACCTCGAGAAGATTGCGCTACAGCTCATGCGATTTGGAAAGACACCGCTGAATGTGTGCAACAAAAGCGGTTTGACGGTGCTGCACATTGCCGTCGGGCTCCGGAACCACCGCCTCATTCGAGCGCTCATCGACTGCAACGTCATGGTCGATGTGGTCGACGACCTCGGGCAAACGCCGCTGCTCATGGCGTCGCTGCTCGCCGACACGGTATCCCAGCATCTCCATTTTCAGTTTCCTCAAGAGCGATGTAGGAGACCATCAAACTGCTCGTGGCGGCTGGCGCCGATCCTGCGTGTCAGAACCGCGAGGGCCATACATCGTTGCACTACCTGGCGACATACTGCCGAGATGAAGTGCCCATGCGTCTCTTGATCAAGAAGGGCGCCAGCGTGAACGCGCGGTCGGGCAAAGGCAACATTCCATTGCACTTGGCTGCCATGAAAGGCAACGAGGTATTTCTTTTTTTTATTTTATGTGTGCTTTTTTTGCAGTTGTCGTGGGTTTATAGACCAACGGGTCAATTCGATGTGCGCTAGATTGCAGCGCGCGTCTTGCTCGAGTACGGCGCCGACCTCTCGCTTGTGAACGAAGACAAGCGCAACGCGGTGTTTCTGGCTCGGCAATGGGGGTACCACCTGTCACGGGACATGTCATATATTATTGTCATGTCTTCTGTAGACACTTGGCCCTCGAAGCCTATTTTAACGACTTGCTCAAGGAAGAAGAACCGATGCCGACACCGCCGATTTCAATCGAGATAGCGTCGTCGATTGCGGCCAAGCTGCTTCGCCGCTCCAAGGAAGCCAAGGCCCATGTGCACATGAAACACAAGACCAAGTCGCCAAAGCGATCACCGAAGGGCAAGGCGCACCACGGCCGGCTGCCGTTGCCGCCACTCTCGCTCGACGAGCCGTCGTCGAGCCGCTCCTCGAATGCGTTTGCCGAACCCGCGACCGAGCTGACGAACGATCTCATGCTGGAAACCATGATCGAGACGGACTGGGAGCACATGTCAATGAGTGGCGACTCGACCTTGTCCGAGCCAATCGAGGCGCCGGTGCCACGCAAGGTGTGTCTTACGCCGTTTGTGAGGCGGCAGCTCGAGGCTGCAAGTGACATTCGACCGCTTCGGAGCGATGTGCAAGAGCTATTGCGGCACAACCAGCCGCTCGCGCCTCTGCGCGAGCACATTCGCACAAAAAGCACGCTCCAAGCCCCCGGAGGCGTGCACATTCCGTGGCACTTGACCGTGCCAACGGGCGGCGTCTCGCTCGAGCGCAAGTTCAAACCGTCGACAAAGCACCAAGTGCACCCGCACTACCAGGCGCCGCGCAGCATCCACGACGTGCGTGCCGAGATTGCCAACGCACGGACCTTCTTTTGGCAAGAGAGCGCGGTGAAGCGGCGGTCCCGGCACGATCTACACCCGCTCTCGCGATGACGAGGCGAGCAGATCATCGATAAAAGGATGATTGCAGGCGCCTCAGGCCATCACGAGGAGGTATTATAACGTCGCGCGATGTGTTGGCTCGTCATCTTCCTCTGCGCTTGCGGGTTCTTCGAGTCCGGCCACGCTGTCTAAAGCTCATTCAAGCGTCATGATCGGGAGCATGTTGCATGCCCTAGCGACCACTTCACGTTTTCGATGATGGCCAATGCTACTCACTCTCTGCAGTACTACGATTGTTACTACCATCTACGATCTACTCGGCACTGTTCGGTGGCGTCGCAAACAGCTGCACAACGCCGTGCTGGGCTGCTGTCGCGACGACATCGAGCTTCGTCTGCATCGTCTTGTCCCAGAGGAGTGACGAACGCGGGTCGCCGCGGGACGTGCGAATGGCGTGGAGCTCTTTGAGCTCGCTCGTTGGAGGTGTTGTGAGCACGAGCAGCATCGACGCCGGCGGCAGGGCCGCGTGGATCGACGCGACGGCAGCGGCAGCATCGAACTCTGTCGGCAGTGCGGCGCGGGCCCATGTAAAGTGGGGCGGGCATCCTGTCGTGAGCTGTTGCTTGACAATATGAACCACCTTGTCGAGCGTCGGGCACGGAATCGCGCCGGCCGTGCTCCCGGCCAGGGACCGGCACGCGCTCGCCGAGTCGACAATCAATGCCGACTTTTTGAGTTTCGCGAGCTCGTTCACGAGCTTACGCGACGCGTGTTGCTTGGCCTGCGTGCCTGGAAAGCTCGGTCCTTTGGCGATTTTGAGCTAATGTGTGTCGTTTGAGCTTTCAAATGTGGCGCAACGGCGGTGGCACCTGGGCGAGCTTCATTGTGCACGTCGCGTCTTCAATACTGCAGTGCCCCGACGCATCGTTTTGGATCTGGAGCTTGAGGTACGTGGCCGTCAAGAAGCGCAGTGCCGACCTACAGAAATATGAGAAAATCCATAAAGCTGTCGCGTTGGCGGGACCGGAACGGCGGGCCCTTGGGGTGCGGGTACAAGAGCGACGTATCCAGAACGCGGCGGTGCAGCAAGCGCAGCGCCAAGAGGTCGTTCTCGATCGAGTGGCCGACGAGGATCGTGTCTGACGTGACGAGGTCGAGGACTTTGGCTTGAATCTAGCATTTCGTACGCCGATATCAGAAGTCGATAGCATCATGGGACCAGCGCCAGTACATCGGTTAGTGTGTTGGTGCAGCCTTCCAATGTCTCTTTTGTAATGCCCGAAAACTGGGTGCAATAGTCGACAATCCGACACTCGGGTAAGACAAATTCGTCCAAGAGCACCTACGCCACTTCCATGCCGCCTTCTGTACCGGATATTTGGCGAAATGAGCACCTTGTAGTCTTCGTCGACGATCGAGATGCGCGTGAGCTCGACGCCCCGCGTCGTCTTGCACATTTCGCAGTCGAGCGCGAGCATTCGATGGGAGGAGGGTGCGCTCGACGGCGCGGTCGCGACAAACGCGGTACCGTCGTCCGCAACCTTGGTCTCGAACGGCAGTGCCCGAAAGTACTCGGCGATTTCGCTGTCCGACGCCACGTAGAACGATGGGCCCATCTCTTCCTGGGCCTTCTTGAGCTTCTTGATCTTCTTCTTGACAAGCTTTTTCTGCATCTTCTTCGCAGCTTCCTGGTCAACCTTGGTCGTCGGTGTGTACAGCAGCGTCGCGTCGACCTTGGGGATCGCGTCGCCGTCGGCGAGGCGCACGCTAAACTGAAGGCCATCGACAGGCGCTGCGGCGACCGTGCTGGGCGAAGCGTCCGTGAGCACGAGCATGACGAGGTACTGCATCGCGTCAATGTTGCTGTCGAGGAAGAGGTCGAGGACCATGTCCCGGACGATGCCCAGCGATGGCTTGTCGGCGCCATCGGTGACCAAGACCTCGAACGGCTCGAGGAGACTCGGGCTCGAACTGGTTGCCTTGCGCTTGGTCATGGTGCTGAAAATGCGGATTTGCATTTGATTGGTGCATCCGGTCGGGCACGCTCGCTTTTGATTGGTGCATCGGCGTCGGCACGCAGGCCAATCAACGCAATCAGGGCGCCTGGGTTTGTTCTGTTGGAGGTTGTACATAATTGTCTGCGATGCACCAGCCATATATTGAGAGCATCCGAACAATATCGTCAGCGATGAACACACATGAGGCGATGGAAGAGGACTGCTAACAGTTATTAATAATAACGTTAAGTTCATCTTGACCAACAGAATACGAGCCCTGATATCCACTTTCAACTCCATGTTGAAAATTGCCGTCTTCCATGCACAACTTGTCACCTAGAATGGACAAGTTGTCCGCTACATTCGATGCTAGCTGTGGCAGAAAACGACTCAAGACGCGACAAACTCGATTTCTGCCGCCTATCGCGGCGGCTCTCTGAGCTTGGAGCTAAAGCCTTGAGGTGGTCGCAAGCGCGGTGGGCTCTTGCCACCACTGGTCGCCGCTTTGGCTTTTTTGTAGTAGAGTCCTTGGACGGGCTTGACGCCGCGCAGTTGCGGCAGTCGGGTCTTGGTTGGGCTTGGCTGCACGAGCTTAGGTGACGGCGCCATTGGGGCTCGCTGTGTCGGCGACGGAGCGACCGGCTTGTGCAACTGCCGAGGTGACGGTGGCGACGGCTTGACGACGGCAGTCGTGTGGTGCTGGGGCGACCGAAGCGGCAGCTTGGCGTTCGATTTCGGCGGGGACGGACCACGAGCTTTTGGTGGCGACGGACCACGAGCTTTTGGCGGCGACGAAAGGTAAAGTTTCGGCGGGGATGGGGGACCAGGCTTCAGTGGCGACGGGTGCCGGTGCTGCTTGGCAACAAGATGCTTTGGCGACGGAGGCAACGGCTTGAGCGCGCCGGGCGAGCTCGCGCTGGGCGGTATCGGGGCTACCTTGGTCACCTGTCGCTTTCGAAGCGGGCTCGCGTCTAGCGTATATTGCAGGCGGTCGTTTTGGTCGTAGACCTTGCCGAGCGCAGCGTTGTGCTTTTCAATGACGTGCTGCAGCGTGTGCATGGACGCCGTGAGGTCGGCGAGGTGCGCATCGTGCTCCGAGAGTCGTCGCGCGAGCTAGAGCCATCGTTTCAGGGTGCCAGCTCAGGCCCCAAAGCGACGTACCTCAATATTGACCGAGTTGGCAATCAACGTTGCGAGCTGCGAGATCTGCGTCACATCGGTTGCGAAGAGTGGCACCAGCACCGGAAGCTCCGACGACGAAGGATTCCGCGATGCGTACAAGAGGCTGTGCGAGCTGGCACTGGATGTGAGACTGTCATTTTGCGGTCGGATGACCCGCGCCTTGGCGTGGGCCGGCGGCTTTGCCCGTCGTCGCGTCCGGAGCTCGTTGGCCGTGGCCTTGGCCTCTTTGCACGCCAAGTAGTCGCGTGTCGCGCGTTGAATACGGTTGGCGGCCGTCACGTGTACTTTAGAGTGGTACCGGCGCGGCTTGGCGCTGCTCTGTAGCTTCTTGGCCTGGGCCTGTTGCCACTTGGCGTGCGACTGCTGTGCCCGGCGCCTAAAGACGCGGTGGCGTAGCGATCGCTGCAAAATGCGTGCCGCAGCCTCTTGTTGTGCTTCGCGCTGTCGCGCTTGCTCTTCGAAATACGCCTCTTGTTGGCGTTGAAGCGCCGCTTGCTTGTGCTGCTTGTCTCGCACGTGTGCTGCGTGGCGCTGCCGAAACGTATGATGGCGCAGTGACCGCTGGATTGTGCACGCGGCATGCGCTTCTTGCGTGCTCTGCAGCTCCATGTGCATTTGGGCGTGCAGTGATGCTTCAATGGCTTTCGCGGCCTGTTCTTCGTCGAGCTGACGCTGGAGCGCCTTCCGTCGGGCCTCGAGCTCCAGCTCCATGTCTCGCTCGGCCTACGACAGTTGCAGTGGTATTGTACAAGGGGGTTGCCATGGCCAACCTGCAGGCGCGCTTGCTCGGCGCGCTCGCTTGCCCGCTTGGCCTTTTCCAGAGCTCGTTTGAGCTGCAGTACCGACTGACGCTTGGCGCCGAGCACACTTCCATCGTCTTCGTTGTCGTCCACCATAGCGTCACCACTCCTCTCTGCGACTGTTGGTAGATCCATGGAGGTGGGCTGTCGATGGAGCGCGTCGGCGTCCCTGTCCGTGGTCGCAGTCGTGCCATCGTGGACAGGGTTGTCGCTTGGCTCGCCTGCGACCACTGTTGACGCGTCAAGCATGATCGCACCGTCGTCGGCTTCGGAGGCAATGACGACGTTCGTTTCCGGCGCGATGTCATTGGTTTCTGTTCCGTCGAGTGCGCCAACGACGGCGGTTGCAGTCGCGTGAAAGAGACCTTCCGTGTCGTAATAGCCGCCGTCGACAATGTAGTTGCCGTACTCGTCGTAGTAGCCAGCCGCGGCGCCACTGACCGCGTCGTCCTTGGTTGTTTCTGTGGTTGACGCCGGCGTCGACGACGGGAAAAATGTGCCTTGCGTGTCGTAGTACCCCACTGCCGTGATGTAAAAGCCTCTGGCGTCGTAGTATCCATCCGACGCCGATGCCTCGCTCGCGACAACAGCCGGCGGCTCGTCGAGCGCCGGCTCGTCCACCGGCTTGGCGACCTCTTTCAGTCGCCGGTTGCGCATATAGTATGGGTCTTCTTCGTCGTCTGCTTTGTCTTCGAGTACGGGCGGCGATGTCTCGTCGCTGCTTTTGTTGTTGCTGCTTTTGCTTTTGCTGTTGCTGCTGCCGTTGGTAGTCTCAATGGGCGCCACATAGTTGGCTGGAAAGAGGCCTTCGACGCTGGGGCTTCCGGCCACGTACCCAAGGCACCACCCATCGTCTTGCTCTTTGGTCACAACGACAATATCGCCTGCGTGCAATTCGAGCTCGTCCGCCTCTACGAGAGTTGAAGCCTTTCACGAGTGGTGGGCTGAGGCGGGCATTTACTACCTTGGGGTGTGTAGTCGTGCAGTGCACGGACGCGGTCCAGTACGTCGGCCTGGTTGCTTCGGAACGGCGGCAGGTGCGAGTTGAGCTTGGCGTGCTCGATCTTGCGCACATAGTTGGACGGGAAAAGGCCGACGTCGTCGGGCGCGCCATCGATGTAACCCTGGCACCAGCCGTCGTCGAGGTACGCGAGCACTTGGAGCGTGTCGCCGGCGCGCAGCTCGAGCTCGTCCGGCTCTGCATGATGTATATGATGCACTAAGCACGTAGATATGATCACGAACCCGTGGGGACATAGTCGTAGAGGACGCTGACGGGCGTCGATCCCGCCATAGCATCAACTGTAATCTGGGGGTTTCACGCGCGTGTGAAACGAAGTGCCTGCCATGTGTGAAATTGTGACATTGTGAAAAATAGAAAAGCAGCAGCGCTGCCACCTGCACTAAAATTGACCTTGGGAGAAATGTTGGGGAAGACCCTACAGTATTGGATGTTCCATACATCCGTAACAAAAGGATGCAGCACAAACAAGCGAATTGGCTTCGACAGTGTTGGCGATGACAGTCTTTGGACAAGGCAACGCGATGGACCTGACTGACGCTCAGGCGGTCCCCTTGGCTTGGTCGCCCGAGGCGACCTGTGGAGGCTCTGAAGAAGTAGCTTGCAGCTCCTCGCGGATACCGGTCCAGTTCGACGCGGACATTCGTCTGCTGAGACGAAGCGATCACCTGCTGCCATGCCACATCACCACATCACATCGTGACCAGCATCGTGACCTTGTGTGGGAGGATGTGCCATCAAATAGTGTAGAGAGAGCAGGACATCATCTCGTCAGTGGTCAGTGCTGTTGGGGACAGAGCGCATTCTTTTAAAGGACTGTGAATGAGGCAAGCTCGCGTGGCGCACTTGCAAGGCGTGCACGTTTTGTTCGAGTACAATTGTAGCAATGGCGAAGGTCGGCGGTAACACTATTTCATGCATGCCGAGCTGGTGGACCACTCGGTATATTTCTCCCGGTATTTCTCACAGGTTCGAAATGGTGTGAAATAATAATAATCCGCAGCCATACAAAGACCAAGTACAATCAATACAACACACCACACCGCGTTACGCTAGGATCGGGAAAAATACGTTGAACCCGCATTCTTGGGCTGGACCGCTCGCCGTCGCCTGCTGCCACCTCGCCGCCATGGGATGCCACAGCTCCAAGCCTGACAGCGTGGGCACGCCAGGCCTGCACCACATGCGGGCGCCCATGGCCGACGACCACCTGCCCGACGACCTCGCGTCCGAGCTCGTCCAGCACACGGTCGTGATCGACATCAACGACATCTTCGAGTTCCACGAGGAGCTCGGGAAAGGCTCGTTTGGCCGCGTCGTCCGCGCCACGAACAGAAAGAGCGGCAAGGTCTGGGCGGTCAAGATCGTCGACCTCGGCAACGCGCTCGACAAGGTAATCGACGCACGACTGGATTCGCTGGAGGGCCAACGCTATGCGTATAGAGCTCGCTGCTCAACGAGATTAGCATCGTCAAGCGACTCCAGCACCCGAACATTGTGCGCATGATTGCCTCGTACGAAGACGCCAAGCACATGTACATGGTCATGCAGCTGCTTCCTGGCCACGAGCTCTTTGACCACTTGTACAAGTCGGACAAGACGTTTTCAGAAGCCGACGTGCGCAAACTCGTTCTGTGCTTGCTACGCGCCGTGGCCTACTTGCATTCAAACCAGATCACGGTACGACCACTCGTCTCGATGTAGGTCATCGCACGCGTCGCGTACTAGCACCGTGACCTCAAGCTCGAGAATCTGCTCTTGGAAAACGAGCTCCAAATGACGTCGCTCAAGCTCTGCGACTTTGGTTTGAGCAAATTCATGCAAAAGGCGAGCGGCTTCAAAAGTCTCTGGGCACGATTGGTACAAAGTTTCGCGCGCGGTGAGGTTTGAACTCACGCCACTGCGCAGATTATGTCGCGCCCGAAGTGCTCGACGGCGACTACAACGAAAAGTGCGATCTCTGGAGCATCGGCGTGCTCTGCTACGAGCTCCTTACGCACAAGTCGCCGTTCCATGGCGCGACGACGGACGAGACGATGGGCAAGATCTTTGATGGCATCCAGCCCAGCTTCTTCCAAGGCGATGCCTGGAAAGCCATTTCGCCCGACTGCATCAACTTTATCAAATCGCTCATGCAAGACGACCCGGACGGTACCTCCTGCTGGATGACCCAAACGCCGTCATGGAATGGGCGGCGTAGAGCGGCTCTCGGCCGAGCAAGCGCTCAACCACCGCTGGATGCGCACGTCGGCGTCCGGTGTCATCGATGAAAACAAGCGCCAGCTCTTTATGAAGATGGTCAGCTTTGGAAAAGGTCAAAACAAGCTCAAGAAGACGGCGATGCTCTCGATGGCGATGGGGGTCGGCGAAGCCCACTGCAAGCCGGAAATCGTCGCCGAGGTCTTTCACAGCATGGATCTCGATAAGAACGGGACGCTGAATGCGACCGAGTTTTGCAAGGCGCTTGAAGACTATGGGCTTGGCCACGATGAAGCCATGGACGCCTTTGCGCGCATGGACCAGGTACACATATACATTTGTTCCACCGGTCAATATTTATATGATGGAATGTCGCAGAGCAAGCGCGGCAAGATCAACTACATTGAGTTTGTCGCTGCGGTCCTCGACGAGTTTGGCGAAGAGACGATGAAGGAAGCGTTTTCAATGCTGGACGCAGAGAAGACGGGGCGCATCTCGGTCGTCGGCCTCCAAAGCGTCTTTAAAAACATCCAGGCGTGCGACCTCCAGGAAATGGTCCAGAGCGCCGATATCAAGGGCGACGGGACAGTCGACTATGAAGAGTTCAAGATGATGTTCCAGTCGACGCCCGCCAGGCTGGACCAAGCATCGCCGCCGTTGTTATCGCCGAGCGAACTGCGTCTCGACGAGGCGAGCAACTGTTTCCGGTCGTCCCGCACGAGGATGTCTCGCCGACCGAGGTGAAAGACGTTAAAGTTTGCCTCTAACCCATAGTTGCACTCTCTTTTCGACTTTACACCAGAGGCCAGCTTTGATGTGTGGCATCCTCTATTTTTCACTCATGTGTGAAAGCGTGTGCAATAGTGCTGACATTACATTGTACTATGATCAACGTTTCTTACGTGTAACATTACACGTGTGAAAAGGTGTAAAAGAGTGGTAAATCACAGCATACAAAAACCAAGATAATCCCCGGCGATAACATCAATGGATACAGACCCAAACCCTACAAAAGCGGCCGCCGTGAAATGGCCGAGTGGTTAAATCTTCACGTTTCGGCGGGAAAGGTCCAGGGATCGATCCTCCAAAAGGGACTGAAGACCGGTAGCGGCCTCCTTAGCGACGTGTTAGCTGTAAGCCACTTTTTTCTTTTGCAAAAATAAGGACAAATCGCATGTACAAACTGCTGATATATACTAGCATTGGAAATGATGATGAACAAGGGGTCCGTATATATTCTGAAAAATACTGGTGAATAAATTAATTCCTTCCCATCAAAAGCAACTAAATAATGACAAATCGCATGTACAGACTGCTGGTATAAACTAGCATCGGAAACATAGTGTCATAATACATTTGTAATAGTTTAGCATTATTAATAGGAGATATCTGCAAGTAAAAAAAGTACCCTCCCTCTCTCGGTAGTCTGCACGCCACCACCGTGAGATGCGAGATGCGTTGCAGCAGGAAACGAGTTGGGTAAGAGAGGTCGTAGGCGAATGCAGACATTGCTCCAGGCGAGGTAAAGACAGCACACAGACGTTGCAGCGCAAATAGTGCGCGGGCAGGTGGAAAGCCCGAATGTACGAATCTGATGGTAGAAAATGTACTCACAATGCCCCCGGTACGGCACTAGTACAGTACATTCATCGACCATCTGCAAAAGTTTACTGATGGTATCTTCGAAAAAGCGAGCGATATAGTCAAATAAGTTAGCACATGTCAAATGAAATAGCAGTATGGCTGTGAACTTCCAGAGTTGTAAGCGCTAGCCGAAGAGGACAAGCAATGAGTTCCATCGCTAGGGGATGACACGACTGGTATCATCAGGTCTGATAATGTATGCATCGGTTCTTTGATACCCACGTACAATCTGCTGATGGAATATTCTCGAATATTCTAGATAGCGGGAATCCGGAAGTCGCCTCAAGGACATTCGTGGTGATGATGGCGGGGCAAAAGGCGATCGCCTCGTGCTTCCCACTCCTAGATAAGCTATGTACTGAGCCCTTTATTGTCTACGTACTGCATGTGAACTGACTTTTCCATGTCATGTTCAACCATTGCAAATAGCTACGCTCGTGCTTTGGGTCGGTTGGGGGGTCGAGACGACGAGCGCGTACTCATTAGTCCACGCCCGCGTGCGCACTACGTGCGTCGAGTGCATCGCGTTTTCCACGGGCCTCTGAAGGACGAGGCATAGAGCCAGCCGTCGTTGTCGCCTTGGCGCACGTCAAACTGCCACGCCCCTTTCGTCTGGAACGCGCTCGGAATCGGCGGAATCGCGTCCTTGAAGAGCACCGCGCTGTGCTCGGGGCCGGTCCAGGGCAAGCGGTCGCCAAACTTGTGCGCTAAATTGTCCTTGGACCACTTGTTGCTGCCTGGTAGCCAGCGCTCGTTTTCCCACACGACAACCGGAAACGACGCGACCCAGCCTTCGAAACACAAACTCAGATGAATCTGCGCGCTCTAGAATTCAAGACGTTGAGACGAAAAACAGGTCTGATAAAATTGTACGCTGGGGGTGTCCTGGTGTGTCTGGAGCGGGTAGGCCTGGATCTTGGCGTCTTGGATCTGTGTGGCGCCCGTCCAGTCGGCGAGTGGAAACCGCGCAACGCCGAGCGCGTCTTCCACGCGCAGTGTGTCGAGGTCGTTGACGTACACCACGAGCTCCGGGTGCGCCGTGACGTCGTCGTCCGTGACGAGAAATTCGCACATTTGGTCCCGCCACACAGGGTGCAGCGTCTCGCGCACGAGCGGACTCTGCCACTGGTGCTGCCCGAGCGTGATGAGCACGTACGGATCGCTCGTGTTGAGGTCCGGGTCGGCGGCGGGGAGATTCGTGGCTTTTTCAAGCGCAACGCAGAGTCGGCGCGCGCCAGCGTGGCGAGGCACGCCCCGCAACACTCGACGATGCGGACCCGCCACCATTCGGAAGTTCGGTTGATGTGGTGGTTATGTGCCCAAATAAATACTGCCCGGTAACGCGGGCGGAGAAGCTGACGGTTGCACGGGATGGCCCAGTGGAGTGTCCCATGGCCGTTGAGGGCCTCGCATGAACGTTTGAGGTTTGAACGAATGGCATGCCGAGTACCCGAGCGATTTGCATCAACGTAGTTTCCTGTGCACACGAACTAGCGAAATTGCACCGACCGACCGAGTTCTAAACTGCATGCATGATCGTGCCAGAACATCACACAAAATAGTTCAGGGCAACTTATAAATAGATCGATGGCAATTGCCAATGACACAAATACGAGGTAGCGACGTTCACACGGGACGATATGAATTGAGAAACATGGTAATACGACGATGTTTACATGTGTTGTACTGGTAGTTGCGCATTTTAGCTAAATCCTAGCCCACCATGCAGTCCACTTATGAAAAACAAATGACCTGTATTCGATTGGTTAGCATTCTTTGCCGGTCGATGATGGTACACCAAAGTGGTAGGTCTTGAGCCACTCGCGACAGCGCATCACGCGGGACGTGCTCATCTCGGCGTGCCACGGTCCGTTGCACGACGTGCTGTAGCGCCAGCCGTCGCCGTCGGCACCCGAACCAAAAAGGCCCACGGGCCATCCTCATGGACAGATAGCGCGTCTGGAAGTGCCTCCTGGAATGTGCCGCCATGGCGCTGGTCGCTTTCAAACGGCGCGCGGTCGCCAAGCAGCGACGACAAGTGGTCGCTTGACCAATTGTCACTCGACGGTGCCCAGCGCTGGTGTTCGAATATATGGTACGTCACGGACGCAGTATGCTCGGCCACAGAGAGGTCTAGCACCACCTAGCACAAATAAGTATTGAGTACTGTGTACGAGTTTTGAGTTGCCAGATGTAAAACTGGCATCGCACCTCGTGTGGAGCGCTGGCCGCCTGCGGTGCACGACAGACAAACGACTGGCGCCGCGGTTGGTTGGTTGCAGCGAGCACCTCCTGTAGATCGATTTCACACTGTCCCAAGACGTGATCGATGCAGGTCGGACTGCGGCCGTATAGCGTAGCTGTGAGAAACAAGGCGCTTTCGTCGCTTGAAATCGGCAGCTCCAAGACTTGGTGCCACGCCGGCGAGGTGCTAACTCGGGCGACAGCGCTTCGACGATGCTCCTTCCCGAGAGTACAAACGAGGTACACCTCTCGCCATTTGGCGATGGCTGAAGGCGCGAGCGTGGCCTTTTCTGCTATGACGCGCAGCATGCGGGCGTGTGCTAGGACGTAGCGGTGAGCGGTCGTCCCTGGAGGTTGTCATACATTGCACCATGCTTGCGACCTGAGTGAAAAAAGTAAATACGAAAGAAACGAAGGTACACGACAGGTTTACTTCGAATGTGCCGTTCAACGCAGGCCGTCCAACGTCGGCGCGTGTTGATTAGGGCTAGGGTAAGTGCACATACTCATGTTCTTCATGGAAAGAACCATTGTTGATTGCGTTGCGTTGGGATTAGTGAAGGGCGGCGACTGCGTACTAATGACAGCGTTCCATTCACCAGCGTTCATCTCGAACGACGTCTGTTTTACGCTCAGAAGACGCGACGCTTGAGAATTTGTCCAAGCGTTCAATAGACAGTATCTTTATTAACCCTTCTCGCGCCAATCAACAAAACCGAGTGAGGCTACCAAAGCAATGCTAAATAAAAGCCATAGGTCTATTGAGTTTCGAACAAGAGCCAAATGGCAAGCACGGCCTTGATTGAACTAACGTTAGACGTCAACCACCAAAAGAATGGAATCGATTCCCATACATATCCCGCCTGCAGGAGTAGTCTTGCCTATTGCTACTGAAACGATATACGAAGATCGTTAGGCAAGAGCTGTTGGGTGGTGCAGACTGAACGCGAAAACGGATGGAGGAGAGTGCGGAGATTTATTTACAATCTCTCCCACTCGCGAAATATTTGGCGGACAACGAAAATCGACAATTTATAATAGAGACTGTGATTGATTGATGAACGTGTTTCGCGTTATCTTCGTGATATTGAATTAACCTCCAGATTTAATGCTTATTTCCTTGCATGTGCTTCAGCGCACGGGCTTCCTTCAGAGGGCGTAACCGTCAATCGTTGGTACTCGTATCATTTTAGTCGCGTTGGTTGGACGGAAATCGGAAAGTCAGTCGTCCATCAAAGTCTACTCGGCTTGAACTTCTTTATGTTCAGTGGGATTGGATTGTTGCGACATCACAATAGAAGCTTCAGTGCGAATCTTTCAGCTAACGTTAATATTTTTTCCCTTGGCTTGTCGGCACCTATCATTTCTTCATGGTGTGTACAAAACTCATGGTTCTCTCAAACCGTAATTACCTTAAAAAGTGCGTCTCACGTCGCCAAGGTAGACATCATAGTCGGTAACCCTGGGCGAAGATGGACAACTTGAATGTTGTAATTGACTTTTTTAATTGAGGTGTCATTTACAACACTCGTTTTAACCCAGCGCATTACATGATCAATCTGTTACCATCCTTGCTCCAGAGTACATACTAGTACTAGATAAGCGAATTCCAATGCCGTGTGAGCCAATTAGGACAATGACAGTTGCACAGCCACTGGCCGGAATGTGGCCGACGGCCACATTCCGACCCCCTGAGAGTGGACCAAGGCTAGGATTGTTTCGCCCATACATAGATTGCTATCATATTGTGCATGGAAGGGCCGAGTTGAGTCCATTTCACGCCATGCACGGAGCGTTGGCGAGCTCATCCTGGTCGTATCGGGCGCCAAGAAACAGCCCTGTCACCCAATATAAATTCGCGGTTGGCTGCTGAGCGCTTGACGCCACTGTGTACTTGCCTGCCAAGCGGCAAAAATACAAAAAACGCATACGCATACGGTAAAATGTTGCCGTCCATCCACTCATAATATGCGCACCGTATGGTGCGGTCAATCTCACGTCAGGAGGCTCCACGCCTGTACATGTACCTTCACGACCATGTGGTGCCCTGCTATCAGCCTTCGCCCTGCTATCAGTCTTCGCACTGATAGCAGACTACCGTAGCGACTTGATCGCCTAAAACTTAATTCATTTTTCATTTGTCAGCGATGAGGTCTATTCTCCTCTGCGCACTCTCCTTAGTTGTCGCACTCGTCGCGGCGCGGGACGGGTGCTACGGCACCAAGGACGTGTACGAGACGCTCGTGATTTCAAGCGGGTCGGGGTCGCCCGACTGCGTCACCAAGAGCAAGCTTCTCTTGGTGAACGGGTCGTTCACGGGCCCGACGCTGACCATGTACAAAGGCGACAAGCTCCACTTGACGATCGTCAACCAACTCGACTCGATGTTCTCGATGCACATCCACGGCGCGACCCAGTTTGGAACGCCCTTCTCGGACGGCGCCGCCGGCATCAACGCGATTCCGATGGGACCCCACTCGACCGTGACGCGTTCGACCATCATGTACGAGGCCGGCACGTTCTTTTACCACGCGCACCTCAAGCTCATGGACATGCACGTCTACGGCGCACTCATCGTCAAGGAGCATGGCGAGGAGTACGACGACCTCGTCGTCATGCTCTCCGACTATTGGCACGCCGACCTCGACGCGCTGCATTATGGTCTCCTCGAAGCGCCGGCCTTTCAATTCGTCGGTCTTCCTCAGTCGTTCTTGACCAATGGCCGTGGCAACGTGGGCAACTGCTCGGCGGGGGCCGACACGAGCTACACGACGCTGCGTGTCAAGCCTCGGACGACATACCGGCTGCGCATCATTGGCGGCACGTCGCTCTTTGGCGTGCATTTCCGCATCCCCCAGCACAAGCTCACGGTTGTCGAGATCGAAGGCACCAAGGTCGTGCCCAAAGCTGTCGACTACGTCGAGGTGCTGCCGGGTCAGCGCTACACGGCGCTCCTCAACACCGACCAGCCCATCGACAATTACTTTATGCAGATCGATGGCCGGTGGCGCGGCGGCGCCCCCGCAACGGCCTCTCGGTCCTCCAGTACGAAGGTGCTCCGAGCTCGGCGACACCACCGTCGACGCTGCTCCCGTATGTGACCGAGACGGTCAACTTTATGGAGCAGTTTGAACCGACGACCAACTTGAACATGCCGACGACGGCGGACCTCACGGTGCACCTCCAAGGCAAGCAGATTGCGTTTGGTGCAGATGGGAAGCAGCGCCGGTGGGCCATGAACAACATTACGTACGTCAAGCAAATGAAGACAAGCGTCCTTGAAGCTGTCATCGCCAACCAGCTCGGCGCGCTCCCCGACAACTCGCGGCCGTCGATAAGCATCAAGAAAGGCCAGGTCGTCGACGTCGTGCTGGAGAATGCGGTTGCGCTCAATGGTGTCTGCGAGATGCACCCGTGGCACCTCCACGGCCACAGCTTTTGGGTCGTCGGTGCCGGCGCCGGTGCGTACGATGCGGCTGCGCCCCTTTCTACGAAGCCTTTCAAGCGCGACGTCGTCGGTGTGTACCCGTACCACGCCGCGTACAACCAGCCGCTGGGCACCGCGGGCGCGCCGTGCGGCTGGACGCGCATTCGGTTCGTCGCTGACAACGTTGGCGTCTGGCCGCTCCACTGCCACGTGGCGTCGCATTTTGACATGGGCATGGCCACGGTATTTGTCGTTGGCGAAGACGACCTTCACAACCCCGAGATTGTCGCCGCACTACGTGCTGCGTCGGCATAAGCGTCGCCGCCACTCGCAATTTGCGAGTCGTATATTAATGAATAGCACCAGTCACGTTGATGAGCCTTCTTTTCTCGTGCAACTTCTTGACGTGGTGGTGTCGGATCATTCGGGTGCGTTGAAAGCAAGCCGAGACAGTAGCCGAGACAGGATGCAGTGATCGTGGAGACGGGGGCTGGGTTGATACATATTTTGTTGATACGAACCGCGTATCCGGCACACATAACCGGACACGCGATTGTCGTCGACCAGCATGTCAGTTGACCGTGCATTCTTGCAAGTCATGGCAAACATCTTGTCGCAGATCAGCTGCTGGTCGTCGCCGGTGCGCCGTCCATGGCCCGCGATCATGTTTTGGGAACAATCCTTGCGTGGACCCTTGACGAGTGTCCGCAATGGAGAGAAATTGAAGTGGTTGTTGGGACGTGATATCGATCGACACGTCGTTTCGAGAGGCACAAGAGCTCGGAGCGAAAAGGGCGCATTGGTGATGCTGTAGTACTGTCGCGAGGTATCTGAGCAGAAGCCTTGAGAGGGCGTTAGATGCGCCACCCCAAACAGATCGTTTCGTCATCTTGTAGCGCAATGCACTTCCCTTGCACGCAAGCTTCATAAAGCATTCTATGCTTGTCTATCGTACATGAAGCGTCGTCGAGTGGTAGCTTGTCGCAATTTTAATTCACGGTGCGTTTTACATGTACACCCTTACAATGTAGTAATACATGTACTTTAAGCAATTGTGGGAGGTGACAGAGGTTTGACCGGACGCAAGTGTGTTGAACACTAATATTTTAATGCGATACCAATGTGCCCACCCCTTACAGCCGTGGAACAATGAGGAATTAAATCCACGAGAGTGATTCCACGCGAATCTATTGAACAAAGAACGCGACGGTGTGTAGAATATCTCTATGGTCTATACAGTCTTGGTCAAAATAAAGGCGCACCCCTAAACAAAATATTTCCGGAAAAGGTAATCAGATTTCCGTACATTTAAACTCTTATATGTAATACCTCTGGAGGTGAATAATCCGGTCATCTGGCGCACCCGATAAGATCATGGGGTAAACGCTATGGACGCTATGGCCCCGGTTCTGTAATAAATTTATTGAGGGCAGGGTGGGAAGTTCCGGGCCCAATACGTCTGTACCCGCATGGTCGTTGTTTTGTTGCCACCATGAGACAGTACGACTTTTTTGCTACGGACGTGACCAGACGGCATTCACAACCGAAATTCAGCAGTTGTCAATTGGAACCATGGCGCTGCTGGCTCCCTTTTCGTGCGCCGAGCTCGCGTTTCTCGTCGATGTTCTCTCGGACGCCTCCGAGCTGCCTGTACTACCGACATCGTCGCCCGCAGTGCTTATGTGTCTAGAGCCGGTGTGTGAGACTCCCGTGCTCTGGCAGCGCGGGTATTGTGTGCTCCACGGCAACCGGCGCCGCTGCAACATGGCGGGCTGCGACCGCGGACCCCAAACGGGTGGCTACTGCATTCGCCACGGCGGAGGTCGACGGTGCCAACACGGTGACTGCAACAGGGCAGCTCAGACGATGGGCCTCTGTAAAGCGCATGGCGGCGGTACCCGATGCGCCTTTGTCGGCTGCACCAAGAGCTCCCAGAGCGGCGGCTACTGCCGGCGGCATGGCGGCGGCAAACAGTGCGCCGTACAAGGGTGTACACGCGGTGTCCAGAAGCGCCAACACTGCTTTCTCCACCGCAACTGCGTGGTCGAGAGCTCGGGTTCCACCCGTTCCAAGCAGAGAAACACAAAGTGTGCGCTAACGTGAGAGCATAATGTCGAAATGATTGTTGCGTGTTTTTATCCCGTAGGATTCCGCTGGACAGTTGGCTTGGACACAACGATGTTGAAAACAAAGCGAACACGAGTGTGCGATGACAATGAGCGGGCAATTACCGCTTTTCTCGCGGCTCTACTGGTGCAGTCTCACCAAACGAGCAAGAGCAAATCACAACCACTCTTATTTACATGTTAGAAAGAGCTCTTTTACCTTGAACGCAATACAGGACAAGCGGCCCATGGATCCAACGACCCGATGCTGCAGATGAAGCGAGAAGTGAGTCAACGCGGCACCCCTTCGCATAAATGACGGTAACACAAACTGCTTCCACGACCAAGAGCACCGAAAGACTTTATGATGCATAATGTATCTGAATATATGGACCGCTCGGTTGCACGACCCCCCACATGTGTAAGTATAGGTGGTGGCTCGAAATCGACGCAAAGTGCCGTCGAACAGTGCACGAGGAAAAAAGAAAGGAGGTCTGCCCATCACGACGCAGCACCACAAGCAGAGAAAACAAAAGATGAGCTTGGCCATTACCGGTACAATGTACACTATTAGCAAGGCCACATGGTCATACATATGGATATTTATGTCCTTGGTACAGTACTCTTGGTACTGTACTGGTATTATTAAGAAGTAGTATTAACCATGGTACCGGTAGTTGGTATCCCGCATTCCCTGCCGTTTTCAAAATTGCAACACCAGACGTTCTCGATTGGTCTTGTGCAGCTCTAGCGCGAAATGGCATCGACCTCTGTTATTGTATTTTGCTTTTACCCTTTGACGCCGGTGGTTTAATCTAAACAATTCGGCACTCTTCGGCTTGTTTCCATTTTTGGATGCAAACCGAAATAGAATGATGCCAAACCATCAAACCCACAAGAACAAGCCGCCGAAGTGTCATTCGAATGAGGTCACCCAAATCCAACAGAAATCACAATACAAGCAAGACCATAAATATCGCGTCAAGGCCATGTACTGTATAGTTTACTAGTATGGACTGTATTGCTACTAGTACAAGCCAACGATATCCGTAGTACGCTGTAGCAGTCAAGCACACCTGCGCCCCGACACAAGAGTGGGTTTTGATCCCCTCGCTTCAACGTTTCAAGACCATCAGTTTCGGCAGTGGACCATCTCGACGTCCGGTGCATTTCCATCCATGATTTCCATCACTGCCCCATTGCCTGAGGGACAGCATCTCCTCCACTGGTACGCCACCCAGTAAGACTCTACCCAGCTGGCATGTACTCCCACTACATAGGGTCCACCGCAATGCATTCTAGCCACCAACATGAAGCATTGATGTATTATTTCATCGTTCACTTCACTGCCGATATACTGTAATCATACCATTAGTTTCACAATTCCTAGGTTTCCTTCCAGCCCACATCGCAGGAACCTAGTTTTTCAGCGTGTTTCATTGCATTCAACTTGCAGTCCAAGGTGATAAGTGTTGAACGGTCCGCTAATAAAAAGCGCGGGAAATATTGATTTGGTGCTTTTGGTGCAGGGTTGGATTCGACCTCCCACATCTAATACCTTCAGCATATAATGCTGGCTCTTCTTTGCTGGATTTCAAAAGGGAAAGTCACCTGGGCCATTTCATGACGAGCGATGAGCCCGTTGGGTCACGTTGGGTTGGCATCCAGAGGTGGCAGAGACGACTGTTTGTTACAGGTTGTCCGGGCGCCACCCGTTCGTTCCGCAGCACCTGCACGAGTCTCGTCGTTGCACTATTATAGTCGAAGTGGCCGGGTGGAATTGATGAGGTCCCAACACAAAACACAACTCGCATTCGTTGTCAAGTTGTCCAACGTTCAAGTACGTTCCAAACTTGGACCTATTGGGGACTACAATTAGGTCTGCAATTAGGTAGTGGGTGAAATCCCGCACGCGCATTGGACTAGGATAACACTGCCTTTGGGCACCCCCAAGCATTTAGAAGTCCCCCATAGTCAAATCGATGCAATGATTGGCTGTACGTGTAACATGATATAACACTCAAAGCACACGTCTTTTCTGGCAAGTAGGATGAGAAGACATGCACAACACTTTGGGTCGCTTGACGGCGTTGGTTCTGGAGCTTGCCGTCAAACAACGTAGACATATGCCAGACGGACGGTAACCACTCAAATGGGCCTCTCGCCCGGTGAACCAGGTGTTATTGATGGAATTCTTATACACGCGTTTCTGTCGCCGTTTAACGCATGTGTTATACGTCTTTCCCAGGTGTTATACCGGTTTAACCCGACTGCCTCTGCAAACGCTCTATGCCCACTCGGACGGAAAAGGGGATTCAACAGGATTGAGAGCCGACACGTCGTGGCAGCCTCGACGACGCGAGCATGGACCGACGAGAGACGACCGTGCAAGCAAAAGAAGAAGGTGCCGACGACCCAGCGCAGCGCCTCAACAAGCGCAGGCGGCTCGGAGAACCGGACGCCGCCAACGGCACGAACGATCATGCTCAGACGATCGCGGCCTTGGAGGCGCAGCTGGCCGAGGCCAAGACGGCCGCCGACAGCACCGAAGCCCGCATTGTCGTGCTTACGAACAAGTGCGAGTTCCTCTCGTCGAAGAACGCCGAGCTCCGCGCCCGCCTCGGCAACGCGTCTGAAGGTACTGAGACCGCCGAGCCGAGCGCGACCGGCGCTAGGGGCGACAGTGGTGCAAGCCGCGTCGCCGCGCTCGAAACCAAGGTGACGGCGCTCGAGGCGCAGCTGCAGGCGGCCATCACGACGAGCAACGACTATGAAAAGCGGCACGCGTCGGTCAGCGAGACGTACCGCCGTCTCTTGTCGTCCGTCGCACAGCAGCAGATCGCCCTCGCCGCCTCTGCGAGCGAGCTCCAGGAAGCGCGCGCCGCGGCGAAGGCCTGCGACGAAGAAGCCCAGACGCTGGCGCGTGCCAACTGCGACCTCCAGTCGACGATTGCGCGTTTGGAGGCTGCCAATCCGACGGGGCTGGACAAGACGGCCGACGACTTGCGCGAATCGATTCGCATGCTTACTACCAGCGAAACCAACCTCACGGCCAGCGTCCAGCAGCTCGAAGCCGATCTGGCCACCGCCAAGGCGCAGCTCACCACCGTCACTGCCTCGAGTATGCTCTGGCAAAAGCGCGCCGAGACGCAGTCGAAGCGTGTCCAAGAGCTATCCGGCGACAAGCAATGCCTCGCGTCGGCGATGGAGCAGTTGAAGGCCGAGCTGGCGACGGCCAAGGGCGAGCTCCTCGGGACACTCGCTTCAGCCGCCTCGTTTGCGCAGTGGCAGCAAAAGGCCGAGAGAGCGATGGCCCAGGTCGACGACCTCATGGCCGAGAAGACCCGCTTGGCACAAACCGTCAAGCAACTCGTGGCGGCAGGCAAGAGCAGCAAGCAAGGCGACTCGACCACGACCGACAAGAGCCGACTCGCCGTCGACCTCGCCGACACCAAGGCCCAACTCAACTTTGCGATGGCAGCCGCGAAGAATGCGTCACAGTACCAGCAGCAAGCCAAGGACGCCGCCCAGCGCGTGGAAGATTTGACGGCCGAGAAAGGCCGGCTCGCGGCCGCGGTCAAGCAGCTCGTGACCAGTAGCAACGACGTCAAGAAGCAGCTCAGTGCGTCCGAGGCGGCGAGTGCGAAATGGCGACAACAAGCCATCACGAGCAGCGCCAAAGTGGACGAGCTGAGCGCTGAGAGGGACCAACTCGCGGCGGCAAATGACAATCTCACTGCCGACAAGCACCGTCTTACCATCGAGAACGAGCAGTTCATGGCCGACAAGGAGCGTTTGGCCGCCGTCATCAAGTGGCTCGAAGGCGACCTTGCATCGTCCAAGACACAACTGCACGAGGCGATGGCTGCAAGCGCCGAATGGCAGCAAAAGCCGAAGCCAAGAGCAACACGGTCGACGTACTTTCGGCCGACAAGGTGCGCCTCGCGTCGGTCATCAAGTGGCTCGAAGCCGATCTCGCGGCGGCAAAGTCGGCACCGATCTACGCCAACGGACAAGAAGCGTCGGAGCACACACTGACGAGCACGATTGCCCAGCTGGAAGGCGACCTCGATGCGGCCCATAGCGGCGATGCGCTCCTGCGTCGGCAGCTCGTGGCGAGTGAGAAGCGCGCCGAGGAGCTTCTGGCCGACAAGAACCGGGTGGTTGAGACCATGAAGCAGCTCCAAGCCGACTTGGCATCGACCACGACGCAGCTCGAGCAGGCCTCGGCGGCGGTCGAAGCGAGCAAGAAGCAAGTGCGAGACCTCGGCGCAAGCAAGGGCCGGCTTACGACAACGATCCAGCAGCTCAGCGCCGACCTGGCCAAGGCCCGAGCCGAGATGCACGAGAAGGCCGACGCCCACGACAAACTCCAAGCCCAAGTCGACGCGCTGATGGACGAGACGCGTCGTCAAGCCGCCGTCATTGGGCAGCTCGAAGCCGACGTGGCCACAGCCCGACGCGCCCCTGCGCCGCCCCAGGACGTAACAGCGCTGCAAAAGCAAATCGACCGGTTCAAGGCCAACAAGGCCCGATTGCTCGAAACCATCACGCAGCTGCAAGCCGACCTGACGCAGTGCAAGGGTCAGCTCGAGACGGCGCAGTCGGCTGCCGGCGCCAGCCTCAACGAAGCGCACGCACTCACAGTCGAGGCCGACCGTCTCCGCACCGAGCTCGCGGCGTTGCGGGACCAGACGCAGTCGGTGGCCGAAGTGGACGCGGCCGCGGCGGCTGCCAGCAAGAAGGAGCTTGCGGCACTCACGGCCGAGATCAAGCAGCTGCGCGCCGACCTCGCAGCGTCCAAGCTGCGCGAGTATGCGGCCGCCAAGGCCAACATCCTGCACATCGACGAGAGCGATGAAAAATTGCAAGCTGCCACGCGCAGTCTCCGAACCAAAATCGAAGAGTTATCGGCCGAGCTCGCGTCCGCCCACGAGCAGCTTTCAAAGCCAGCAAGCAGCCAGCATCTCGATGCTACCTGCGCCGACCTCAAGGCGCAACGCGACCAAGCACAAGACGCCGTGGCGTCGCTGACAGCGCAGCTCGCGACCACCGAGCGCGCGACCACCGAGACGGTCCGGGACTTTTTCCGGCGCGTCGACAGCATGTTCAAGTTTGCTGGCCACGGCGCGATCGAATCGCTGCTCGATGCGATCTACCATGCCGACACGACGGGTGCTTTTGAAGCATCCGACGGCATCTATATCTTTGCGCAGCGGTTGCCGCAAAGCAGCGGCGAGTCGGCGGCCGCCGCCTACGATGCGGTGCTGCTCGAGGTGGCGGCGACCGCGCCGTGGCTGGCACCGCTGCCAAGTCGCACGCCGTATCTAGTACCGCCACCCGCGCACGCCAACGATGTCGTGAGCGACCGGGTGCGTCGCCACATTGCGCTCGTGCAGCGGTTCTGGACCGAGAAGAGCCGGGATCTCTGGATGAGCTCGTTTGTGCAGAGCCTCCCGGTCGCGCTCACCCTCGCCCTCGAGGACGCGGTGGCCGAAATCGTCGTCGACCTCGTCGATCTCGTGACACACAACATGGTCGACCGCCGCATCGGCCATTTCCTGCACTACCCGCACCCGAGCTGGCCGCTCGTGCCCCGGGGTATCGACGCGCTCCCCATCGCGGACGCGCCGGCCTTTCTGCGCGCCGAGGCCGCCAAGTTGTGGCCGTCGTGCCCCGGCGGCCGGGTCATGACGCCGTTTGCCATGACGCAGAATTACTTGGCGCGCCACCCGAGCTCGGATCCGATATTGTCTGTCGGCAGTGCGAGCGCGGTGCGGGCGGACGTGGCGGCGTTTTGCGCGACGCCGACGAATGTGCCGCTGGTTGCGATGCCGATGGCGGTCATGGCGCCGTGCGCGACGCTGCCGTCGCCGGGAATGGAACTCTCGGCCAGCGCGCGTCTCCTGCCCACGACGCATCAGTGGAGTTCGGCTCTGGAACGCCCCATGCGGCTCTACGAGACATGATGCTCGGCTTAATAGTAATAACCGTTAGTAGTCTAGCATTGCTTTGACGAGGGGTCGGGCTGTCCATCGCCGGCGGCGGATTCGAATGGATAGTGGAGTAAGTACTAGTCGATGGATTCTGCCTGGATAGAAGAAGATACATGGTGCGTGGATGGGATGTAAACGTAGTATCGTAGCCGTCGAGGCGGCCGTTGCAGTCGTGCGAGCAATGCAATGGCGCACTTGTGGGATGGATCGTTGGATGGATTGTTGGATACTATCCACTATCTACATACCGGTAGTATTAATTAGTGGGGCGATCGATCGAGTGCATGGCGCTCGCACGTTTTAGTCGGGTAAAGTGGCGTAAAAGGCTTTGACGCATCGGCTTGGTCACAAACAGATCCAACGGGCCGAACCAAGTTGCACGAAATGGCCGAAGGAGCCGCCACGCAGCAGGACATCGTCGCGGCCATGCGCGTGCACACGAAGAAGTGCATCGACGGGATCCAGGACCGTCACCTCGCCCAGCTCCGCGAGATCAAGAAGGTCGTCAGCCAGGACCAGGAAAATTTCATCAACGCGTACAAAGCGCAGCGCGCGCTGACCGAGACGGCCACGACGAAGGCCGTGGCCGCCGAGGCCCACATCGTCGAGCTCACGGCCAAGTGCGATGGCCTCGTGGCCGCGAACGACAACGTGGGAGCGCAGCTGGCTGCGTTGCAGTTGACCGCGGACGAGCTCCGAGCGGACGCCGACTGCTTGCAGAGCCAGCTGCAAGCGTCAGAGCAGCACGTGCGCGATCTCTCGGTGCGCGAGACAGGCGTTGTCAACGCCAACACGGCGCTGCAGTCAAAGATCGGTACGCTCCAAGTGCAGCTCCGCACTGCGGTAAGCGAGTCCAACGAGTACAAGAAGCGACACGACGAGCTCGCGCTGACGTGCAAGGGTCACGAGGACATCAGCACACAGCAGAAGAGCGACCTGGTTGCGTCGAACGTCCGTCTCAAGATTGCGACCGCGGAAGTGCAAGCCAGCAGCGAAAAGCTGAAAGCGCTCGCCGCCGAGAAGGACGGTGTGATCGCACGCCTGCAGAACGAGCTCGCTGCGTCCAAGGCAGACGCCGAGCGGGCCATTACAGAAGCTATGCGCAAGCACCAGAGCGAGCTCGCCGCTGCATTGATGGAGCTGGAAGAGGTGCGCACGCCCCTTGCCGCCAACGTTGCAGCAGCCGAAGCAAGTACGAGCCTCTCTGACCTCTTGTTTGTCGATGGTGACCACTTTGCGGCAGACCTGCAACGACTTGAAGACGACCTCGCGACGTCCAAGGCCGAGCTCGCCGAGGCAGCGGCGGCGGCGGCTGCCAGCAAGGCGACGATTGACGTGCTGTCAACGGAGAAGCTCGCGCTCGCAGCGACTGTCCAGGAACAGAAAGACGGACTCGCTGCAATGACCTTGCAGCTACGCGAGTCGGTCCAGCGCACGGACGCCAGTACGCAGCAGATCGCGGCGCTCTTCAACGAGAAGAAGCGCCTCGCGTCGGTTCTCAAACGACTTGACGAGGCCCTCGCGACGTCCAAGGCCGAGCTCGCCGAGGCGGCGGCTGCCAGCAAGGTGACGATCGAGGCGCTGTCAACGGAGAAGCTCGCGCTTGCTGCGACACTCCAGGACAAGACCAAAGCCCTTGCTGCCATGACGGTGCAGCTTGACAAAGCCATGGCATGCATCGACGCCGACAAGGAGCAGATCGAGTCGCTCTTTGACGAAAAGAGTCGTCTCACGTCGGCTCTCGTGGTGCACGAAGCCGCGATCGAGGCGTTCAACGCCGAGCGCGATGCAACCAAGGCGGAGCTCGAGCAAACCAAGGCCGAGTCGCAGCAGCGCGCCGACACCAGCATCAACATGTGCCGCAATTTCGAATCCGAGAAGGACGAATGGCACTTGAGGATCGCGCAGCTCTCGACAGACCTGAGCGATGCCAAAGAGCAGCAAGTCTGCACCAGCAAGCCACGGATGCCAGCCAGCGGCAGATGGAGGCACTCCGCGGCGAGGCAAGCCGCCTCACGTCATTGGTCGCGCAACAAGAGGCGGCGATCGCTGCGGCCACGTCGGAACTCGCCGATGCAGTGACCGCCAGCCAATTGGCGCTCGAGGCAGCACACCAAGAGAAAACAGACGCGCTGGCCGCAATGACGTTGCAGCTGCGCGACGCGGCGGACGACAAGCAGCAGCAGATCAAGGTGCTTCTTGCTGAGAAGGACCATCTCACGGCAGTGATCCAGCTGCACGACGCTGCGTCCACGGCCGAGCTCGACGAAATGAGAACGCAGTGGGAAGACCTCTGTGCGACGAAGGATGCTACTGTCCGGCAGCTCCACGCCGACCTTGACGTCTCCACCACAGCGTTGACGCTCGCGCAAGTCGCCGCCACCGCCAGTGCACAGCAGATCAATGCGCTCGCGGCCGCCAACCGTCGCCTCCAACAGGCCTATGGGCAGCTGGCGACAGAATTGGCCACGACCAAGGCGGCAGCCAAGCAAGCCCAGGCGAACCTCGACTACGCGACCGCCACCTGCGCCATGCGCATGGAAGAGGCGGACGCACGCCAGGCCCGTCTGCTCGCGACCATCGAAATGCTGCAAGCGCGCGTTCCCAACCAAGCGCCCATGGTCTGTGACCAGTGCGCTCGCTTAAAGGCCTTGCTCGAGCAGTCGTCGACGGTGATTGCGAGCTTGCGGGCCGATCGGGCCGCGGCCCTGGACCAGGCCAAGCCAGATGCCGATATCGTCCGAGCCTTTTTTGCGCGCGTCGACGCAGTGTTTCCGATCCTCCACTCCAACGCGATCGAGCCGCTCATCCAAGGCATGTACCAAGGCGACACGCGCGTCTTTGAGGCCACGGACGGCTTCACGGTCTTTCCGCGCTGCTTATTGGAATGATGTCCCGTCGTCATCTATGGCGCCTACTGTACCGCGTAGTAGTAACAGCTTGTTTCTGTGCACTTGCTTGTGTGCCTCTCTTTTGTGCACATGACGTCCTTGCGACTCGGAGCCGACGCGATGCTTGAGTGTACGAGAGGGATAGGGTTGCATACAAAATGTCTCGTCGAGGCGACAGCTTGAACGGACGCGGTCACTGCGGTGGATTCTGCTTGGTCGCGTCGTTGCGATCCGAGCACACGCGACGGCCGGATGGCGCGCCTCCCCTCTTGTGAGGACTCCAGTTGGCGATGGCTGAGGAGAAAGGGCAGTTGGGTGCGATTAGTCCGTTGACGGCACGTCGTCAAACAAACCTATCGTTATCGGCCGTTTGGATGATCGAAAGGTTGCGATATCGTTTGTCGCACGCGCAATTGAGAGAAAGTACACTGTTTTGGATCCAGTGTGATTTCGGCTCGGGCTCGCGCAGCATGGCCGAGGTCAAGGTCAACAAGGCCGTCGACGCGACGGACGCCGCCTTCTACATGGCGAAGGCTTTCATTAGCGCCTGTGAAACCGAGCTCATCGAGAGCACGCTCGGCGACATGAACCTTGCCGCGTGGACCAAGGACGTCGCCATGGTGGCGACGACGGCGCCGAGGCAAGCGTCGTCCGCGCCGACGGCTGCGTGCGGCACGACCGCCTACCTCCACGCCAAGCTCGAAGCCACGACGGCCACGCTCGACGAAGTCCAACGTCGCCTGGAAGCACTTGGTGCATCGGGTCCGCAAACATTGGACGAGTGCAAGGCCGACGTGTTGACGCTTGCCGACGACCTGGCAGCCATGCGCCGGGCGACGGCGCGCCATGCGATCGATGCGATCGACGACGTGATGGACGCCAAGCCGACGCATCTCGCCCATGTCGCTACGGCCACCTCGACGGCGTCGAGCGCACGACTGCAACACGGGTCTGTCGAGCCTTCCTTGAAGCGCAAGCGGGAGGATTCCGAGGCGCCGCTGCCGTCACCGCTCAAGGTACCCGCGACACCGAGCATGGCTTTGATCGAGAACGACGACCCCTTGCTGCAACCGCTGATCACCGAGCTCAAAAAGCTCCGCGCGACGGCGCCATGGGCCGCCCACGATCGCACGCCGTACTTGATGTCGCAGCCAGACGACAGCCCGGACGCCCAACGCGCTCTGGAGCAGCACAACGTTCGTGTCCAAGCCTTTCACGACGAATGCGGTGCGTTGTTGTGGGAGCGCTCGTTCCTCTGGCCGTCCAGAGACGCCGCGTCGAGCTTCAAAGTGCTGCAGAAGCGCGTGATGGCCCTCGTTGTCGATCTCGTCGTGCTCGTGCACACGGGAGTCGTTGACGCTCGCATTTACGCGTGCCTCTTGTACCCGCACCCGAGCTGGCCGTCAATTCCATTGCCAGTCGACCTCAAGCAGCTCGCCAAGACATCCAGTGTCAATCGCGCGATGCAGTACCTGCGCCAGCAGCACTGCTGCTTGTGGCCGCTGCCGCCGCGCCGCGCCACCGCCACGACACTGGGCTCGGCCTTCCAGACGACCCTCGACGTGCTTCAGGCAGGCATCTCGGTACGCAAGTGGATGGAACTCACCGACAACCGTGTCAGCCGCGACGACGTCAAAGCGGCTTGCTTGTCTGCGCTGCAGAGTGCATCGTCGATGCAGACCATCATGACGCATGTGCCGAGGTTTGCGCGCAGTCGGGAGGTGCCGCCCCCCGCGTGGATCCTCGGTGCACCGACGTACTTGCACGGCGAGTGACGCGCAGCTGCGAGGCCCTTGTATCGGCGCGGTGGTGGCCACCGTAGTTGTCTCGATGTTTGTTTTTGCGTAGTACCAAGGGCCTTGGTCGTATGATTTGATTTTCGCGTTGGCACTGGCATGTCGTCGTCGTCGTCGTCGTCATCGTCATCGTCGTGGGGCACGTGGGGTCTTTGGATGTACGCCGAAAACATGCGTCGTGGTGGCGGCGAGCGAGGTGGTGGCAATGCAGCCGCAAGACGGGACGACCGTAGCCTTTCCTGCAGCCTACGTTCCTCCTTGGTGATAGCAGTGTTTCTACGCGGCTTGTTCCGCGCTCGTGTCTGCAAGGGCGTTCACATATGTCATGTTCGCCCACGGCGGTGTCCCTAGCCCTACCCAAACCCTAACTGGGTTGCAATCGATGGGAACTCGATATAGTCGAGTTGGAGCGAGGTCGTACAAAAGCGTGGGCACACACTCCTTGCGCTATCGAGACCAGGAATCTGCGTTCTCTTGGTACAGTATTGCTTTAAATACAGTTCTCTACCGGGTCTCGGACGCACCGTCGTCGTCGTCGCGGCGCGGATGCCACGTCAAGGTCCGGCGTCCGACGCCACAGAGAAAGCTCCGTTGCATCGTCGGTTGGTCGTCGCTTTCAACTCCGATTCAAGGGCGATGGTCGCCGTCGCTTGGGTCGTGCACGTCCATGTCCCCATCCTTGCGCGTCTGCGCAAAGCGATCGCTTGCGGCGCGTACAAAGGTCGGGATCGCATCCACACCTTCGTTTCGGAGCCAGGAATCGAAGCGGTGGCAGTCGGCGTCCGTCAAGACATCAGGTGTCATGCGTGCTATCAGCGCGTCCTTCACCGCCGGCGACACGGTCTCGCCCATGCGTCCGAGGCCCGACGCGACGTGGAGCAACTCTTGTGGGCGGTACCGATCTACGTGCGCTGCCAAGTGGGCATGGACGTGCTGGCACACATCATGGGGCAGTGCTCTGTCGGCGGCAGAAACAAAGCGACGAACGCAGCGACGGCCGACGGCCCAAAGCGATCGAATTCGCGCTTGGCGAGCTCGTCGCCGATACGGTCCAAGACAGTCCGTGATGTGGCGCCGCTGAGGTAGAGGCTCCACGCGACGTTGGCGAGACCTTGGTCGTCAAAGCGCTTGACGCCGATGGTCTCCAGATAGCTAAGAAGCGCGTCAAAGAAGCACGCGTTCGTGCTTGTGGCGCCGGCTTTCGCAAAGCTAAAGGCAAGACCCGAGATTTCAAGCGGCTGGAAGCTCCCGAGGCCGCGCCGGGTCACCACGTGGTCTTCAAGCAGAGCGTACAAGGGCGTGGTCGCAAAGGGCAGCTGCGCATTCGAGAGGCTCCAGAGGAGGCTCACCAACTCGTGGTTGCGGCACTTGTCGAGGCCACGTCGGTGGAGCTCGTCGCGAAGCAGGAGCGTGCACGATGCGTTGTACTGTTTTGCGCGCGTAAATGCCCAGTGCAGCATGACGAGGGACCCGAGCGAGAAGGTGCGAACCGACGACCGATCGCTGTCCAGTTGGTCGCTGACGATCGCAAAGAGGTCGGTGTGCGGCGTGACCTTGTGCCGCGCGTGCTTGGCGTACGAGATGCAGAGCGACGCAAGCGTGTTGGGATCAAAGCCCTCCAAGCCGCGCGCCGCCAAGTGACTCTCGACGCGGCGGAAGAGTGCCGAGTCGAACCGCTCGGCGGCGACAAAGCTCCAGACAATGTTGGCCACGTGCTGCGGCTCGAACGTATCCAAGTCCCGGTGCTGGACCGCGTCGTCGATCGTTGCGTAGACCGAGCAGAGACGGTCACTCATGCGCGCCTTCGCAAAGCCCATGGCGATGTTGGCGAGCGCCAGCGACGAGTACGAGTCGAGCGGCTGCGACCGCAGATGGCGCGCGATCGCGTGGTAGAAGGCGCGGTCGCGCACGCCGAGCTTCTCGGCGCTCCAAACAAGGTTGGCGACCGTGATGGCGGGTGCAGTGTCGAGACCGTTGGTCACGCGCGCAACGACGGCGTCCATGAAGCCTTCGTCGTCGCGCCACTGCATCTTGGCGACGCCATGGGCAATCATGCTAAGCGTACGCAGATCGAACTTGGCCATCTCGCGCACCGTGTCGCGTAAGGCGCTTGCGAGCAGCGATGCGTCGCGCGCCGAGTACGTGGTGTGGCGTCGATGCGCCTTGCCAAGCTTATTGAAGAGCGTCGCCGTGTTGACGCTGTTGAAGTTGGCCCTCTCGCGCTCGTAGATGGCGACGAGCTCGGGCGTGGTCGACGCTGCCACGAGCTGCGCGTTGATTTGCGAGTTGTCGCGCCGCTCCGCGGAGGGCCATGACGACGAGAGGCAGCGTGTACTGAGACAACCGGCAAGAGACGCTTGAGGTAAAGCTGCGCGTGGCCTTCCGGACGCGGCCACGCGGCGCAGCGAAGCGGAGGCGACCGGCACCAAGCGCGAGATCATCCGACGCGCCAGCATCCTCACCACCCAGCGCTTGGTAGTATTTTGGAATGCACCAATGGCCTTGCAGGATGCATTTGACCAATCCGAGAGCGATATGGAGAATTGGGCGTAATGATTGGTCAATTCTCAAGATCGATCCTCGCACCATGTGAAGCTTTCAAGATGCTTTCGAGATGCTTTCGAGATGCTTTCGAGATGGTTTTGAGATGTTTTTGAGATGCTTTTGAGAGGCTTTTGAGAGGCTTTTGAGAGGCTTTTGAGATGCTTTTGAGATGCTTTTGAGAGGCTTTTGAGAGGCTTTTGAGAGGCTTTTGAGAGGCTTTTGAGAGGCTTTTGAGAGCTTTTGAGAGGCTTTTGAGAGGCTTTTGATATGCTTTTGGTATGCTTTTGAGAGGCTTTTGATATGCTTTTAAGAGGCTTTTGAAAGGCTTTTGAAAGGCTTTTGAGAGGCTTTTAAGAAGTGAGCCAAGCGAGGTGCCCACAAGGTTGTGCGTGACGTTTGGTCGTTCGTGGCCACCGGGACATAGCGACATCAGTGGCAGCTCGTCCAAGCTACCGGTCACATCTGTCTACTCGCGTACTCAAGTCGACGATTTCGAGTGCACGCAAACACTCGAAATCATCCAGTTACTTTGGAGTAATGCTTACACTTGGCTATTGACGCCGCTTGTGATGGACGGGCACTGCGGAAAGAGCGCCGCGTCGTGGAGACGACAACGGACTTGGCCGGTAAAGTCTGTGTTGGCGCCCGAAAGCGCATTGGGGCTGTAGGCGTAGTAGCCGGCTTGCACGCTGAGCGGCGCGCTCGCACCTAGCGGGCAGTAGACGCTGCTGCCACCGCACGCGTTCTGCGTTGGGGACGGCGACCCACTTCCGCACCAAAACCCAGGTCGACACGGCACGCACTGCTTGCCGTTGATGGCATAGCTGCCTACGCCGATGTATGACGCGTTGTTCTATGTAAAGAAGCACGAACCGGCTGCGCAGAGCTCTTGCTGTGGCGACGTCGCGCCAGCGGGACAGATCGAGCCGGGGAGGCACACCCCCGAGCACTTCTTTGTCCACAGCCCCGTCGTAGCACCATAGCTACACCCGTCGTGGAGCACCGGTGACGGTAGTACGCACGATACCTTCCCCAAGGGCAAAGATGACGCACACCGCGCACGCAGTACGAGCCCAGCGGGCAGATCGCTTGGCCGATGCGAAGACGGCCGTCAAAACCGAGGGTGGTATAGTACCCTTGGGTCGCGGGCGTTGGCGCGGCGTTGCTTCCAGGACAATAGACAAACGGATCGACACACGGCGTGTCGAGGTAGGTGCTGCTGCCCAAAGGACTGGAATCGGACATGAGTTGTGTGCATGAACGCCATCTCGCTCGTACCAGAAGTAGCCCGCCGGGCAGCTCCCCGTGCACGCAGCGGACGACAAGCCTGGTGTCATGCCAAACGTTCCTATGCGAATGGGTCCAATGGCTGCGGGAGGCAATGTGGTGGTTGACCTGCGGGGCACGCTTGCTTGCGGCCGTTCTCACAGAACGATCCAACCTCACACGGCACCTCGGCCACGCGTGTGGCGAGCCCTCTTGTCATGCCTGCGCCATCTAGACAAGCGCTACGAACGTACTGGTAGAACCGCCTCTGCAGACCTGGCAGGTACAAAGTAGCGTCGTCAGGGTTGAGTGTTCGAGTGCTGATCGTGTAGTAGCCCACGGAGACGGGCGTTGGCGCAGACGATCCAAGCGGACAAAAGACGTTGGCGCTACCACACGGAAGGGGTGCCGATGCTCCTATTTTCAATTTCATAGAAGGAGCACATGCTATGTTATACCAAGAGGGCAGTAGTGGCCGTCAGGACAATGCGGTAGTGGACAGTACGACAGCGAGCAGACTGCGGCGCAGGCCTTCGTCGTCAAGCCCGTGCTGTTACCGAGTAGCCCCGCAGGACATGGCTCGGGAACCACGGTTCCCAGGACGCTATAAGACCAGCAATGTCATACTACAATGCAGCGAGAGACGAGTCCGCACCAAAAATGGGCGACGGGGCAAGGGCCTGAGCATTGCGGCGTCAATAAGCCTGCTGTGGCACCAAACACGCCTGGCGGACACGGTATGGGCTGCGCGGTACCCTCGGGGCAATAGGATCCTAGCAGACTTTGCATAGAAGTCGACATTGCATAATCGAATGTCTACCAGGTGGGCAGGGGCCAGAGCACGTAGCCGTCAATAGCAGAGAGGTACTGCCATACGTCCCTGCGGGACATGCGTAGCGTACGCCGTGGATGCAGTAGAAGCCCGGGTCACATGGGAACTGCGCTGGGGCCGTCGTCGTGAGAACGTCGTTGTTGATGCCCGCGCCTCGCCGGGTGCTCGTTATCGTAAAGTACCCAGGTGCGACGATACGCCGGGAGAGCGTGCCGCTGGGACAAAAGTAGTTGGCGCCCCCGCAGGGCTGCGCGGTCGCACGAGTTGACCCGAGCTACGGGGCCGAATGTTTAGTGTGTGTTGTAGGTGGCGCCAGTGTACCGGGCAGTAATAACCCGCCACGCAGCTGCCCGAGCACGACGGCGAGGTTAAGCCTGGCATGGCACCGTACGTTCCGGCTACAATGGAATATGTTGAAGCACTTGGCTTGGCAGAGGCGTACAGGGACAGAGGAGGCAGCTCGCCGACGGGGCATCCAAGTACGCACCTTGGGGACAGGTCAACGCTGCTCCTACGACCCCTAGATAACGCAGTTGAAGCCTCTGGTATCCTAGAGCGCCGCGCGACCTAGTGCGCCAGCGGCGAGCCAGCGCATGGACGTTTGATCGTGGAACGGTTTCAAAACCAGTGGAAAAGACACTGTTTGAATCTTGGATCGAGTGCACTTTCCGCAAGATCGCAACCGGAAGGAGTCGCGATGCCACAAGAATGGTACGCAGCGCATGACGCCGCGTCGTCCACGTCGATGACGCGCGACCCGTCCAAGCTCGCGCTCCTGAAGCGCAAGATGGCCAAGAAGGAGGCGCCCACACGGCCACCACCGCCCGTGCCGCCCCGTCGGAGCTCGAGCGATCTTAGCGCACCGGTCCCGTCGCTCGAGTCTGTCAGCGCCAGTGAGACACCATTCGCGCTGGCCAAGCCTCCGCCGCCACTGCCCCGTCGGCGCTCCGAGAGCACACGTAATGACGCCCCGGCGAGTCGTCTACCAACCCAGCGCGTCCTTCCGGCACCGCCATCAGCAGCCGACGCCGATGCTCCAGGTCCAAGCGACGTGATCGCCATCCCCGAGAAGCGACCCAAAGATGACGTCATTGCCGAAACATGCACGGAAGATGCAGCGGACGAGTGCATCTCGACTCCGCCTCCGATCGCAGCGGCGTCCACAGCGACAGCACGTGCCGAGAGTGCGCCGTTGGACGACGTCCCAATCTCAACGGCCTCGGATCCATTTGCGCGCAAGTCGTTTCAAAAGCTCGTCGTCAAGTGGAGCTGCACAACATGCAATCGCGAGTGCATTCCAGTGCGCGAAGAGAGTCGCTGCCTCTGGTGCATCCACGTCTCGCTTCTCGCCACACTAATATGGAGCTACGTTAGTGACCATCGACTCAAGGAGCATCCGTCGAGCGTCGACGATCCACGGGTCAAGGACCCTGCCAAGTTCAAGGCCTTTGCGTGCACCACGAGCCGCTGTGTCTGTAAAGCGTTCTTTTACATTGTGGCCGAAGGCGCGTGGATACTGCGCTGTCGCTGCAAGCACAAGCACGTTGAGCACGACGCAGGGCGACCGCCGTTCGTGTGTAAGAAGCCCAAGTGCGCATGCACGGGCTTTGATAGGTAGCATCAACCGAACTACAAATCGGGCGGATACCACGTGTTGATATGGTCTAGTCCGTGGGTCTGCAACTGCGCACATCCGTGGAGCGACCACGTACAGACGCAAGAGATCAAGACGTTCCACCCGCTGCAAATGGACCTCTGCGACGAGCTCTCCAAGGTCTACCGCACCGACCTCGAGGCCGAGCCATTGTCCTTGCACGCGTAATAACGACGTCGCCAACTCGCAAACAAAAAGACTCCAATGACACGATCTTATCCCCTCGTTACGGCGCAGCGACGGTTTGCTAATGCGCTCGTTTGAAATAATACAAACACCGATGAGCTTGCAGAAGCGAGGCCGCGTGTGTACTCTATTCCATCCAAGGACGCGTCCTTGATGGCTTTTGTCCGACTCCTCGCACCAAGATCTTGGTCGATCGCGCAGCATCCAGTATTCTTCTACCACTGGAATGACCGCTGCTGGCCGCGGTGTTGGCTGTCAGGGACAAGAAAGGGCCGAGATGGTGCATGTCCTTCTTGACAAACGAAGGGTCTACTGGTCCACGCACACAACAGACTAGTATATAGATATCCATTTCTCTGTAGGGTTAGGGTGCTCAATCGACAATCGATTAGCGTATAGTTTTTCATACAAAATTACGTTTATCGCCACATGTCGCGCACGTGGAAGCGGCCCGTGACGATGTAGAAGATGACGTAGCTGATGCCGCCAAGCACTGCGACGGCGAGGAGCGCGCGCCAGAACGACAGTCGTTGGTGGAACGGCGGTGGCGCCGCCGTCTTGTGCCGAAGCGACGGGTCGTCGCAGATCGATGTGCCAATCGCGACGTCGACGCGGAGGCGAAGCATTGCATGCTTGTAGTAGTGGATCGCGTGCGACAGGGTCGTGAGGCGGTCAACGCCGCTGCCCAAGTCGAGCCAGAGACGAATGTCATGCGGCTGCGGCAGCATCTCGTCGGTGGACGCCTCGTCGCTACCGCCTTCAACCAGGTCGCGCACAAGGTCGGGCAGGTCCGGGCAACTCTCGGAGGCCAAGGTCATGAGCAGCCGCGAGTGCACATCGACGGTCAGCTTTTGCGCACTCGAGTACGAAAAGGGCCAGAGCAGCAGCGCGCAGATTTCGGGCGCGCGCTGCACATTGCGCTGATGGACCGTGAAGAGGCCCGTGCTTGTGCGCACGGTGAGCTTGCGCGTTGGGACGTCGTACGCAATGACTTGGCCGTGGCAGACCTCGCTGTCGTTGACGGCGACGACGACGCTGTGGCGGTACCAGAGCCCGGTTTTGGCGACAAGCGCTTCGTCTTCCGAGACCACGTGGCCGAGCGAGAGCGCGGGCAGCGAGAGCGCAGCGTGAGACCCCTCGCACGGGATCGTCGTCACGGGATGCGACACCGAGTCGCCGACCCGCGCGTACACGGGCTGCGAGAGGAGACCGCCGGGCACGTCTTCGGGCAGGAGGTAGATGAAGGCGTTGGCCTCATAGCAGAGGCTTGAGCGCGCGTCGACGTCCGAGGTCATGGTCGCGCCAGGCCGCCCGCCACGGGCTTGGCGTAACATCCGCAATCCACTGCAATAGTGTCTCTTCCGCTGCTTGTGATTGGCCAAAACACCAGTCCTTCGACAGTTCGAAGATTTGCGTAAACGTGGGCGCACTGCACGTAGCGCAATCTCGGTTTGCCACGTCACGAGCCCTTTCTCGAGGACAGTGCAGGTACTACCTCGTGCGAGCGCGCCTCCGACCCGATAGGATGCCATGTCCTGACGCCGCCTAATGGCGGATATGACCGACGCCAGCCCTGCCCGACGTCGATGTGGACTTCGAACTTCGCTTCATTTCTGACCAACGAGACGTGAGTGTTACTCGCGTGTTAGATATGCATGACCGGGCTTTGCAAGATGGCTTGTTGCACGCCACTTTTCTTCCCGCACGCTAGAACCACGTCTACCGAGATGTTCACATCGACAGCGCTCGTCCTATCCTTCGTCTCTCTTGCCGATTCGAATGCGGCATGATCGAAACACACGGTCGGGCCGATCTGACAGGTCTTGGGGTCCGCATTGTGTGCAAAAGTGGCGTGCATCCAGCCATAACACTTTGGCAATGGCGCAACACTGTTATACCCGTTCAAGTTGCAATTGAAGCGCGATGACCACGACCCACGCGACGCGGGACACGGAGCAGCACGCCGATTGCGTCGAGAGCTGCGCCGTCCCAGGCCTTGAGCACCTCATGGCCGTCGGCACGTACCATTTGACCAAGCATCCGGCGGCGCCCGGCGAGACGCCGCTGCCCGACACGCGCAGCGGTACCGTCCGGCTGCATGCCTTGGCGCGCGACGCCAACAACGCAGTCACTGTGACCGACGTATCGACGCACGCCATGCAGAGCGGCGTCTTTGACATGAAGTGGTCGCGCGACCGCGTGTACGAGAAGGCGCTGCTGGGCCTCGCGACGGCGGCGGGCACCCTCGAGCTTCTCGCATGGTCCGAGGTAGGCGCATCCTGCATGAGCCTCTATTCTGGACGTCAGGTGGTGCACTAGGAGGACCAAGCGCTGGTGCCGTATGCGACGACGCCTGTCTCGGACACGATGTTTTTGTCGCTGGTGAGCTTGCTGGTGTGTGGTTGATGCGCATGGACCTGGGTTCATAGGACTGGAACAACCGCGTACACGCAACGCCCGACCCCAAGATCGCCGTGAGCCAATCCAACAGGTAGACGCGCACGACCGATGTGCAATTGCCCTTCTGAGAAAGCCACGTAGCAACCTCTCGGTGTGGCAACAGACGCCGTCGGGCCTCGAAGCCATCCGCGAGGTAACCAATCATCCTATCCATATCTTGAGACCTAGTACTATCCATGCGGAATGCCACACAACAGTGGCGCGCCCACGACATGTTTGGCCAAGACATTGAAGTGTGGATCACGGCGTGGCATGCGCATGCCGAGAACGTGATCTACTCGGGCGGCGACGACGCTGTCTTTAAAGGGTGCGATCTTCTTCCATGTTGGGAAGATGGATATCGTATATTGTCTGGATTAGATGGGACCTGCGCATGGACCGACCGACTTTTCTCAAGCGCGACGTGCACTCGATGGGTGTTTGCAGCGTACAGTCCCACCCGCTCGACGAACACTTGGTGGCCGTCGGCAGCTACGACGAAGCGATCACGCTCTGGGATGCCCGCCAAATGTCGATGCCGCTGTTGCGCCACGAGACGGGCGGCGGTGTCTGGCGTCTCAAGTGGCACCCCGAGCAAAAGGTATAGTTTAAGATACGCTATGGGATCTGATGTAGGCGCTTGTAGACGTGGCTCCTCGCGGCCTGTATGCACAACGGATTCCAGATCCTAAACATGTCGCCAGAAAGCTCCGAGACGCGTGTGCACTACACCAAGCAAACATCGCTCGCGTATGGCGTCGACTGGTGGTATGGCGAGCCGTCGACGCGCACCGTCGGTAGCGGGTCGTTCTACGATCACTCGTTCCACGTCTGGTCGGCCGACGACTTGGTCGTTTAGAGTCCCCACCTCAAGCATATACTGTGTGCATGCTCGTCCTAGACGCTTGACCTTTGAATCGATTGCCTGAGAAAAATACGACGGGTTCCCTGTGTCGATCGGCCTGCAGCCGCAGCCATCGTTGTCACCGCGCATGACCGAGGTATCACGCTCGTTCCAAGGTCTCCAAGACCAGTCCCCGAGAGCCAGCATTCTCAAATGCGATTTTGATCGGCTCGCCTTTCATGACGCGATCGGTCAAATCAACAGCGCATCGCAACCCAGCGCGAAGACAGGACTTGAATGTCGATGCCTTGAGCCGGCACGCTCGTCGACGAAGCTCTCTTGCATTTTGCACCGCGAGCCGCGCATAGTACACAGAGAGATGCAGCCATGACCTCGCTTCGTCTTTCAATCGCACATCCAAGTATCTGAGCGAGACGCATGCCGGTGTGTCGTCAAGTTACCGAGTGCAAGCACGATCAATGCTACCACTGGTCGTGTCTTGGAAGAAGAATGGTATTAAAATCTGGTGCGAGTCGTGCAGATCCAATGTCAGCGACCAGAAATGTGGTCATACCCTCAGCACACCAGATACCTCGAGGCTCGTTCGGGTTGTGGCCGAAAAGAGACACGCAAAACTTTTAGAACGACTGCACGACTGCATTATTTCTTCGGTTCATCGCGCGCAGTGCATAGCGGTTGATACCACTATATCCTTCGCATCGCAAGGGTTCAAAAACGCAGCGCGACCGAGGACTCAGATGGGCATCGCAAATGGAATTCGCTCGTCGCTCATCGCAGTCATGCCAAGCTACGCACATCGATCAATACCATTGGACTCGATGAACAAGTCGACTACCTCGGGGCAGAGTTGCAGTGCAGCGTAGAGTGGAAGCTGCACATAGAGGTACTGCAGCGCGACCGTCACCGCCGTCACCGCCACGACACCAGCAAGGTAGATCGTCGGGACCGGTAGCACAATCTGGTTGTACCAGACCATCGTCGCCTGGTTCGATGTGATCATCCAAAGAATCATACGACGGAGACTCGCTGGATTCGTACCAAAAACGTCAGCACAACCACCGACCAAATCGACCAGCGCGTCCAGTAGTGCACTTGGATCTCTTCGAGCGACGCGTGGGGGCCAAATTTCTCCATGTGGTACTCGGCCAAGCGAACAAAGTGACCCAACGTTGTGTGCCGGACGTCCGTGCCGTACATCTGCATTCGAAGGTGTCATTTTCTGCACGCTATGCATCGCGTCGTCATGTACCTGCTGCCAGTAGTAGGCGCCCACACGGCGCGCGGTGGGCCACGTGCTGCAGTACCGAATCTAAGGCAATACTGTCATCGCCACCAAACACAGCAAGAAACCACAGTACCGAAAACTTGAGAAAGACTGCAAGCACACACGCAGCGCCCCACACGATTGGGCTGCGCCATGGTGCCGACGCGGTTGGCAGGTCGACGTAGGATTGGCCGGCCGCCACGACTGGTGCAACGACGATGACGCACCAAAGAAAGGAGAGAACAAAGCGCCTGCGCTCGATACCATCGAGGAGTTCGAGGCCGACGATTGGAGGGAACTCGCGCACCGTCCACTCGGGTGTCTGCTGCTGGCACATGGAATACGGCAATGTCGTCCTTTTTAGAGGCGGCGCAAGCGAATGTAGGTCCATTCATTCCGTCATATTCAGTAACAGAGTCAGGATCGGAGGACAGCAAGCATGGACAACAAGGGCATACATTTATTATTGCATGACAACCTGCTACGGGTAGCCGGATTATGACGAGACTTGATCATAGCAGTGTACGAGCAAAATATTGCATAGGGTTCTTTGGACCATAGGGATGGCGCTGGGGATGGCGTGCTGGGATAGTATGGACAGCGTGTCGTTCGTGATGTGAGCGAGCAGACTCGGGTGAGCCAATCACATCGAGATACGAGCTGCGGCGCTATCACGCAGTGTAGTTTTCGCTCAGCATGAAGGCGTTCTCGTCACACTTTTTGAGCGTCGGCTGCGGCAGCCCAATGGCCTCCATGTTGCGCAGCGCACATTTCATCGTAAATGTAGCTGAGCTATGAGCGAATAAATCTGCATGGAGAAACCCAGACATCAGTTTACGCTTTGGGTCACAGACCACACCAGCATCGGCTTGATGCTGAGCATTGACCACTCAACACCGACGTCATGGCAGGACCAACAACGGCAAACAACGAGAACCTCGAGTCTTTGACGAGAGTACTTCAGTCGAATTGGGCACTACCAAGAAATAGAGTACTAGTAGCAAGGCTAAAATCTACTAGTATGTACGTAATAACTCGTGGTTCCACAACAAAACCAAGGAAATAAACACATGTACGTCATAATCACTGGAACGCTACATTTTTGAAACTCAACTACAAATTTAGCCAACAACGCTCGTGGCGACCGTCGTTTCGACATGATGTGCGGGCGCAATGAAGGCGCGATTGACGCGTCGATCGGGCTCGTCACGCGCAAGGAGATGGAAGACATGCGCAAGCAAGCGCTGGACCACGCCGCAAGTGGGTACGGCACCTCCCTCTTCGTTCAGCGCACCCCAACGCTTCCTAGCCGCGTCATACTGAATGCCGCGCCCGACCAGCCACCACCAGCGTACTACGTCCAAGGCGACCTCGATTTTACTCGGATGTACATCACGCATATACATTTCTGAAGATAAAAATGATGTTGTGTAGGACAACCTCAAGGTGCGCATGAGCTTGCGGCCGCACCCGACAATGGCGCGGCTCTCACGGCTCTTCTGGAAAGCCATCGTCGTGTCGCCTGCGATCGCCATGAACTACAAGGGCTACGAGCAGCTCTTCCTCTTGATCCACAAGGTGCTCATTGAGCTCTTCGCCCTCGACGAGTCGGTCGCGCGTATCCAAGTACGCCCATGGCGATCCGACGCGTACGGTGGTGGTCACAAATGGAGTAGGAAGACTGGTCTCACGACGTCTCGGCGCATGAAGCGTATATCGAGTACCCATCGTTCCACGAGTCGCTGTTTGAACTCATCGGTACCTTGCACCCTTGTCCATGGACTTCATGATGTGCGCAGATATCTGGTGCGACTCGATCGAGATTGACGATGTAAAAGCTTTTATCGACAGTACTTGTATCGTGTTAAACGCCATTCTAGTACGTCAACATGCTCTACCTGCTTTGGAAGAGCATCATGGACTACCCGCCGAGCGGCGGCCGAGCCATTTTGCGCCACCTCTCGGGTATCGTCACCTTCCATTCATTCAAAAGTTGACATTCAAACATTGATAGACGTATTCTACAAGGACATTGTATCGCTGATTCGCAAGCACCCGCTCACAATCGCCGAGATTGAGCTTGAGATTGAGCAAGCGGGTAAACCAATCAAGCTGCCGCCGTTGCACGAGCCATCACCGCCCCTCAACCCGGTCCTTGAAGACCCTTCCAACGCCGTCATCTTTGGCAGCGACGGCTCGGATACGGGCGACGATGCTTTTGAATGCGCCGCGGCCGTTGCACCCTTGCCCGAACGCTCTATCAAAACGAGTTTCGGTGACACGAAGGCATCGACACTTCCGAGTCTTCCGAGTCTTGCATCGCCTAGCGTCAAAGTGGCCCCGCTGATGACCCCTGTCACATCAAGCGCCAGTACGACGAACCTGCCACCGCTCACGCGTGGGTCCATCGACGAACAGCACACCGATGGCGAATTCAATGAGGAGAGCGCTATCAGTCCACACACGGAGCTCGGTTGCGCCGTTGACGATCCACATACAGCAGCAACCGAGACACGAGGCCCCATGCGCATCTCATCCCACCTCTCATCGTGGCGGTACTGCTATGTCAAGATGCCCCCAGCTCGCGCTCGCCAAGTGACGCAAACATCAACGATATCACTGATGCCGAGGGGTAGCTCCCCCAAGACAGCTGCTACGGTGGGAGGGGCGTCGCAGCTCGTACTCGCTCATTTTGGCGTCCCATCGCCAACGCGCGGATCATCCCGTCGGCACCGGCACACACGCCCGAGCACCAACGGCAGTATCTTTGCCGCCGCGGTCCAGACCCCACTGGGTACAACATTCTTCTGTTTTTGATGACAATATTGGTGGTAACACTATATTGATGCTGCGATAGATACCAACTTGTGCGTCGACGGGCGGTCCCCGCGCAAACCCCCCACGTCCCGCGACCGCGTCTACTTTCTTGGCGACAGCAATGCGCTGGACGACAAGTCGGTCATTATGAATGTGGGCAGAGGCGGTCTCTGCGGCGAGCTCATGGTCACGCCGCTCTCATCGCCGCGAAAAGGAGAGCCGACGCGATCGCTTGGCAATGACAACACGCGCAGCTCATATCGTGACGACCAGTGGACGCCGCAGCTGCTCGCCGTGCGCAGTCCCATCAAGGTAACGCCGCTACCGAGCCACCCACCGACACCACGCGCACCGCCACTGGCACACAAGCTCCTTCCTCGGGCTATCTCGCTCATGCCACAAACCTCCGCGCCAAGCAAGCCGTTGGAAGGGCCAACACAGGAGGCTTCGCCGCGGTTGAAAGGGAGCCGGGTCAAGCCCGCGCTTCAGAAGCTACAGAGCGTGATACACCTCCAGACGCTCGCGCGCAAGAAGCCCAAGATTCTGTGGTGGATGCAGCACAAGTGGCACCAGCGTATACCTGTCGCGCTGCGCCGAAGGAAGAACGTAGTTCGCCCATCGCTTCTCAAGTTTATATAATCGGTTCAAGTCGTCGTCGTCCAGGGTCGACTTTACGATGTCGGTTGTCATATGGACCGGTCGAAGAACATTGTCGGTGCCAGTGCGAGACGACTGTATAGCCTGTGGAGGAACGACACACCTGCTTTGCATTCGGCTCGTTTAGCATCCGGAATTTTGTGCTTGTCTGTCGGAGTTGCAACTTCCAGGCCAACCTTGCACTACTACTTTGACCTTCAGTCGCTGCGGCCACCACCGTCATTGGCGCGGCGATCTGCAGAGCTTTTGCCAAGCCATTGACGCTGAGAGACAATTCAAAATGCGGCGTGGTGCGTCTCACCTAAACCTGGCGTGCCGACTTGCTCTGACCCCGCACCGACGGCTACATCCGTGTCGTAGGAATGCACAATTGCATCACCAGACATGCGAGCCATGGACTCCTCCATATTTCTTAGTTTAGTAATCTAGTACTCTCGTACCCCACCTGGACGGCCCAAGCAGGAACACAGAATACCCGGTACTAATGCTCCATCGTAGTCCCAAGGTGTTGATTTGCTCATGCGAGGCAACCTCGCGCGGATTGGCTAAAAATGCCGGCCTGGTTGTTGATTGGCGTAAACAGTGCAATTTCGTCCCTGGAAGCCAATGCTTGCGATTGCGAACGAGCTGCGTCAAGGTCCGTCGACGCGCTTGCGTGGCGCTGACGCGACTCTGTAGGCGGCGCGCCTGCCCTCAAGGCCGTCCAGCGGCTGGTGCAGTCCGAGTACATTGAGACGGCGCTCGCCCCGGCGCTGATCGAGCTCGTGCGCGATGCAAAGACGGAGCTGCCGCTGCGTGTGCCCTCCTTCTTGGCGCTCGCCAAGCTCTGCAACAACAGCGACCTCGACCTGCACCCGGCAGATACAATCGACCCGGCGCAGCTGGCGCTCACCGTCGCGGAGCAGCTCGACCACAGTGACATTCGCATGCAGGCGGCGGCCACGCTCGCGCTCTCCAACCTCACGACGCACCAGCTCGCTCTCGACGAGCCCGTGTTGCAGCAAGTCATCAAGTCCCTCGAAACGACGATCGAGCACGAAGGCATCCAGCGTGCCGTGCTGGGCTACCTTGGTCCGTGCCGCTTCCCTTTTGTGTTCGGATTCGCACGCCCTACGTAGGAAACGCCGCCGCCTCCGCCGACGCGCGCCAAGTGCTCATCAACGAGACCAACTGCATCGAACAGCTCTCGGAGCTCACACAAGCTGGCCGAGGTACTTGACAGATAGCACATCGCTTCTATGTGCGACAACGTGGGTACAAGGCGAACCGGTGCGGGGCGCGGCCGCCTTTACCATGGGCAACCTGCTCTCGGGTCGCGACGTCCACGCACAGAACATGTTGCGCGAGGTTTGTTATGCTTGGATACAAGATGCGTTGTCGGACGTATCTCTGGGATATGCTACATGTAGGTGGATGGTCTTCCCAGCTTGATTCTGCTCTTGTCGCCGGCGTACACGGAAGATGTACGTTGCATCTCCCATGACGTAAGTTTCCATTCACGGTGCTTCCTAGACGAACGAGTGCTCGGCCTGGGCCATTAGCCATGGCGTGCACCGCAACACGCTCAACCAGGTAGACACATGATACATCTATCAAGATGGACGTGTTACTGGTATTCTAGGATCTGGTCGGCGAAGCGGGTGGCATCGGCCTGCTCCTTCACCACTTGGTGTCTCCGAACGATGTACGTCCTGCACGACACATGCCTCGTCGCACGCACTGACGATGACTAGGATCTGCGCCGGAATGCGATTTTGGCCTTGTACAGCAGCGCTGTCGCCCATGCCGACAACATTGACCGCGTCAAGCGCGGGGAAGGCGAGATGCTCGTGGAACAACTCCTCACGGACGAGAGCCCCGAGTGCCGCGAGTACGCGACGTTGCTGTTGCAGGAATTTTAGACCCCACAAGAGAGATGTACCTTCTTGTCTTCCATCCGCTGCCTTCTCTCTGCTTGGTTACGTTGCAATCGTCTGCGCCACCCCTGTGACTGCCATTGCGCTCCGATAGCATCACACCACCCTACCCCCATCAAGGCGCTACATTACGGCCCGACGCGACATCAGCACGAAACGAGCCAGCACGCGGGACCAACAACAGTGTGCTTTTGTTGCGTAAAAGCAAGATGCAGTTTTTACGCTTTACGCCGACGGTGGCGAGATTTCATTTCTACATTCCACGCGGCATGCGCACCTCGGTCGTTCTCCTCTCTCTCACGTCGTTCTGGCTGCACGACGTCCACGCCCACAGCTGGCTCGACGCCATCACGTGTGGCGACCAGATCGGATACGCGCGCAACTTTTCATCGCGGGACGCCTTGCTGCGCGACGGCATCGTCTTTGACCGCTTCATGACGTACCGCCTCGAAAACCGGAATGCGTCGCAGCTGCTCTGCGCGCCGACGCAGCGACAGCCGCTGCAGCGGACGACGCACCCGCGCCTCGTTTGCGCGCCCGGCGCGACTGTCACGTTCTACTACAACGAGAACGGCCACGTGACCAAGGACAAGTGCCAACCAAAGGATCCGCGCGGCTGCGACGGCATCTACCCGAAAAACACACCGTGGTACGTCTACTGGGACGTTTTGGGGAGCAACAAGACGACCCGGAATGACACGACGCCGCTTGGAAGCAAGGCCAACGACACACGCTTAATGGAGCTTGGGCGAGGCTTCTTTGACGACGGGCTCTGCGGTGAGACGACCAAGTACGGCCAGCCGCGTGCCCGTCAAGGGCGGCCGTGCACCGGGTCGTTCCAGTTGCCATTCATGAACGCAACCACCCGCAACACCAAGAACACCACCACGCAAGTGCTATCGTTGGTGTGGCACTGGGTCTTTGACAAGGTCTACGGTGTCGGCGAGGAGTACACGACCTGCTTTGACATTGCCCTTGCGTAAAGTATCAATCTTTCAACTCTGTACACAAAACGGCCGTGTTGCTGCGTCATTTTATGCTACTACCATGTGTGCTGGATGGAAAAAAGAAGGCTGTTTACTAGTCCTACGGTGCTATACTACACGACGAGGCCTGGGTCGCGGCCCGACGACGCTGCGGGCTCGGCGTGGTTGGGGTCGATCGAGGTCCGGCAGGTCGGGCACGTCGCGTTCACAACGAGCCACTCGTCGACGCACTCTTTGTGGAAGTGGTGGTTGCAGTGCAAGATGCGCACGTGCTGCGACTCGTCGTACTCGTTGAGACAAATGCAGCAGCTCGCGTCCTATTGAATCGATAAATATATATCAACTTGATACACGTGTCCGAGGCGCATACCTCGTCTGGAAAAAGGTGGGGGGTGTAGGGTACACTCGAGAGCGCCGCAATCATCTAATGGCAGTGTACATGCATGAGATATAGGCCGAAAGAGGAGGCCGTGTCGCTATTGCATAGTACCTCCTTGGACGCGCCCTTGCCCCGCATCGGATCTTGCATGCGGTTGAGGATGCGAATCAAGCACGGAAGACAAAAGCACACAACAGGCAAGAGGGCCATGAGGATGAGGCACGGCAGGAAGATCTTGATGTAGCAAATGATGATCATCGCCAGCGCCATGTTGTACATGTGCCCGTCGCCTTGCGTGCTGCAGTGGTCTTCGTCCGAGATGACCCACATGTTGCCGACGAGGAACCAAAAAAGCCCCATGAGCTCCATGCCGTACTTGGCCGACTGCAGCGCCGACTTGACGCTGGTCGTCGCCCACGGGCTGCGAATCGTCGGCCGATGCGTGTAGTAGACGGCCCACTCGACAAGAACTGTGAAGAAGAGGTGCATCGCATGGAAGAGCGTCCAGTACTTGACGCGGTCGCAGCGCGTGTTGCCCGCGTCGTCCCAGTAGAGGCCCATGACGATGCTCGCCGCGATAACCTGCGGCAAGTTGAAGACCGCGAGCGCGATGACCATAAGCCGCGTGCTCGTCGCCTCGCGAGCTTCTTGCACGCTACTGTTGAGCACGTTCATGCGCACGGCCTGCGCCTCCTCATGCGGCGGAAGCGGCGCGGTGAGGAGCCGCGACCGGTCCTCCGGCGTGCTGCTGCTGCGGGTCATCGTCTCGTGGGACCGGCCGCTCATCGTGTCGTCAGCTCCGAACAAGCCGACCTGGTTATCCGGATAACGGCAGAGCGACCATACTAAACAACCCACAAGAAACACAAGGCCTGGGTCATCCGGATAATCTCGCAAGGCCATTGGCCAGACTGCAAGGTGGCACAGATCTTGTTGTGAAGTCCCGGTCCCGGTGGGCTTGAGGCAACCTCCAACCCTCGTCAAGTTCAGGTGACGGGTGTGTGAAGCTGTGGCATGGTCCATGCTGGCTGTGATGCAGAGGGGTGCTCAATGAAGGGACGGCTGGTCGCTGAGATGACCGACCGGTCCCGCTGTATTGCTATTGAGCTTGAAACGAGTGCAAGGCGGTGCTTGTTGATTAGTTAGTAGGTGGGTCCTCGTTTACTTTGCTCACGTCGACGCCGAGGAGCTTGGAAAATAAAAGCATCTGGAGGCGCTCGGTCCGTTCGTGGCGCATTTCGTCTTTTCGGCGCTGCTCGTCGCGGATCCGCTGCTCCATCAAGTACCGTTCTTCCATCGCGAGCCGCCGGGCCTCTTCGCGCTCTTCCCGCTCGCGCCGCCGGGCGTCTTCGCGCTCTTCGCGTTGCTCCATGCGCAGCTGCGATCGCTCGTCCATGAGCATGAGCAGCGTCACGATCTCCGTCGAGAGACCACCTCGTTGCAGCGTCTCGGCGTCCATCGCCGGCGACAGGCGCTTGAATACGGTCGCGTCGGCGTCCGAGGTGGTCACCGACTCGTCGTGTGCTCGCTTGCGCACGCGGCGCGCGGTCTCGACGTAGGACCGCTCGGATGGCTCGCCAACAGCGACCCGCGAGGCGCGTGGCAGCTCGGGCGACACACGGTCGGTGGCAGGAGGCACGACGCGCGCAATGCTCTGTGCATCGCCGTCACTGTGCGTCTCGCGCCGCTCGCTCATGGGATGGTCGACTGCAGCCTCGTCGTCGTCGCGCGTCGAGCTGTCGCCGCGTGACGAGCCTGCATCATCGTCCTCGTGGTAGTTCTTGTCGCCCTTGAGCTCGATCTCGTGCTGGAGCGCCCGCGCCCAGCGGGCATCTTCGGGGCAGTCGGGGTCGCCAGCACGTCCTGTGCTTCGGAGCTTGTTGAACTTGCGCTTCGCAGCTTCCCAGTCACGCTCGTGGAGGCGGTCCGGGTGTTTGTTGTAGATCTGGGCGAGGCGCTGCCACTGCGGCTGCGTCAGCGGAAGCAGTTCGCCCACGAGCGAGAGGAGGATGTCGACGTCGGATTTCGCCCAGTTGGGCACGCCCACCGAGACGCGCGGTGGCTTGGTGGGTGCTGGCGCGCGCGGCGGGTTCATCTCGCTGGCGCCGGGACGGTCGAGGAAAGAATGGCAACTGGGTGCAGACCACATTTTAATTTGCCTTGTGGCCTTTCTGGATCTGGTTCGCTCTCGCCATCAGATGAACTTCGATTTTGGCTTCGAGATGCATACAAAAACAGAGCTCTGGATTCGAAGCGGAGGCTCCAACTTCGATATCTAGCACCCGGTTCGATCCTCGTTGGCGCTGAATTCGGATCCAGCACCGCACCGGATTGGCTCTTTCCAGCTCAAGTAGGATGTGGCATCGGGCGCATGCCCAAGTACTAGACGCGTCTGGTCGGCGGCCTTTCCACCGTCAAGAAACGATGACCAGTGCAGCGCGTCTCTTATCGCACACCTCAGCCGGGCCTCAACTAACAGTTAATAGCCATTCCCGAACAACTAGAAGTTGTCAACTCTTGCCAATAGTAGTCTACCCGAATTTCCACTCAGTTATTTAAAGTTGGTGACCCGCGTCTTCGCTGCTATGCAACAGAGTAGACATGGTTGCCATGGCTTGCTTCCATCTTGTTTTTTGTTATATGTCGCGCTGAAGACGGGACATCACTGACCACCGCAAGGCGCGAAATCGGACTCTTCTGCTCGCATCGAATGGTCTAAATGAGCTTGGCGAGCACGCGGCGGACCGTGTTCATGTTGCGTAGCGTTAGCGCCGCTCCCACGAGCTTCTCGAACGGCTTATTGAAGCACGGCGACTTGCTCATCGTCGTCTCTGCAAACCACACGAGCGTGTCGGTCGTCGCTGCCGCAAAGCTGTCACTGGCGGTTGCCCACGTCATTGCGAGCGCCACTTGGTCGTCTGAGAAGGTAGTTTTCCCAAACATGGCGTGGATCGTCGACGCGCCGTGCGGTGCGTTCGCATCGACGAACGCGACAAGGTCCTCGAGCTGCGTCTTGGATCGCACCATGACGGGAATCTCAAATCCGACATGGGCGGTCAGGTACCTCTCAATACGGGCTTCGAGGTCCTCGGATGGCGGTGCACCGTTCGCGTCAAAAAGCACATTCCCCGACGCGAGAAAGGTCGAGACATCCTGAAAGCCCATCGCTCGAAAGTGCGCTGCGATCGTTGCCATCTTGACGACGCGCCCACCGACGTTGACCGCTCGCAGAAAGGCGACGCGCCAGTCGGGCGCCGCCTTGGCTTTCTTCACGACCGGCGCCTCATCCGTCGCAGCCTTGCGCTTGCCCATGCTAGTGACGAGGTGAAAGAAAAGATGACGCTAGCTGACGTGGTTGTTGGGCGTCTGAACTTTTCCTATCAGCAGAGTTCCCACGTGACGCGCCAAGTGCAACTTGGCGGGAACGCATCCGGATAACGTCCAAGCGCGTCCCGTCAACCTCCCCACGCATCTCGTCATGAGAGGTTGACAACGATAACGGTCGATGGAGCCATCGGCGTAAACAATCATGCTTCCCTCGTGTTATCATCGGTGGTCTGGAATCATCCCTCGATCCCCACGGCGTTGGCCATCCATGTGTCCGGATACCAGCCGGCATATCCGGATACACCACAAAACCCGACTTCAACCACACCCAGGATGTTCCGGTCGCTCTTGACACCGACCCGCGCCGCCTCGGTGGGCGTGGCCTCTGCACTCGGTCTTGCATCTGCCGCCTCGAGCCAGACGCGAGCGAATGGTCTCAACAACGAGGCGCGCCATCCCCGTGCGATCATCGCCAACCCTGGTACAGACCAAACTACTGCTCCGTAAGCCGTAAGCAATATGTAGATGTGTTTGCGACCAAGCTGCACAAGATGGTGCAAGACGGCCCCGAGAAGCTGCTCTTGATTGCCGACTTTGACTTTACGTTGACGCCGTACTTCAACAAGGACGGGGGCCGCGGCCACTCGTGCCATGGGATGCTGGTGCGCGTCATCACAATACGAACCGAGACCAGGCTAACACGATTGTACATGACTAGGCCTCGAGTCACGTGCTCGATCCAGAGTTTTTCGCCAAGTCGAATGCGCTGTTTCAGAAGTTTTACCCGATTGAAATTTCGCCGATTCTTGCGCACGACGAGAAGGAACCGCACATGATCGAATGGTATGACGTCAATCGCGTTGACAGACCTCTTTTTGTTGTTGCAATCAATGAACTCTACGATGGGTGATGACGCGCTTGCATCGTTAGGTGGACGACGGAGCACCAACTCTTTGTGGACCACAAGATGCACCGCCACCACGTCCAGGCCGCGGTTGCCAAGTCGGACATTGAGTTTCGCGATGGCTTTACTGAGCTCTTCCGCGACCTTGCTGCGCACAACGTGCCGACGCTCATCTTCTCGGCGGGTCTAGCAGGTAGTTCGCCGCATCCGAAATGCACAAAATCCATGAAAAAAATGATGATCATTTTTGTGTGGAATTATTGTAGATGTCATCCACAATGTGCTCCAGAAAATCTACAAGGACGCTATCTTTACGCCCAACCTCCACATCGTCTCGAACGTGATGCGGTTTGAAGAGCCCAGTGGGAAGCTCCTCGGGTTCCACGACCCGGTACGATTTGCCACCTGCCACCCACTCGAAAGCTGATGCATTATGGCGTAGCTGATCCACTGCCACAACAAGAACGCGACTGTGCTGCGTGAGAGCTCGTTCTGGCAGGAATGCGAAGCGCGCCACAATGTGCTTTTGCTCGGCGACTCGGTAACATGCCAAGAGGATGTCTCTCTTGATTGAACGATTCGAACTAGGTCGGGGATGCCCAAATGGCGACAGGGCTGCCTGTGCACAACATCATCAAGATTGGGTTCCTCAACCATAGCCAAGAAGAACGCCTCGCCGAGTACCTCGGTATCTTTGACGTCGTCATCATCAACGACGGCACGCTCAGCCTGCCCCATACGCTTCTGCGTGCGATTGCAGGCAAGTAAGCCTTGACGCAGCGCGGAGAATCAGCCACGGATACGGCTTTATCTTCGCTGTTGCTTTTAAAGACCAAAGTTGGTCTATTACATTGGCACACTACACGCTCACCGAGGCCGACCGCACCACGTCGGCGAGCCGTGCATAGTTGCTCGTGGTATTATACACGTGGGCCGAGAGCCGAACGTACAAGTGCCCTTCGATGCACTTGACGGGCACTTCGATCGCATGCAAAAAGTGCAGCGAGTCTTGCACTAGCTTGGCGTCGACGGACGTCGGCGTCGACGACGTGCCAAAGACGCGCGGCGGCAGCGCTACGAGGCGCATGCTGCACTGCTTGTGGGACGGGACATCGCGCGCCTAGAAAAAGCAAGAGCTTGAGACAATTATGCAGTTGATGCGGACGGGGCTACCGGCGGGAGCTGCCAGTGCCGTGTGAGCTCCGTCGCTGCGTCGGCGGCCGTCGTGTGCATGTAGGCACGGACGGCTTCGACGTTGTGCGATGCCCAGAACGAGAGGCAGGCGGGGAGTGCGAGGAGCGACGCGTAGTCTTGGAGCCCTGTCCAGAGGAAGGTACTCTGGAAGCCGTCGTCCATGCCGTGGGACTGCACTTGGGGGCGTATAATGGACTGGTAGTGCGGCGCGACGTGCAGAAAGGCTGCGCCTTTGGGCGCACTGAGCCACTTGTGGCAATTGCCAACCTAGAATAGACCACTTGCGTTCAAAAAGATGGCAAACGACGAGCTTCCTGTACGTAAAAGTCGGCACCGATGGCACTCAAGTCAAGCGGGAGGTTCAAGAGTCCGTGGGCGCCGTCAAGAAGCACCGGGATGCCACGCGCGTGACAGAGCTCCGTGATGCGCTGGACCGGCAGCACGGTCGCCGTGTTGGACGTGATGTGGTCCATAACGACGAGCCTACAACGCTTGTATCGATGCGAAACATGAACGTCGGCTGGTACCGGCAGCCGGACGCGGGCAGCGTCTCGGCGATACGCGCAATGATCGCGTCGTCGTCGTGCGCGTCGGCAAAGCTCAAGGCGTGGGATGCATGGACGAGCTGTTTCTCGGCGCACACTTGATGCAGGAGCTTCTTGACGGCACCGTACGCCACGTCCAAGCTGTAGATCGAGTCGCCGGGCTGCATGGTCGCAGCCATCGATTGAATCACCTACCGTGGCAGTTAAAGGAAATCGGTCAAAGAGGCCGGGAGATATACCGCGTTGAGGCCCGATGTGGCGTTGGGCAGCAAGACGACGTCCTTCGGTGGCGCATGCAACGCGCTGGCAAGGGCTTGAATCGCGTGGACGAGGTAAAAGAAGAGCTCCCGGTCGTAAAACTTTAGTGGCTGGCGCTCCGCGAGCTCCCGCCACTGCTGCGCGGCCGCCATGCCCGGCCGAAGCGATGCGCCAAAGGCGCCGTGGTTGATAAACGTCCACGCTGGGTCGAGAAAGAAGTGCTGGCGCATCGGCGTTCCGAACGCCGTCGGGGGGCCATGGTCATCCATGACCACGGGCAGCTCTATGGCGCCTTGCTCAAAGATGTCGTCAATGCTAGGCGTATGGAACGAGCCCATCGCCGTGTAGCCTGTCGCCTTGACGCTGTACGAGCGGCGCGCCGCTCGGATCCATGGCCGCAGGTGACTCATCGTGCACTGTACCGGTAGCAATCGTCCGGCGAATTCCAGTGGCATGTCTCCAATTAATTCGCTTACATAAGCACGGGCGCGACGCTTTGTCGCCATACGGTACGGGCATGGAAATCGCAGCGCTCTTTGCCGACGCCATCTACTACGAGGGACCAGATGCTGGCTCGATCCACGTGGCGTCCAGCGTGTCGAGCGTACCCACGCCGGCGTCGGCAGCACATGGCCAATGTTTTCTATGTCTTTTATAAGCGAATTCTGGATGGTATCCGTACAGCTATATCTCGCTTTATGGTGCCAAGTGCCGAGATGGAAAGGAATTGCCCGCATGGTGTATGCTACAATGGTGGTCAACTCCTGTCTTGCAAGCTTTGGACATGCGCCTTTATGCTGTTTGTTGGATCTGGAACCTCCCATTACGCACCTTCGTCGGCCTCTGGAACCTACACTTGACCCGTTCTCGTGTCACCAAGACCTCGCCTACTCAGCTCGTTGGCGACTCAAGCTACTTGCGTCAAGAGGCAATTTGCCGTTTGCAGTTGAAGTGCCCACGCTCCAGCTGAATTGACGGCCCTGTATAGACAAGGCGATGTCGACGCGCCATTCTAAATCGCGCTTCGAACTTGGTATTTGTATGCAGAATTGAATGTGTGTTTAAAAAAGCCGCGCTCCACTTGGAAACCGTGTCATTTCTTTTCGATCTTTTATCATACATACAAATATCTAGAGATGGTATAATAAAAATACAATTCGGTCTTTTCCATCACTGTACCTGAACCCATTGGGCGAGTTGCGGCGGCAGGCGGACTGTCCAAGATGACCGCGCCAAGCAAGGTCAAGCACACGCGGTACTATGAGCTCATGGGCGTCGCCGTGAACGCTTCGGCCGACGAGCTCAAGAAGGCCTACCGCCGCAAGGCGCTGCAGCTGCACCCGGACAAGCGCGGCAACACGCCCGAGGCGCAGGACGAGTTTACAGCCATGAAGGCGGCCTACGACGTCTTGAGCGACCCCAAGCAGCGCGAAATCTACGACACGATGGGCGAAGACGGCCTCCGCGTCATGAACGACTTTGGCGAAATGCGCTTTGACGACGTTGTGACTGCGGCCGTTGGCGCCGTCGCGGCCATGAGCGCGTGTGCCAAGATGATGATCTTTATGGCGGTGCTTCTCGGCCTCGGCCTCGCGCTCTTGGTGCCCAGTACGCTTGCATTTGATGCACGATACATTAGATCGATGCTAACGCGCGCTGCTAGTCTTGTGGTGCCTCCGCGCCGACAACGACGTCGACTGGTCCTGGATCAACGTGTTTGCCCCCATGTGGCTTCTCGACGCGATCTACCTGTGCTGGACAGGCTGCTCCATGGCGGCCGGTGACGCGACCGACGACGTGGACACGTCGGACCGCCCGTCGCGCACCACGCGGTGCCTTGCCAAATGGTACGATCGACACACCACGGTGTACGAGAATGTGCTAAGGCCTGCTGTCCGTAGCGCGGTGGTGCTGCATATTCTGCTGTTTGTCTTGACGCAGATCTTTGTCGCGATGAAGCTCCAGGGCTCGGTCACGTGGAGCTGCGGCGTCGTCTTGGCACCGCTCTTCGTGCTCGAAGGGTTTTACTTGAGCGAGAAGCTTCTGGTGGCCTACCGAGTCTACGATGCCTTCCGCGCCAAGCCGGATGCGCCCGTGCACTTCCTCATGCGTGAGATTGCGCGGTCGTGTCTCGTGAGCGTGCTCTCGCTCTCGTTTGAGATCCTATTGGCACTGCGCATCGACGGTGTCATTACTGTCTCGTGGTGGCTCGTCTTCCTTCCGGTGTGGCTCCTCCTGGCGCTCCTCGCGGCACCGCTGCTTCGCGCGATGACCATGCGTCCGCCAGCAGGCGACGGCGAAGCACCGGCGCCGTCCTATGGCATGCATGCGTGCTTGCTGCTCGGGCTTCTCGCCCTCGTGAGCCCTTTTGTGCTCCTGGCTGCGCGCCTCGAAACGTCGATCCAGACGTCGCTGTATGTGCTCTTGCCGTGGTTCCTTGTCGTAAGCCCGTCGGAGACCCTCCGAGACGACTGAGAATGTGCGTAGGCTGGCGCGGTGCTGCTCACAATTTGCACGTGCCTGTGCTGTCTGCGGCCCATCGAGGCGGCCAAGGACGACGACGATGCGCCAAGTGTCGAGTCGCCGCGCCACAACACTGATGCGTCGCCACACCCGTACTACCACGATGACAACATGGCCTAGGCATGGTTGAGCGGCAAGCGCTCTACCACCTTGAGGTGGTGAGCACCGCAGGCGGTGCATGAACATATAAGTGTAGCAGGTTGTATACATGTGTACAGTACTGTGGACGCATCAAACGGCATTTGTGGCGTTGCAGCACTAACTCGAAATTACGTGTCGCAGACGACATTGTGTGCATCGCGCCAGGAGACATTGTCTTATTCCCTTGTCAAGACCTTTTGTTCCATATCAACACAATGCAAGGATGAAACGTTACGAAATAGGATGCAAACAATATGTACGATGGTCTGCTCTACATGCCGGCTTCCTTGGGAAACGGCGTCTTGGACTCGTTGTACTCGGCGTCTTCGCCCGAGAGCTCTTCGAGCGTGAGACCCTTGGTCTCCGGCACCCAGAACGAGAAGAGAAGACCCATAAAGCAGCACGCCGAGAAGATGTACAGCACACGGTCAAAGCCCCACGTCTTGGCGACAACCGCAAAGCACTGGGCCGCAATGATAGCACCGACCTTACCCGAGGCGGCCGAGATACCGTGGCCCGTCGAGCGCACGGCCGTCGGAAACACTTCGGCCGGAATGATAAAGGTTGTCGTGTTGGGGCCAAAGTTGAAGAAGAACTGCGCGAACGAGTACATCACAACAAAGATCGTCGTGTGGTTGGTCTTGAGGTCGTTGAGGAAGATGGCCATGAAGAGGAAGAGGAGCGTGAGCATGACGAAACCCATGTATTGGATCGGCTTGCGACCCCACTTTTCGACAAAAAAGACCGTAAACCAGTAGCCAGGCACCGTGCCGGCCAAGTTGATCAAGACCGTACCCACGGCGCGGTTCCAGAGATCGTCGTACATTTTCTGGTTGCCAGTTGTCGTGGGCGCACCGTAGCCGATTGTCTCGAGCACGACGGGCGTGTTGAGCGACGTGCCGTAGTAGCCAATGTCGAGGAAGAACCAACAGGCCGCACAACCGATGAGCACCTTGGCGTTCTTCCATTGACAAAAGTACGTCGTGAAGGCCTCGCGGAACGACTTGGCCGTGTTGGGCTTGGGCACCGTGCCGTTGTTGTCGTGCTTGGTACCCTCGAGGAACTGGTTGGCGTTGCGGACACCCTGCTCGGCATCGCCGAGGACGTCGACCGTAAAGCGCGGCGTCTCGGGAATACGGAGGCGCCAGTAGACAGCAGCCAAAGCCGGGATCGCGCCGAAACCGGCCAGAATACGCCAGCAGTAGCCAAGGTTGACGGCGCCACCTGAGATGATCATGTCCTTGAACGCCGCGAGCACAAAGCCATGCCCGCGCCGAGAATGATACCAAAGCCTTGCATGGCAAAGACGGCAGCGATGAACTGACCGCGGCGACTGCTAGACGCAAACTCACTCGTGATGACAGCCGAGACGGGGTAGTCACCGCCGACGCCGATACCCAAGATGAAGCGCCAGACCGCCATGAGGATCAAGACGTTGTCGGCCTCGCCGTTGATGGGCCAGACGGCCAGCGCACAGAGAAGAGCACCGCCGATCAAGATGATGAGCTCGATGCCGTACACCTTCTTGCGGCCGAGGATGTCACCGAGGACGGCGAACGAGAGCTGACCGACAGCGTTACCCCACGACGACGCGGCCTTGACCCAGCCATCGGCTTGCGACGATGGAAGACTGCTCTGGTGGTAGTATTCCCACGCAATCATGGGCACGATGAGGCCAATGACAAAGTTGTCGTACGAGTCGACGAGGAAGCCCGAGCCGGCGACGAGCATCGCGCGGACATGGGCCTTGGAGAACGTGGCTTGGTCGAGGTTGGCAAACACCTCGCGGCGGTTCTGCGCGGGCTCGATCGGTGTCGACATGATCGAAAATTGAAAAGTGAGGAGAGGGGTCGACGGCGCAGAGCCTCCCTGGCCTCAGCCGTGTTACACCCCTTTCTTCGTCCGAGTGGCTGACGGCCGTAGATTCTTGAGCAGTGGTGAAAGATTCAATACAGCGAGCATTGGAATCTCAATAATGGGTTGTCGTGCATCGCTGTTGCGGCGTGGGATAGGCCCGTCCGTCGCACACAGCTTGGTTTTCCCCGTTAGATGAACAATTTAACACGGCAACATATGACTTGAGCCATTTTGTGGTCACGTGTAGGTTCAAATTACCCTTTTCTGCACATGTCACGTCTGAAGTCTTCGAAGATTCGATCCAATGTCAAAGTGGAATCCGCACAGTTGGACGACTCCGGGTTGGGCGCACGAGGCAGCAACCATTTGATTTTCACCGTGTGCGAACGAGTGGCTGAATGCACGCAATGTGCACACTAGTTTCTGGCCCATGCGCAATTGAGCATCGAGGCGACACGACCCACATGCAGCACGAGTTCGAGCCCCTCATGTAAGCAGCGCGCTTGTGCAAAATAGGTGCCCATCGTGTGGAGCTCTTGAAGACGGCAACTCGCATCCCTTGGAGATCCCGTACAGTGCTCACGACCACCGAACACCGTTGCGTCATTTGTGTGCAAGGACGCAAGGCAATAACGCAGTGACACGCGAGCATATTTACTAGGCGTTGCTCTCTCCAGCCTGGGTGTTGTCGCCCGAAAGTGGCGTGTTTTCAGTTACACCGAAAAACCACCGGTGTGTGTGGAAAAGACGCGTGTGAAAAGGGCGCAAGGGACACGTCGCGTTGATGTCGGTGGCACGAAAACGCCGAAGGAATCTCCGATCCAGAGCCGTAAAATAGACGCGAAATATGCGGGCTCGCTGCTTCTGTCACGCCCTGATTCGTCGCCCGTCGATACCCGTACGGTGCTGATCAAGAACGAGGAATTTCGCCAAGGAAGCAGCACGAGGAAAGGCGCTATGCTTCAAGCTGGCGTCAACGATGCTCATCAAGAGAGCACTTTAACGTTCAGCAAAGGTCTAGAAACCTCACTCTGGGGATGGCGCGCACGTACTATGCTTCCGCAAAGGCACCCATAACGTGATGGTTGCGTGGCTGTCAGCCTTGTCTACGAAACTCCAACCCATCTCGAATGTTTTGCCACGTCATCTGGTTATCCTCTAAAACTCGATACCTTTACAATTTGATAGATACGCATCCATGGGGTCGAAGCGGCATGGCGCTGCGCTGGTGCTGCTGCTGCTCGCCGCCTCCATGCGCGCGCACATGCTTCCGGTCGTGTCTACCGCGCCGATGCTAGATCGCCATATATGCACGCTGCCTACGATTGCATTCAAGGCGACGTGGCCGGCTGCCACGTCAGACGCCACAATCGGGACGTCAGCCATGCTTAGAGCGTTCTTGTAGGTCTGACGGTGGGCCCGTTGTCGCCTATGAGCTACAGTACCGCGCTATAGCATCGGCTGAATGGACGACTGCGTCCAACACCATCACGGGCGGCGTCTCGTCCAACCCAGCGTATCAAGTGCAAACGATTGTCTCGACGGGCCACTCGGCAGCGTCGGTCATCGCCGGCGGGTACTTTCGGCTCTCTAGCTCCTACGACGGCGTCGTTAACATCGACGTCGAGACAGGTCCAATCCGTAGTGCCGAGTATGCCTGTGATCCGATAGCTTTTAGGGCGGTCATCGACGCCACTCATTTCGCACCAAGCAACTGCCGACCAGGTCCAACAAGCGCTACACGCCATCGAGGACCTCTTGGATGTCCGCGTCACGCGCGATGGACCGGATGCCAATGGCGGGTATCGGTGGCATGTGACCTTTCATGAGCAGCACCCACGCCCACTCCTGAGCATCCGCAGCAGCAACCTCGACAACGGCGACGTGACGGTGCTTCTCAACCGCGGCGATGGGCCCATGTGCGAAGGAAGCTGCGGCTATGTGCTTGGTCCATTGCACAACGCCACATCCTACATCGTGCGCGTCCGAGCCAAGAACGACGCGGTACCGCCATTGGTCCATGCGCTATTCTCACGAGGCAGCAGGGATCGGGACCGTGGTCCATCGAGTCGAATGCTCTGCTCACGTGTGCTCAAAGTAGCATCGATGATGACAAATCACATCCTAGTGTTTACTCAGTTGATGATGCTAGGTGTGCCGGATGCCGTCCGTGAACTCCGCGCCATTTCCAGCACGGAAGTCAGTGTCACGTTGGCTTGGGGCGCGCCAAAGACGCCTCATTGGCTGCCCATTCTTCGCTACGAGATGGGCTACCAATGCGACTTTGATCCGGCGTGGTCGACGCTGACGACGGCGTCACCAACGGTCGCGATCTCAGGCCTGCGTGCCCATGCCACTTGCCTGTACTTGTCAGTGTGTCTACTGTATCCTCAATCCGTCGTAGGTTTCGAGTGCAAGCGGCGAATGCTGTCGGCTTCGGCCCGATGGGACCGACGCTAACAGCCACCACGCAAGCGTCGGTGCCGTCACCGCCCCAAACTGTCACCTTGGCCGCGAGCGCCGCGACGCCGGAGGAGCTCACACTCGCCTTCACCGCCCCCACGTACGTCCTTGTTTCGACTCTCGCAAAGCCCACTCGATCACTGCAGTGACGACGGCGGGTTGCCGCTCGTCGGATTCCGCGTTGCGTACAAGCCGGTGTATGGATTTGAGTGGGTCGAATTGAAAGTTCGTATGCCGTCATACATTTGACGGGTGGTAACGACAGCCATAGCTCTCCAACGCGACAAGCGTACAGCTGCGTAACGTCCAAGCCTACACACGGTATATCGCTCGGGTTGCGGCGGTCAACGCCATCGGCCCGAGCGCTTACGTTGCGTCGGCCATCGTTCGCAGCAACGCACGGCGCGAGTTCCCAGCACCACCACGAGACGATATCACCGTACTGCCGAACGCCCGTTGCATTCGATTGGGCACGGTATCGTCCGTGGCTGCGAATGCCAACGATCTGGTCTACATGGGAGGCACTGCCAATGGGGGCGTAAACGGCAACGACGGCCAGGTACACACTCCTCGCAGCACCTCTGACGAGGTCATCTTGCCTACGATATTTCGCAGAACGGATTGATCGTGCTGCACCTCTACTCGACACTTGGATTGCGTGCGCAAGAGCTTGTGTTTGACCCGTCGGCTGGTGATATCCAGGTAGGTCATTTGACTTGGTCAACAAACTCTCTATCGATGTACAATATTGTCTTTCGTAGACGTTTCAGGTACCCCGACCCGATACGGGTACGTCGTGGGCGTACGTCGACGTCTTTGCGTGGGGTGGGGGTGGGGGCAGCGGCAAAAATCAAGTCTGTCCGACATGCAGTGCCGGTGGCGGCGGCGGCTTTAGCCGGGCACCGTTCGCGGTCACACCCGGCGATGTTTTCGTGCTTACGATCGGCGGTGGTGGACGTGGCTACCGCAACGGAGGTGACGGTGGTGCTGGCGGCGGCGGGCACGGCGGCCATGGCGACTTTGCCGGTGGCGGTGGCGGCGGTGCCAGTCTCGTGCGACGAGGTATGCGACGAATGCCCCGTCGACGATCATATTGAATGGTGTAGGAGACACCCTTCTCGTGGTTGCGGCGGGCGGCGGTGGCGGCGGGTCCACCGACTATTGCTGCTCCAACGGCGGTGGCGGTGGTGGCAACGAAGGTGCACCAGGCGTCGCAGTTTCGGCGGCCACGCTGCAACTGCCCCTGGATACCTGCAGCCGGGATGAGTTTCACTCGCGCTTTGTGTATGGTGACAACCGAGACTTTACGGGTCGACCCGCCCACGACAACGTGCTGCATCCCTCTCTATACCTAGCGAGCTCACCGCTGCTATGTAGAACATTGAGTTTGGGTTTTCGCCGTACGCAGATTATTCGCAGTTGGCGCTGCCCGGTGCCGGAGGATCGTCGCAAGCAGGTGGCGCCCCCGGCCAACAGAGCTCGTATCGTCATACCACGACGACGAGAGGTATCTATTACAACCCGCTTCCTTGGATCATCTTGGTGACCACGCGACATAGCGTCTTCGAACGGGTATCATCTCCATGGTGGTCAAGGCGGGGACAGCAAGAACGGCGGTGGCGGCGGTGGCAGTGGGTTCTACGGCGGCGGTGGTGGAGGAGGCGGCTTGGCGGGGGCAGGTGGCGGCGGCGGCGCCGGCTACGTCAACTGCGCTCTGGTACCTCACTTTTGTGTTTCCAACAATCCGACCACTCGTTCTAGGCGTATACGTCACGGCTCTACGTACCACCGCCGTCGCTTCTGGTACCTCGAAACCTTACCGTCTCGTCGACGCCACATGCACTGCAGTTAACTTGGCTCCCACCGCCCGCCGGTACTGCAATAGCCTCTCCTCGGATCAGCAACACATCGAGGTGTAGGGTTACTGGACACGGTTACTGGGTACCTCGTCGAGGTCGCCCCCGGCGTCGCCAACGAAAACTTTGCCACAGCGGGAACGACGACGAGTACGAGCTTCGTTCTTGATGGGCTCCCGCCGGCCACCGAGTACGCAGTGCGCGTCAAGGTCCTTGCACGATACAACCACGGAACCAAGGGGGCGCGCGTTACCGCTACCACAGCCAATGTCCCCGAAAATGTGTGGACATGGGTCCCGCCGAAGCAGCTGATGCAAGGCAACGTCGGCGCTGGGTTGTACCACACGGATGCACCGACGGCAGAGAGTCAGCCGACACCGTCGCTTCGGCGCGGGCACTCGCTCGTTGCGATAGAAGAGTTTGTCTACCTCTTTGGCGGGTACACTCAAAGGCACTTGGCGCCGAAAAGTGCTGCATGCGCGTAGATTCGGCCCTGGCTATGGCTGTCAGCGGGGCAACACGGGAGGGTGCAGTACGAGTGCGCGCGAAAACAACGAGCTCTGGCGCTACCACTCGCCAACTCAAACTTGGTGCTTATGTTCGACACGAGCTATCGACTCATGGTGCGCGGTAGGCTGCAGCTGCTAGTGCCTAGTGGTCCTAGTCCGCGGGAGAAGCACTCGGCCGTCAACCTCGGAGGCGCCCATATGCTACTGTTTGGTGGTCGACGACTGCAGGCAGACAACTCGCCGGTGCTCTTCAACGGTAGACCATGCACTGACCGAATTCGCATACCATGCAGGAATGTCTATAGATGTGTGGCTGCTCACAGGCGCCAGTGTCTGGAGTACGGTGACCACCGGTTTGACTACCGGTGTCAACCTGCCGATCCCGGACGGACTGGATCTCTGGACGACAGCCGTCGCACGCACCGATGTCTCGGCGACGTGCATTGCAGCGATGACCGTCACGCTTGTCTTGCAGCATGCGTGTCCGTCGTCGCTCGAGATTGGCTTGTATGGTCCAGGCCCAGACACCTTTTCACCGCTCCAAGACGACAGCATATCGGGCGTCGGTGCGACTGCCGAGGCGACGTGGTCCATCGAGACGTTCAACCAAACGACATTCGGTCGATCGCGGACGACGCCAACCGCTCCGTCGACACGGTGCGACGAATCATCGTGTCGTACAAAGCTACGAGGTGGCTCACTCCTGCGAGTAGAGGTCACCGAGTCGAGTTGTTTGCGTCCGCCAATGCCACCGCGTGCACACCGGGGACGACAACCATGAAGTTTTCGTCGAATGGCTCGGCGAGCAACCGGCCGTTGGAGCCATTTGAGGCGTTCCTGCACCTGCCCGCGGGCGGCGTCTGGACGCTACAGGTTCGCTTGGCAAGAAGCGTTCGATCGTACCGAGTGAGACGATAGATCCACGACACGGCCCAGGACGGCAACAGCGGCGTGCTCCTCAGCTGGAGCATATCATGGACAATGGTACGTTGGATCGTCGACAGGAAGCACCACCCTCGGAACCGTGTAGCAACCGTGTGTGCCAAGCTACGAGTGGAGTAACCTCACACCTTTGATCGCTGGTGTGCCGCCAACGCCCCGGTACGAGCACGCCGCGATCGTCGTTGGCACCAGTATGTTTGTCTATGGCGGTAAAACCACCGGCCTGGTCAACGCCAACGACCTCTATCGACTCGACTACGTCGCAGGCAGCTCCAGTACAATTTCGCATCAAAAGCTCAAAAGGTTCATAGCCCCCGACGTAGGCAATGCGTGGGTCACACTTTCCGCGATGCCTCTGCAGCGCTACCACCGACCGTCGGGACATCTCTCGTACCTCTCGCCTTTCGAGCTGCTGCGCATCTCGTCCGGGCTTACCGCCGCAATCTTCGACGACAGCACGGATACGGTGGAGCTGATGCAGTCGAGCGTCAGCACGCCGGGCGATCCCCTCGTCGGCATTCCGGTCGCGGGGAGGAGCCCCCGGCAGCGATACTTTGGCGCTGTTGCCGGTCTCGAGACCTCGTCCGAGCTCAAACTGGTGCTCTTTGGCGGGTATTTCTCCATTGAGATAAATGTGACTGCCTCAAGCACATATATAGGCAAGACCACACGGGTTTTCTCGGCGATACATGGGAGCTCCGCATGCGGCAGCCACCCAATCGTCTCTTTCCGCAAAGCGACGTCTGTGCGTGGCGACCGACCAACACTCGAGTGCAAGTGGAATGGAGCGCGTCGTGCGGCTGGACAAGTGGCACGATGCAAGCGTGTCCCGTCTCCAGCATCTTGCTCGCTGCATATTGCTCTCAGACGTACCAGAGCATCGCCAACCTCTACTAGTTTAAAATGGACAGACTGTATGTGCTTACGAAGCGTCTTCTTCGCTCTGGTCGTCGTACGAGACATTGAGTGCGCCAAATCGACGGCCCAGGAGCGATAGCACGCGCGCGAGGAGCATCTCTACTTGGCCCGGTGGCGTGTACTCGTCGTCCTTGGACTCTGCGATCGTGACGAGCCGCGGGCGACCTACCGACACGGGTATGGCGACTACAATACCAAAGTACCTACCCGCCGTGGTCAAGAACGTCTCGAGGGCGGCAAGCAGACCCTCGATCTCATCGTCGGACGCTTTGTGCTGTGGCAGGTCCATGCACGGTCCCGCCCACTCCATCTAGCACAGTAAAATACATGAAATATTTGTTGGACGGTAGACAAGACAGACCATCGCCAGCTCGTCGCTTGACGCAGTGAGCAGAAGATTGCGAAGAGCTACAAACTGCTCGGCCACGGCCGTTGGGGACAGCGTGTACAAGTCGATGAGCGGCGCCATCTACACGTGTGTGCTAGTATGCTCAATATTGTCTTCAACCTCGTGGACAGTACGTGGGCGTCATAGGCGGTGCGGTCTTCCCACACGCGCTCGCGAAACAACGTCGTCATGGTCCTACGCCTCGACGATGCCACATTGCATTCCGCTGCTTTCGTACGTTGCAAAGAGGCGGGCGTGCTCGAGCCGAGTGCTGTGCGGTAGCTCCGCCTTCTTCTTCTTGACGGGTTAGATACCAGTAGAGCAGTAGTACCGGCGAACCTACCTTGAAGGCGAGGTCGCCATAGATACCCGAAAGGAGCAACGCCGTGTCATCGCCCAAATCGCGCGTAATGTCTACGGCCGCGTAAACCTACTACGAGTACAGACAGCACTAAGAGACCTTGGCGAAACGGGTTGAGCGTTGAAAATAGTCGAGGCAAATGTCCAGCACATAGGGGCCCTCTGGCAATGGCGCCGCCGGGAGCTCGGCCACCGTGAGCTCAAGCGACCTACGAGCAAGGTCCATATTTTGATATAAAGACCGCTGTAGAGACATACGCTGGCTTCTCGAGCGCGTCCAGGGGCGCGTAGAGGTTCTCATCGACAAAGTACGACGCGTGGCTCGTCACGCCAAGGCAGCCTATGCGCTTCGTCGCGCTGCGTTCCTGTCGAGGCGCGAACCTGTGTCCTTTTGCTGACCAACGTGAAAGGTATGCGTGCCGATGGCCATCTGCATGCACGATGGCGAGGGAGCATGCGCAGCAGCAACGTTACCTGTGTCGCCCACGGCGGCTTGATCCATACGAGACGGTGTATGTGGCCGGCGTAGGCCAGTGGCAGTAAGAACGACGCAATGCCCGCATCGGAGGCGTCAAGGCCGTCGTACAATGCGCCGGGCGAGAAGATCGTCGCGGCCGGAAGACTCGGCGGAAAGGCCAAGTCGGCGTGCGCATCGACATGGACGATCGTGCAGTTGGCAAAGGGCAGGCGCCGCTGCCGAATGGCCTAGCCCATAGCAGCCTCTTAGAAGACGGATGCGCGGCCTGCGCGTACGCGGTGAATGGGCTCGAGCACGTGGTGGTGGTCGTCCACGACGTGGACCTCGAGTGGCTGCATGCCGTGCGAAAATGGCGTGTGCAGCGGCCTCCATGGGTACAAGCTTGGACAAACAATCACTTTTCGCGGGCGACTAAACGCACGCCATTCTAGACACTTGCTGGCGGTCTGGCCACTTCCCGCCGCGATCCAGATCACGTGGTTTGGACAAGAGCGATGCATCGTGAAGCGGCTCCAATGTACAAACGAGCTGCATTCTAACGGGTTATTACATGATGCTGCAGCTGCTCTCCTTCTTGGGTTCGGGTGCTTTCGGCGCCTCGGACGCCTCGGGCGCCGACGCTGGTCGCGGCTGCCAAGACTTTGGCAGGCGCCGCTCCTTGCTGGTGCTACTGCGGTTGCCACGGCTATGGGGGTTGTACGCGTCCCGGCGCGCCTCGGACGACGCCGACCGCGGCCGGTGTGTCCGGGTGCTCGAGGTGCGCTTTGGCTTGACGAGCGCGGCAGCGTCGGCCGCCGCCAGTGCCTTCTCCGCGGGCGTCGACGCCTTCTTCTTGGTCGGCGGTCGAGGCGCATCGGTCTCGGACGGCTTGAGCTGCTCCATGACCGGATACGCGATCGACGGCGTCGACGACAGAATCTCCACGAGCTGCGAGTACTCCCAGCTCGTGGGTTTGATCTGGTGCTGCGCAAAGTAGGCGAGCACCGTCGGGAGGTCCCACCCGGTCGTCGACTGCCGCAAGTTTAAGAGGACCGCGGTCAGCGTCTTCTCGCTCGGCGCAATGCTTTCCGTGAGCCGCATGCGGTTGAAGAGCGCGAGTGCCATGTGCGAGTCGGTCGTCTTGGAGCAGAGCCACAGCGCCGTGTTGTAGTGCCACTGGTCCATGGGCAAATCGCCGGCAAGGGCGACGCGAAGCACCTCGATCGCGAGCTGGTTCTCGCGGACGCCAATGCAGCTGTGGACCGCCGACATGCACGCAGCGACGCTCAGCGAGACGCGGCCCGCGCTCATCATCGCAAGAAACTGCGTCACCACGATGCTCGGACTCGCGTGGATGCGCTTGCACTTGAGAAAGTACCACGTGAACAGCTCCGGGGGGATCTCCAGGTCGTGCTTGCTGCAGTACTCAAAGATCGGCGTCGCGTCGGCGATGTGCGCCTGGATCTGGTCATGGCGGTGGTCAGGCACCGGTGACGTGTCCTTGCGCAAGATCATGCGCAGGCACGAGACCAGAATGCTATGGTCGACGGCAAGAATCGCCTCGAGATACGCAGCAAAGTCGCCGTCCGACCGCGTCCGGTGGACGTACATGTCGAGCGTCAAGTTCTGCGCCTTGGCCACGGCCGCAGCGTCCGCGCCGGCGACGTCGCTGAGCTCGCTGAGCACGCGCATGACGCTCTTGTTGAGCTGGTGCAGCTTAAAGTCGTGGCCTTCAATGTGCTTGTAGAGCGAGAGCGCACGCGCCACATCGCGCGTCTTAAGGCACTGGCGGATCATCGTAATGTAGCTCGAGGTCGGCATGGCCGACGGGTTGATCGCGACCGCCGACTCGAAGAGCGCGATGAGATCGCTCGACGACGATTGCGCGTGCTCGACGCCGCTCCGAAAGAAGTCGTTCCAGTTGATTGCGACGTCGCGCTTGATGGCGTACTCGAGCACCTCGCGCACCTCGGCGGCGTGCTGGCCGCGGCTCAGCGTCACGAGGATCCCGCGCACCTGGACCGCGTCCGGGACCATGCCCAGCGTGTCGAGGCCGCGGAAGACGGCCATGGCCTTCTCCGGGTTCTCGTTAAAGTGCTTCGTGAGCGGGCTCGAGTGCGCGGAAGAGATCCATCGGCGCAGGCCCTGCTTGGCGACCCGCTGCATTGCCGGCCGTCAACGCTTTCACACAATGATGATTGGTCTAGCGGGAAATGAAAAACGAGCCAATCCGCGGCGAAAACGGGTCGGAACGCACATTCATTGGCCAAAATAGGGGCCAATCACGACAACAGCGCAGATCGCAGATTCGCCAGCTACCCGCGATCCGCCTTCCGCGCTAGAATACCACTAGCGTTTAGAGTCTAGAGTCGCCCAATATTCTGGTAGAGAAGACGAAAGCGTTGGGCAATGGACAGGTCACCGACAGTATGAGCTGTCCAGAACGACCGTCCTTGGGATGCACGCAATAACCTTTGTCTCTCAACGCCCTAGACCCCCAACTGTTCATGCATGACAGGACGAGACCGACAGTCCACCGCGGGATTTCGATGGGTTAGTCGCTTGCTTACCACTTTTCCTTTAGCGATGACAAGTGCGGACGACGTGTCCTTCGAGACGCGGATGGCGCGTGTCCGTGCGCGCGTCAGTCACTGCGTCGCCAACAAGTCGCCGTGCTACGTATCTACCTTTGCCAAGACAATGACGGACCTCTCCAACTCCCAGCGGCGCCAGGCCACCATTCGCATTGTCGAGCTGCTCAAGCGCGACAAGTCGCTGCAGTTCAAGATTGATACGATTGGACGCGAGTACTTTGCTCCTCGAACTGCGGGAAGCCCGATGCTGCCGCTTCCACCCCCAAGCACCCCACGCCGCGTCGCACCGTCCCCTCCGATGCCACCGCCGCTGCCACCGTCGGCGCTCCCAGGAACGTTTGTCATGATCACGACACACCTCCACCTTGAGACGCTCGTGGCGTCGGCGGACCTTGTCGCACACGACGGACCGATCGGCGTCGATGTGTTGGGGCCAACCGCCGCGCTTGCGGTGCTGCAGCTCACGGTCGGCAGTACGGTCTTTTTCATCGACTGCAAGTCGATCTCGCCGGCGCTGGTGTGGCACGAACTGCGCGCGACGCTGCAGAATCCATTTGTGCCCAAGATTGTCTTTAACGTGTATGCCTTTGGACAAATCTTGGGGGCCATTGCCGAGACGACGACGGTGTGTCCGATGGCGGCCGTTCTGGACCTCGAGCTGGCGATGGAAGCCAAGACGGGTGCCGCCAGCAGCGACGCGTTCCACGCGCTGCTCGCCATGCACGGGATGGAGCGCCCGCCAAAGGAACACTGCCACGCGCGCGCCGCAAAAGCGCTCGGTGCCCGCCCCCTCTCGCACGACTTGCTCGAGACCGCTGCCTGGCACAGTCTTCTGCTTCAGCGTGCCTATATAAAGTTGCAGCCGTGGTTGTGCGCCACGTCGGACCGACTGGCGCAGCTCGAAGACGCGTCCTCGGTGCGCATCACGGCGGCCCTGACATTGTGCGAGCGGCAAGTCGCTTTTGACGCGGCGTCGCAACAGCTGACGTCGGTCGAGCTTTTGCCCCAAAGCACAATGGCCACCTCGCCGACGCTGGTGCTACATGACGACAACGTGGCAGATGTGATTTCGAGTTTGCTGCCGGCGCCATGGGCCGCGCATCTCTTGGTGCCCGAGGTGCTACCCCACGTGCACGACATTGATCTCGACGTTGGTCGGCGTCCGTGGGCGTGGGTCGGTGGCAAGCGGCTCTTTCTGGCGGCGGACCCCACGGCTACTGTAGGCGCTCCTGACGTTGCCCGCGTCGTGGCGGCGGTCGGGGGTTTTGGCACGGACAACCGAGCAGGTCTCGCGCGGCAACTCCACCGCGTCAGCGCCATGCGCAACCGCCATGGTGACGTGGTTGGCGTCACGGTGCGCATGGGCCGCTACGTGGAAGGGTGTGCCGGTATGCTGGCCGATATTCTCGCTGACACGACCAAGAACGTTCTCTTTCTGGGCGCGCCAGGGTGCGGCAAGACGACGCTGGTGCGCGACGTTGCGCGGCATTTGAGCCAGCGCCACAACGTGTGCATCATTGACACGAGCAATGAGATTGCTGGCGACGGCGACGTCCCGCACCACTGCGTCGGCCTTGCCCGGCGTATGATGGTGCCGTGTTTGAACGCGCAGGCAGCGGTCATGGTCGAGTGCGTCCAGAATCACACGCCCGAGGTGCTCGTCATTGACGAGATTGGCCGAGCGACCGAAGTGGAGGCGGCGCGCACGTGCCAGCAGCGCGGCGTGCGTACGATTGCATCGGCCCACGGCACGCTGCGCAAGCTGCTCAAGAACAAGCCGCTGCGAGGTCTTGTCGGCGGCGTCGAAGCCGTCACGGTGGGTGACGCGAATGCGCGGAAAGGCCCCGATGGCAGCGTGCACAAGGTGTGTGCTGAGCGCTGTGACGCGCCCATCTTTGACGTGATTGTCGAGCTCGCAAAAGGCGAGTATGACACGTGGCGCGTCGTGCTCGACGCTGCCGTCGCTGTCGACGCCATTTTGCAAGGCCACTCGTACGAGGTTCAAGTGCGGACGCGGTCGACGACGGCCTTTTCGATGTCGATGGAGCAGGCATGAGCCGCGTCGTGCGCTTGGGTGAAAAATGAGATGGAGAAGAAGGCAAACAAGAAACATGGAATTGAAAGCTGATGTATGTAAAGTCGCCCCAGCCGAGTGGCATTGACACCTAGCCCTGCTACCCTACAGTACATGTAATACACGTCAACCGAACGTCGCGAGGAGGTTGGAAACAGAATAAAAGACACTGAAAGGCCGTTCCCAGCGAGTTCGTGGCCGTTCCCCAACGCGACCCTTTTTAGCCAATCATATCGCGTGTCAGCCGCAAATCTTTGGTTTGAGCCAATCCTGGCACGCGATGCCCGTTCCGACCAGACGGACGCCATGCAGGAAGCATCCTTGCTCCATTTGCCAGGTGTCGCCATGGACGACCAGATCCAGGCCCTTGTCCGTGGCATCTACGCTGGCAGTGCCATCTCGGTCGTCTTTGAGGCCATGGACGTCGGCGTCCTCTCCAACGTCGTCCACGTCACCGTGACGCTACCGACACGCGTCGAGCACTTGATCGCCAAGTTCCCGCGCCCCGAGTTCCCCATGATGCACGCCATGTTTGCTGTCGAAGCGGCCTTCTACACGCGCACCAACAAGGCTAGCGTTCCGTTTGAGCTTCCGCCGCTTCTGTCAGCCTCGGCGGACGCGATCGTCCTCCGAAAGCTCGACAACGTCATCTCGTACTCGTGCTACGACGGCTGTCCATCGGAGCACGTGCTGCCGATTCTTACGCAGCTTGCCACGCTCCACGCCGCGTACTGGGACCAGTCGTTTCCGGAGCTGGCGGCGATTCCAGGCATTGGCGCCAACTTGAGCGTGCAGGAGAAACAGACCCACTTTTGCACCCTCTACGCACCGTTTTACGCCGACCTTGGGTTGCCTGCGACAACACTCGCCGCTCTCGACCACCTCTGCAACACCCTCGCGCAGGGCACACGACTCACGCGCCTTCACGAAGCGGTGGAAGCATGGCACAAGACTCTCATCCACGGTGACTTGCATGTGGCCAACATGCTCTTTCACGACGATCGCATTGTGCTTTTGGATTGGGCCACGTGCGGCAGAAGCAACCCGCTCCGGGACGTGGCCTTCTTCTTCACTGTCAGCGTCACGAGCACCGTGCGAGAGGCCACCGAGGCGCCGAGCCTCCGCGCCTACGCGACGACTCTTGCCCACGCGATCCCAAGTGTGTCGATCGAGGCCATCGAGACCATGTACTACCTCTGCGTCCTCAACCAGTTTGTGATCCTCGTCGGCTACAATACGCTCACGATGAGCCTCGCGGGCCTCGGGTCGACGCCGGCGAAGCAAGTGAAGCTTCGCGAGGGCTTTCTCGAGACCAACAAACGCAGCTGCGCAGCAGCGCTGCATGCTTACACTATGCTAGCCAAGCACGCTTTGTTTCATTAAATGTGAAAAAATGCTGGGTTTGGGGGCTCCAAGTGGTGCAACGCAGCGCGAGATCGACGGCGTCGTTGTACAAAGCAGATATATATCGAAGCTTCGAAGGGCGACAGTGCCGAAAGCTCGCCGAGATATGCCGCCGAAGGGACTGCACGGTCGACTGACGGTGTACGCTTTCTACCTCATCAACATCGACGATTTATCATGGGATGATAACTTCCTGCGTTTGCAGAGAAAACGGGAACAGTGCACTGCAAGGTAAAGTCAAGAATGACGTGGCAGTCCGACGTGCGCGTGAGAAATGGACGGTGCTCAAGCGTGGAATTCAGCCATGTCGTCTGCAAGATCCAGCGCTGTCTCAAGTACATTGTAGCGTGGCGAAATACCACGCGAGCAAGTCCGGGCCGTGCTGTACTCTGGCGGCCACGCCCACCGTATCCATCCATCCGGCAAGAGCATCCGGCAAGGTCGGGTTCCATCCAGTAGAAGAGCCTGGCAAAGCCGATGGTCGTTTCGTAGTTCCCTACCCGACAATCTCGGTAGAAGGTACGGTCGCTCCAAGTCTTAGAGCAGTGGTCAGTCGACGTAATGAACATGCTGAGATGCAAGCACGTTCGTGCAACCTCCTTCGCCACACGCCGCTTGTGCGGGTCGCGTAGCTATGGACGATAACACCATTCTGCTATTTCCCTTGTCATGCGCAGTCATTTCTACAGCCTTTTCAGCGCGCTCGCCGCGCTCGTCGCGGCCCAAACGATCGTGTTTCCAACGTCAGCGCCTGTCTCGTGCCCCGTGCCTGCGATCCGCCAGTCGTGGCTCAACATGACGGCGACGGACCAGCAGACGTACCTTGACGCCGTCGGCATTGCCATGGACAAGGGCTACCACTTCAACTTTTTGCAAATCTTGTCCGAGCCAAGCACGTACTTTGAGTATTACTCGACGTGCGGCTGGGCGTACAGCAGCCGCCGCCTTCTCCTTGCCTACCAAAACATGCTGCGCAGCCTCGGCCCGGCCTACGCCTGTATTACGATCCCGTACTGGGACTACTTTGCCGACAATGCGCAAATCCAGACCGGCACCTGCGACGGCACGCTGGGCAACTGCTCGAGCATCCTAACGGGCATGGGCGGCAACGCCGGGGCACCGACGTCGCTCACGATCGACGGCATTTCCGTGAGTGGCGCTGCGACGACAAGCTACCCGCTCAACCGTTTTTGCGAGCTCTACAACATCAGCTGCTCGGGGTACGTGCCCCGGGGCCCCGACTGGAACACGACGATCTTTCCCTCCGGCTTTGGGTACGCGACAATGGCCAACATGCTCAAGAGGGCGACGAGCTTTTACTCGTTTACGTTTGGCCTCAAGAACGGCATCCACAGTACGTGTACATATTGTCTACGATTTTGTAGACATGATATGCGACATGTGTAGACAGTTTGCACTTGGCGCTGGGTGGTGCCATGGTCGATGCCGGTCGCACGATGGCGGACCCCCTCTTCTTTAGCCAGCAGTACACCCGTTGGTCTATTGCAATGGCTTGCTCATACCATGTGCGCTTAGCGCGGCCCTCGACATGATGGTGCAAGTGTACATCGAGTGTTACTTTGGGACGAACCGGACCGTCGCCAAGAAGCTCAGCAGTCCGTGGGCGTTCTCGATCTGCGCGCCGTCGATCGCAGAGATGCCGAAAGCGCCGCGCGTCACGTCCAACATCACGCAGCGCCTTCCGCAGTCGTTTGAAAACTACACGACGATCGTCGACGCGGCCAACCACCCGGTGATTGGCCAGTTCTTTGCGTCGACGCCGCCCGCGTACTTTTCGTATGTCGATACGACGGACATGGGCGCCTTGAGCTACAACTACGACAAGAACGTGCTTGTCTCGAGCCTCCTCGCCAACGGATTCATCTGCCCCGTCAAGGCGTACAACCGCCGCCTCGAGGACGACGCCAGCTTATCCACGAAGCAGGCCGCCAGAGTCCGGCCGCGCAACGCGCGCGACGCGGCGGTTCGGCGCCTCAACAAGCTCCGACGCCAGTTCTGGCCAAGGCGATGACACTCACGTCGTACAAATTGGACGCGGCGCTTGAGCTCTACGCGGCGGCCGAATGCTTGATCGCCAATGCAAAGACGTCTGCGGTCGCCACGACTGGCATCTTCTCCACGCAGCCCATGGCGATACTCAGCAATGAGTCGTCGACGCCCGTGACGGAGACGGTGGCAGCACCATGCCGCTCCTCCGCCAGTACGCTCCTCGGCAGATCGGCGAATGCGATCATGCTGCGCGACTACATGCTTCGCTTTGTGAAGAGCACCAACACGATCACCTAGCCGACGACATGTCCGACAGACCAGACTCTGTGTCGACCCCACCGATTGAAGGTATCCTGCATATTAGTAAATGTTTGCTTCTAGTAACGAAACGCGATGAGTTGCTCATTCGCACGAGTATCCCGATACGAAACGTGGTGGAGGAGGTATCCCAAATGGAGGCATCCCAACGATCGCCGCACAGACAATACCCCGCTTGGCGATGGAAAGATAGATAGATAGATAGATAGATAGATAGATAGATAGATAGATAGATAGATAGATAGATAGATAGATAGATAGATAGATAGATAGATAGATAGATAGATAGATAGATAGATATATAGACGACACCTATCTAACTCTGAACGGGAGGCGATACGCCTACCGAAATAAAAGCGTCTTCCTACAAAGTACACTACCCAACTATGTATCCACACCCCGATAGACGTGCTGCTGCAGCATGAAAGAACAAGGTGCAGTAGAATTACGGGCTACGACGGCCGAGCAAGGGAGCGAAGCGTGTCACCGATCCTCTTTGCGATCGGCGTCGCATCCGACTCCATTTGGAGGTAGATGTTGCCGACGACATCGTACGCGTGGATGAGCATATCGTGCACAAATGGCATCGGTCCGAGCGCCTTGCGCATTTTCTCGTGCTGCTTTTGCTTGGTCGGGTGGTTGATCTTTTCGTAAACGAGCGCGAGGTTGTGGTGCGCGCGGGCCTGGCCCGCATGCGAATCCAGCTCGATCATGAGCGCGAGGTCCTTCAAATGACAATCAATCGCTTGGTCCATCTGGCCCTGCGCCGAGCAGACGTTGCCGAGGTTTGCATGGGCCCGGCCCTCGAGGTCCAAGTCGCATTCGCTGGATGCGAGCAGGAGGCACTTGGTGTGGCATTCGTACGCGCGGCTGTACTGTTCCGTGCTCACATACGCAACGCCGAGACCCTTGAGCCCGCGGCCCTGAAGCTTGGCGTGCCCCGCTAACGAGGCGAGACGGATGCACTCGAGCTGGCTCGCAATCGACGCGGCAAAGTGCCCCATTTCCTTCTTGGCCGTGCCGAGATGGTGGTGGACCAGGGCTTGCAGCGGGAGATCATCGAGCGTCGCGGCGAGGCGAAGCACGCTCTGGAGCGTCGCCACCGCCGCCGTAAGGTCGTTGCGCGCGTAGAGCTGGTACGATGCGAGCGCCAATTGCTCCGTCACGGGCACATATGCACCCGGAATCGCGACTTCGGTGAGGAAGAAACCAGTGTTCTCGGGCGTCTCGTCGACGGCTTCTTTGTCGAGCGGTAGCTCGAGGCCAAACCCGACCTTTGGTGGCTGCCACCGCTGCGACACCCGCGGCAACGGCGCTCCATTGGGCGTGAGCTGGCGCCGGGCAAACCGAGCACGGGGCTTACTTGCAATGCTACAGTGAATGATGCGAGGTTGGTGGCCAAGCAGTATATCTGCGACGTACGGCAATAGCTCGTGCATGGACGCACTTGCGCGCAAGCTTGTGTTGTTCAAGAGGCTTCGCTCCAGCACACTCGGCTCGGCGGGCGAGCTCGAGATCCGTCGGCTACACAGCAGCGTGAGACACCAAGGCCGATGTACACACGTACGGAAGCGTCGGCGTCGAAGCACTTGCTGTCAATGATGCTTGTTGGAGACTATTGTTGTTGTTGTTGTTGTCGCTTTCTGATTCGATCAGCGGCGATTTCAGAAGCTGGCTCCGTGCCTTGGCGAGCTGTTGTTTGGCGTCGTCCGAGACTGGCATCGGTAGCTGCCGACGTCGCGCTTTCGGCTCGGGCAGTGGGAGCGCTGGAATACTCGCGCACAAAGATTTTGGCGCCTCTTGCCGCGCCGGCTTTACGAGGTGCGACTCGCTCGGCTGGCGGCGCAGAGCGGCCGGTGCCGTTGCCGGGGGCGGTTGACTGTGTCGGGTGGCCACCAACGCTGCTTTCTATCCGAGCAGCTACGTCAACGCCCGTCTACGACTGCTTATAAAGGCGTACCACCGTGACTCGCGGCGCGACAGACCGGGTCTTGAGCTCCGCCGAGAGGTTCGGGTACGCGTTGGCGACGTCGAAGACCATGCCAAAGTTAGAGTGGCGGGATCCGATTGGTCGAGTTTTTGTGTTTTGGCCAATTGGATTTGCGTGTCAAATGCGATGATGGCACATCGTGCCTCGACGCCGCCCGTCTGCCCATGATCGCGGACGCATCGGTGGAGCTCGGCACCCACTGCCGTGCGCCAGTCGCATGCTACACCGTTGCACAACGTATGGTTCCGAGTATACTACCACTAAATTACCTTGCTATTATGTGACCCTACAACTATATCTTGTGGCGCCAGGATCTGCGTGCCACATCTTCCTGCACATCCTGCGGCCATTAGACAGCGAGACGCTCGTTGCGGCAGATTGCCGCCTTCATCGCATCCAACTCGGCTTCGTCTTGCACGAGCACGTCCATGTAATAGGGCGTCGAGACCCACTCGTCGACCTCGGGGCGTGGTGTCGTAATCTCGGAAAACGCCGTGCTCACGAGCGAGAGACGTGCGTCCGGCTGGAGGAATCGGGTTTGGTACCACACGCCAAGCAGCGTCACAACCACGACGCCAGCCGTGTAGAGCAGCGAGCACTGGACGTGGTTTCGCTCCGTGTGGCCCTTGTTAAAGGTCTCGGCGACCACAAGCGTGCCGAGGAGCGTCGTTGTGTGAACGAGTCGCAGCCGCTCACTGGTGCGCGCGGCGTACCGAGCGTACAAAACGAACGCGAGCGCGGTGGCCACATAGAGGCAGAGCTGCAGCACGAACGGAAACACGCGGAGCGACGTGAGCGTGTAGTCAAAGGCCAGCGCGATCGCTGCCACGTACAAGGCGAAGAGTCCGAGGCCATAGTATGACGCAGCGTAGTCTCGGACGAGCGATGCGTGCACGAGAAGACACAGAATGAGCACGAGGAACGCGATCGAGATGCCCGTGAAGCGGTTGACATCCAACGCGTCGGCGGCGGCGATCGTTGTGAGCGGCGGGAGCCCGGCGATGACGAGCTCGATGCGGCGGTACCCAGCAAAGATGCACACAAGGCCGTACGTGATGGCCGCGGCGTACAAGAGCACGTCCAGCGGGTCCATGGCGCTCGTGTCGGTGGGCAGCGGGAACAGCATAATTATATCCACGTCAAAGGTTCAATTCAAGAATACATCCGGCGACCAAGGACCGATATCCACCTTCTTACCAGCTGCGTTTCTTGGTGCAACTTGGGAAAGGCCAGGTTGCTCCAGTCGCATCCAGAACGTGTCAAGAAGACCCGTCGAGCCCATCGAGCATACGAATACCATGAGCCCATGCGCCATTGCATCCGCAGGCATCTCTACTGCATCGTCTGCGCGCCACCAACAACGTCCTCCCGACCTGTCGCGTGTCATCTTGGATCTTATTCTTGACTCGTATTCTTACGCGATCCCACGATCGAATATAAAGAAACGCGCATCTTCAACCCGAAAATGGATAGTCGATCGGAGGATGCGGCATCGTTTATGGCCACTTGCAGCTGCAGCCGTCTTGCGGTCGGAGCGCTGGCCGCGCGACAAAGCGCTCGCCGAGCTTGGTGCCCTTCTTGAGAAGGTACCCAAAGACCATGCTCGCGACCAAGGTGACCAGCGACGTCGCGTGCACGAGCCGCTCAAACACAAAGCCGAGGTGGCGGTCCCAAAAGAGAAGCCCGAGAATGACACTGCCAACGACCATCGTCGACATCATGAGCATGGTCTGGAGCGAGACCGGCGCCGCGTCCGCAAACGGCGAGTTCTTGTGGCGGCTCGGCACGTAGCGCTGCAGGAGCAAGTCGATCGAGTCCTGGCGGTGCCCATCCGCAAAGTTGTTGAGAAGGTACCGAAGGCACGAGTTGTACACGTCTTGGACGACGCCCTTCTTCGTGCGCTTGCCCGTGCTATATGCCCGTCAGTGGGTCGTCCTCGTCGGTTGGTGGGGATTCCTACCGGGTAAAGTCCGTCTTGAGCGCCCCCGTGCCTGCATAGAGGAACGAGATGGCGTCGGCATTGTTGCCCCACATGTTTTTGAACGCGACTTCCAACGCCGGGAATGGCGACGAGAGCACGTCGCCGTCGATGCTCTCGTTGGCCTGCAAGAGCAAGCTCCGGCGCGCAAATAGCGACTAAACGTCCATGGTGGTCTCGTCATCGAAGAAGACACGATGATCATGCGTGTGTATGTACCTGCACAACGTTGGTGCGGTCGAGGTTGTCCATGCAGTTGGTGCGCACAACGCCCGACTGTGTCGTCAGCACCTGGCCCGTCGCTGCCTTGGTAAAGTACCTAGAGCACGAATAGGATGTCACTATCTGGATACGAGCAGCCATCTTTCTATGGATAGACCCGTAGTCTAAGAAATCATTGTCGACTTGTTGGATGAGCTTGCTCAGGTGGTGCCACTGCATTTTGCGGCACTCGTGGTGGAAATCAAACCAGACGTAGCTACCATCGTACGATCTCCAACAAGGTGCCATGAGGACGAACGCACCGAACGTTGGCCAGGATGTGTGTGTCGCACGCCGACGCATGGCCGCACACCTTTTCAAACGCCTCGCCGAGTCGCAGCTGCTCCGTCTTCTTGTCGATCAAGTTGACCATGATCACGCGCCCGTAGAGCTTGATGAGCTCGTTTGCATGCACAGAGAACGCCAGCGTGTCCTACACGCATGCTAGAGCCGTCGACAAGTGGCGTCGTACCTTCTCGAGGTTGCCGCGCTGGTAGACCTTGGGTGCGTACTTCATCGTGGCGGGCGAGCTCCAATGGATCGGGATCGACCCTCGAATCTACGTGTCGGCTTGCGCATCGTCGGACATGGAGAGCGTCTACCTGCACAAACGAGGTCTGGCGGCCGTCCGCGAAGAGGCACGCTTGCTCGGTTTCGACAAAGTTGGCCACGTTGCCGTCCTATCAATGCATCGTGGAGGAGGATGGCGCGACGATCGATGTACCTCGTCGATACCGCGCATCGTGAAGCGTAGGCCCTGGCGACGGCACGATCGGCGCGAGATGTACACGACGTCGAACGCCTTGGACGAGCAAGCGAGCTGCTTGACGACCTCGATGTAGCCTTGCATGATCGGCACGACCCATTCAAAGAGCTTTTTCTCGAGGAGGAACCCGCAGGCCGCATAGTTCCAGCAGAACCGCGTGTCGGCGCGCTCGGCCACCGACTGCAGCGGCGACAGCGTCGCAATGCGCTGGAGCGAGTGCGTCAAGTCGTAGTCGTGCGCAAAGTAGAGCAGCTGCGACTCGACGTTGGTCGTGAGCATTTGCACATACCTAGAAGCAGCGCGTGACCAAGGCAATGCAGCATGACGTGGCGTCTACCGCTCTTCGTCTTGGAGCTGCGCCGCGCTCAAGAGCGGGACGTCGTGCGTCGGCAGCAGCACGAGCTCGATCGCGAGCACTTGGCGAAAGTCGACGTCGGCGGCGTCGTCGCGGCCGCGGAGGCCATGCACCTTGCCAACGCTCTTGGACTTGGTCACGAGCGCGAGGTACCGGCCCTTGAGCAGATGGTAGATGCCAAAGATGGCGTCAAAGGGCAGCGACCGTCCATGCGTGTGCTTGAGGTCCGCGGCTTCCTCGAGCATGAGGAAGTTGGGGCCCGTCGCATTGCGCTCGAGGAGGAGGCATTGGTCGACGTTCTTCTGCGAGATCGCGAGGTGGCTCTGGTCCGAGAGCACATGCAGCTCGAAGCGGCCTGTCGTCGACGTCATCCTTCTGCGTCCGGCAAAGGTGACGTGGAAATAGTAATAAAATTTGCCTGTCCGGATACCGGTCGGTTGCTGGCTGCGTCCAGGCGTGCTACCGTGACACACTGAAGCACGCACTCGCTTGCGCAGATCGCAGCCAAGTTGGATGGAGGCGAGCCATGCGAAGCGTGGTGGGCGGCCTCGTCGCGGGCAACAGCTCTCCGAGCCACATGGAGCACCATCCTCCTCATGGAATGCATGGGTGCCATTAGTCATCATGAATTCTGCCTTTATAACAAGCTGCACTTTACACGATTGTCTAATGGAACGCGTACTAAGCGAAACAATTGCAGGTAGAAGCGCGCTTGCATCGCCATCGTCATGCTCCTGGTGTCCGCTCTCATGTCCATGGGTCCGCTCTAGTGACCGTGGATACTGATGGCGGCAGCCGATACAGTGTCTGTCGTTGCTGAACAGCGTGCGTGAGTCCAGCCTCTGTCGCTTAGGAAAACCGAACGAGTATGTCGGCTATAAAGACAAAAAAGGATTTACTACAGTCGGGTATAAAAAGAATGAAACGGGGATCGATTCCACTCAGTCGCTTTTTGGCAGGCCACGATGATGGAACAGTACCTGCTCCGCGTGCCCAAGAAGGTGGGCACGGAGCTCCGGAAGAAGATCCAGGACAAGGACATCAAGGGCGTCGACATGGTCGCCGGCGGTAGGCCCGGCGAGCATCGGCCATCACGCCTATCTCGTCGTCTTTGTAGCGGACAACAAGCATTTCAAGTTCCACCTCGGCGACCAAGAGTACCCCGTGACGCTGAGTACGCGCCGGCATTGCTTGCAGGGCTTGATGTAGCAGTATGTCTCTAGACCAGCTGCCGTGCATTCTCGAGACGCACAAGACGTACGACGACAATCTCTTTTACAAGAGCGGCGAGATTGGGCAGGTGCGCGCGTGGATCGTCCGCGGCCGTGCGACGACCATGGACTGCTAGATCTTTATGGTCCATGAAAACGCGGAGAAGCAAAAGCTCTACGAAGACGTTGCCGAGCTCCCGAGTGGTATCACGCCGCCGACCACCAACATTGTCAAGCGCAAGTACTCCAAGACCAAGAAATACCCGACCTTTCCCGTGAGCATGCATCAGCATCGTGCCTCGTTCTCAAAATCACGCATAGAAATCTGACGTGGCCCGCGTCGAGGACAGCTTGATCCGCATCATGGGCGGCGGCGTCATCGAGGACGTGCGTACGTCCACCTCGCCTTGGATCACATCGTGGCTCTATCGCCCCTGCCTTCGTAGAGGAAGAGCTTGTCGACTACTGTGACTGGATGGTCACGGACGCTGAGCCCCACGGCATCGTCGTTTACGACGAAATGGACCTTATCGTGCAACACCCCGAGGTACACTGCGTTCCTTACGACGCTGCGGTGTGGACAGGTGGTGTATTAGTACTTGACGATCTCCAAGAAGAAGGACCAAAACGAGAAGGATGGCAACAGCGCTGGAAGCGTACTCGCTGACCGCGGACAGGCCATCGACGACGCTCGGACGCCGGCGGACGTGCTCTCGGAGGAGGACGACGATATGGACGACGACGGGAAGAGCAAGCCCGCGACCGCAGCGTCGACACCGACCAACAGCGGCAACAAGTCGGCCGAGGACGACGACTTTGACGAGGACATGGAGCGCATGCTCAACGAAGACATGGAGCGCATGCTCAACGAAGACATGGACGACGACGACGACGATGACAAGTACAACCTGCAGGAAGACCCGCAGTACGTGGCCTTTGTGCGCCAGCGCCAAGTGCTGCAGAAGAAGCTCCACGACCTCGAGACGGAGATTTTGACCAACCAAGCGAGCATTTCATCGGCGACCAACTTCGTGCTCAAGCAGCGCTTTCAAGTCAAGGACCAGACGCTGCAGCAACAGAAGGCGCAGCTTCACGACTCGCTCAACGAGGTACAATGCTTCCTGCGATGCGAAACGGATGTGGCACGCATGGTTCATTCCATGGTAGACCAACCAGGCGATCCAAGACCTCGAGGCCAAGGCCTAAGCGCTTGCCACTTGCCGCCTTTGGGTCTGGGAGGGTTAATGCGAGAAAATTATGAAAAAGAATGAGAGGATAATGGAGTTAGATTAGGTGTAGGCCTCGACAATGTGCTGCGAGCGTTCGAAATCGTTGTTGATAAAGACCCACTGCGTGAGTGTATTGGCCGTGACGCTGGCGTCGTAGACGTACGGCATGACCAGCGCGACGGGCTGCTTGGTCGCCGACGCCGGCTTGGCGAGCAAGAGCACATTGACGTACACGTACCCGGCCTTGTCGGGCACGTCGCGCCGCTCGTCGGCGACCATGATCTGCTCGATGAGGTTCATGGAGAAGGCCGTGTCCACTTCAACGCGGTTGAGGACCACGTCGTTGTCTTCGCGGACGATCGCCATGTTCTTGACACCAAGCGGAATGCACTTGACGCCCATCTTCTGGAGCCGCTTGGCTTCCTTGGCACTGCGCTTCTTGATCCATTCCGCAAGCGCCAGCTCCGTCGCGTCGAGCTCGTACGTCGTCGTCTCGGCCTCGGGCGTTGCCATCGTGTCGAATGCAGATTTGACTGGTGCTAATCCACTATCCGGACAATCGCATGTCCGGATACGAAGTGTTGCCGTTGATTTTGGCGGGAGAGTATCTGATCCTATGATCCTGGACTGCAAACTCGGGATCTGGTCGACGTCTTGCAATGAGGAAATCGCTCGTTGCATAGCGTGTTCGAACTCAAGCCACCAAAGACAAGCCCCAAGGAAATACACTATTAGTATCAAGGGGATAATGTGGCGCTGGCCGGTGGCTGTGAGACGACGGGACGTCGACGCTGAGCAGAGGTCCGGGTCGGTCGGTTGTTAAACACACTGTTCCTCAGGCAATCACACTCACAATGCTTGCGCTCGACTTCCGACCACTCTGTCTTTTTGTTAGGCATCCAGTGCATTGAGTGCACCGTACATATCGTGTTGGAATCATATTCTCAAAGCCAGTTGCCTTCTCGCATTGGACCCGGTATTCCAGATCCGAGCCAGTGCGTCCTGATCAAAGCCACACGCAAGCATTCCCATGGCGAATTTCACATTGGAAGCCTTGAAACTGAAGTCGATGCAAGTAGATTTTGGCTGAGGAGGCGTCGGACTTGCGGACGCCGCAGTAATGGGTGTCCTTGCCGCGTTTTGCGTTGTTTTTCTGGGTGAGATCCTTGCATGAACATATCAACAGAACTTTCTAAATCAACTGCATGGGCTACACACACCATGACGTGGCACACGCTACTTGCAATGTGCCGTTCCTTGGTAGCCTCTGCATATACAGTGCGGTGTGTACAGGGGTCTGCGATAGACACTTTTGCAATTAGGGGTAGGAATTCTTTTTCATATCCCACTACTAATCCCACTGTGGGTTCATATTATGAGTGTACCGATGCATGATGCATGGAAACCACGTGCAACGCCGGATCCAGGCTGTCAAGCGTAGTGAATGCAAACTCGGGAGGTTTTATTCGCACCCGAAGTTCATTTCCCAATTTGGTGTCTTCTACACAACAACAACGCACAAGTATGAAGCTCATTGCTACGACTCTCTTGCTGGCGGCTGTCGTCTCCAACGTCGAAGCCCATGGACGCCTCGTCAAGCCGCCTCACCGCGGTTACATTGGCAAGTTGCCCCAATTCAAAGACTTCGTCCCCACTGATTATTCGGACCACGGCCTGAACGGCGGCGGCATTGAGCAGACCAAGAGCGGTAAGCACGGTGTCTGCGGCGACCCGTACAACGGCAACCGTGCCCACGAGACTGGTGGGGTCTATGGTCTGTTCCCAACCCACGGCGCCAAGGTCATTGGCGACTGCTACGCCCCCGGTGCCACGATGGACCTCCAAGTCCAGATCACGGCCAACCACAAGGGCTACTTTGAGTTTGGTCTCTGCAAGCTCAACGGCAAGGGCGACAAGGAGACCGAAGAGTGCTTCCAGACGCTCTCGCAGCCCAACGGCGAGAAGCAGTGGCAGCTTCCCGCGGGCGCCGACTTTTTCAAGATGCAGTACAAGCTGCCGTCGGATGTCAAGTGCGACGGTGACTCGCACTGCGTGCTTCGGTGGTGGTACGTCGGTGGCAACAACCCGGGCGTTGGCATCAACGGCCAGGAGCAGTTCTGGAACTGCGCCGATATCTACATCAGCGACACGTGCGGGTCGGACCCGAAGCCGTCGCCGAGCTCGGCCAAGCCTACGCCGGCACCTTCGGATGCCCCTACTTCCAAGCCGAGTAACGTGCCCAGCCCGACGACCGAGGAACCGTGCGAACCGACGACGTCCAAGCCGATCCCGTCGAAGACGCCGTTGCCCAAGCCGACGTCCAAGACGCCCGTGCGCCCCACGATGAAGCCGACTACGAAGCCAACTACCAAGCCGACTACTAAGCCGACTACCAAGCCCATTTCGGGTGGCGGCAAGAAGGTTTGGGAGCAGTGCGGTGGCAAGGACTACACGGGCAGCACTGAATGCGTCGGCGGCAGCACCTGCGTCAAGCAAGACGAGTGGTACTCTCAGTGCGTGCCCAAGCGCCTCCGTTAAACCTAGTGCTTATGTGCGTAATATGAGCTTGTACGAATAGATTCATCTCGTGTTCTTTTGATGTTGATCGCGCGAGACTCGCTTTCAAGTGGGTGCCACGACGCCGAGTGTTCTGGATGTCGGCGAGCTCACGTGCGACGCCGTCTTCTATAACCTCAAACCTGAGTGCGCGGATTGAGAGCAAGGACAGCTCGGTTGCTGGTCTAAGCAGCCAGGGATGCTTAGACCGGCGCCGTCGCTTTTGCAGCCTCAAGGTCGATGCTTGTCATCCGGATAAGAATCGGATGCTACAAGTAACTTGGCGCCAATTTCGACTCGGTTCCAGGCGAGTGGACCAGTAGGAGGTACGTTTTTTTTTACCTTTGTCAGGCGGTGTATTACCGGGATTACCACTATGGGTTTCTTTTTATATGTGGTCCATCGTCAAGCTACTTGATCGACCAGCAGCGTCCGCGGTCGTGAGCCAGACCCGTGTTGCGGAGTTCCACTTGGATGCGACCGTGGGCCGACCTGGAGCTGCAGCACCCGAAGGTACACAGGGGGTGCTCACTTGAACTCGCGGGCTGATGGAAGTCGTTGGCTTGGCGACCGACGCGAATTGTCGGGTGGTCTGGTGTTGATGAAGGTTGAATGCTCGCGTTGCCGACACTGGTCGAGTTGTTTTGTTTTGGCGTCTTGGTCGGTCGTCGTACATGAAAGTGTTTTCGTTTTGGCGCTGGGCTTGTTGACTTGTTTTCGTTTTGGAGGCGTGGAGCTGGGCGGTTGGCTGGATAAATTTGTTTTCGTTTTGGCGGCGTGGCGCGTTGGATCTTTGTTTGGGTCGATGTCTTGGGTTTCGGGGTCGGATGATATGGATCTTGATGCTGAAGCTTAATGGCTGATGGCGTTGGCGGTGGCGGCGGCGGCTGGCTGATTTGTGCTCTTTGCTCTGTGCTCGGTGCTCAGTGCTCATGTTGGTTCTGTGTTGGATCTGATGGTTGTGGTCCCCCTGACCGTTGATTTTGTTGTTGGCTGGCTGGAGCATGTCGTCGTCTTCTTCGGATACGTCGTCTTGTACAGCGTGGCGATGAGTTCCTCATCGCTCAGCGTCGCTTGGTCTGATGGCGCGTAGGAGGTACGTTTCGTGTAACCAAGGTCATGATATAATTGAGCCACTTCTACCCTCAAGTCAGAATGCGCCGCGCTGGGTTCCCCATCAGCGCAAAGTGTTGGATCACTGGATCGAAGGGATGTATAGTACTGCGTTGTGCATTCGTCCTGTATACGGTCGAGGTGTTTGTTGTGATGACTGAATCATAGGCAGAAGGGCCGACGTCGTCGATCCTTCTTTCAATAACTGGACCACTTGACTGCTTTTGATCGTCGATTCGACGATCATTTAGCCTCTCTCAAAATAAAATGATTCCACCGCGCCGAGATACGTAAGCTATAGAGGCATGATAGCCACACGTGCTCGCGTTTGGAGAGCGATGAGTACCGTGTTTGCTGCATGGGAGAGTGCCGATGAAGCTATGGACGTGCAGCGACGGTGCAGGAGTCGGAATTTCGCAGAACTTTCCATTCATTTCCATTGCATACATGCATTTAGATAATTGACCACACAAACACGAAGAGCCGCATCGTCGTCGTAGCGGTCGCTTGTAGCCGCTGGTACATGCTGGTGCATGTAGTGTTTCGCTTTTTAGGTCGTCCTATCTTGCTACAGCTGTCCGGCAGCACAACCTACAACCGTCAGCTACGTCCCTCTCGAGAGGCCCGATGCGGGCCTTCGTTGACGTCGCCGGCCTCGTGCGTCCATTGTCTATGGCGCAAGCACCGGTACACACGTACGTTCTCCGTGCTCTGAGGTACAAGACCCTAGTACACGCCGCGTCATTCATTCAAGTCGCTATTCTGGTCGCTGTGACGACCCGTGCGTAACCTGGTCGTACCTGGTGTCTGAAGCAAAAAGAGCGCGAGTTGCCGCAACTGTGCCACGACCGCGACGCTCGAAAGGGCGCGATCTTTATACACACGGCGACCTCTTTTATGCGGCAGCTTTATAAGAATGACCGCTTCAAGTCGCACTTTCTCGTTGGAAGCCACCGCTGATGGCTAGAACGTGAGCCCTCCGCCCTCTATTACAATGCGAGGCTTGTTTATCACGCACTACTCTGCCCGTTTAGCGACGCTGGCATGACAGTGCACGACGTCCTGGTGGCAGCCAAGCTTGGTTGAAGTTGGTTCTGCAAGTTGCGGCGCAAAATGTTGACGCGTGGTTTTCCGACCACTGCGCCGCAACATAAAACCGACACGCCACGTTTCCGTCATATTACACTACTTCCGTGTGAAAACAACACTGCGACGATACGCTGCAGATCGCTTATTAAGCGTATCATGAAGACCTCTTTTAAACCACAGCATTCAGTACGTAGTACGTGCAAAACACGGGACTGTGACGTCGAGTACTTTGCTTCGTGTCTCGCCGCGATGGCAGCATTGGTGTGGCCCACTGAAATAGTGTGAATTGAAGTGGCATGTTTTTAACACCTGTACCCAACACACCATGTATACTGAAACCAAATGGGCTTGCGAAAGTATAAAACAGCTGTTGTAAAAGATGTGAGGCGCCAGAGCCATTTGTGAAATCCCTCGGAATCCCTACAGTCAGTACACCATGCTCAGCATCCGTCGCGCCGTCGTTGCCCGCGCCCCCGCCACGCTCTCGGCGGCTGCCATGCCCACCCGCTCGTTCTCGGACAAGTGGACCGAGAAGGAGTTGGCTGAGGAGAAGCGCTACTTCAAGTAAGTCCTCCCATGCGACGGCCCACGCTTGGACGAGTTGACTAATATGTGGCATGAATAGCAAGGAAGACGAGAAGGCTCTCCGCCAGCTCCTCGCCAAGATGAAGGGCCAGGTCGACGGCAAGGACGCTGCCAAGGCCCACGAAGCCGCCGAGAAGAAGCACCTCTCGCAGATCCTCGGCTCGGACGTCTCGGCCGACGCCATCGAGAAGCTCCTCAAGTGGAAGCACGACCAGCACTAAGCGCCACCATGATCGTGATGATGAAATGAATCAGTATGCATTAATCCTCTACCCACAGTCTGACCCACAGCCTTGGCGTGGTTGCCATTCGGGCCATGTGGCGCGCCGACAGACTTTCATGTTGCTTTCTGTGGTGCACCGCTTCGCCATCTAGAATATGGTATGCCTGCGATGCACGGCGCAACCATCCCTGCCATGAAGTCGCAGAGGTGAGAAGACTCGAGATGGCACTTGGTACCGACGACTAGATTGTCCAAGGGCGAATCTGGCGAGATGATGCATTACGATCTTGGGCTTGTCCATGGGCGAAGATATCCCTGCCAATTGCCTCGTCGCGTGCGAGACACTGGTGCACACGCTGCGTACAGCAACATCAAGGACTCTGGACTCCAGAATCCTTGTAAACACAGAGTCTTTGATGTGAACCTGGTGGCGTCTCCAAGGGCCACAAAGATGCAGGCAATGCCATCACCAATGGTACATTTTACGAGTAGCGCAGCTCTTCACATTGCGTTTGAACTACTTGGCTGAGGCTCAACGTTGGTCTTGTTGCGCTCAATCTGCAGGGATTTTCACTCTTTGACTTGGACCACTGTCGATCTCGGCGTTCTGTGGACGCGCATACGACTCTGCGCGCCATCCAGTGGTGTCGAGTGGCTAGAGTCGGTGGCGCCAAGGGGTCGGATTGTACACTCTGCTCGTGCGCCATTTCGATGCGAGCCAGCTAGATCGCACGCTTGCAGAGTGCTTCGGGTCGGTTGAAGTGCGATCATCCTATTTCCACCGAGATAGTACACCGCGAAGAGCCACCCCGCTTCTGCTCAGCTGCGCCTCGAAGATGACTCGACGGCGCTGGCACACTTGGGACCATTTCGGAGGATCGATTGGGTCTGGTAATACGTACAATGTACAATAATTCATGGGGAATCGACTGGCGCTCTTGTTTTCACAGAAGCGCAGTACTCTTTGCGCGTCGAATAGTGTCAAGGAATCAATGAGACCGCTCGAATGCGGTCAATCAAATGCAATGAAAACTTTGGGGGCTACAGCCAAAATGGGCTACAGCTGGGGCTACAGCATCTCGAACCGTGTGGCGCCAAGTCTGTGACTTCGGATCGCACTTGCCCTCTCATTTCACCGTCATCTGGAAGCAGCCGAGAGTTCTTCGATCGTGTTCGTTCATTTGTGGGTGCTTTGTTCTAGATCTGTGCTAGTGAAAGCAAAGTCGTGGGGCGCTCGCTCGCTGCTCATAAGGGTCCATAAAACAGTCGATCATAGGCAAGGGTACATAAATTCAAATTGAATTTATATACCCTTGATTATAGGTCTCGTGCGGCTCGTGACATTTATTTGTGAGCGCTACACCACAGAAGCAAGTACCGGTACCCAGTGCGGTACACCGATGTTGCTCACCTTTTGCACCCTGGTGCTCCTGGTGCCAATACACAGTAAGACCAGTACCGTGCGTGCATACACTGTAATGCCAGAAATGGACGACACGCCCTAGGGTTCAGGTTTCAACCGCATGCCTCTGCGGAGCTGGTACTGTAAGCACGAATTGTGTAGCTACAAAGTTTGCAGCTACAGCTTGTATATGCATGTGCTTACAGTACCACCAGGTTGTACATTTGCGTTCTTGACTAAACTGCACCACAGGAAGCTGCACCTTGGGCAGGTGGTGGAATGTGTGTTAACGTTTCTCAAGTCTCTTCCACATGATAAAAATCCTGCGCCACGACGCCTGCCTGCGCGTCATTCCGGTGTGCACCATCCATGCGCCTCACCTCCACGACGGCTAAGCTTCGTCGCTGCCGTCAGCCGCAACACGCTCTGAGTCCAAAGTCCACCACCAAAACCTGTTTAGTGTAAATTATAGGTTAATTGACACTCTTCGACAACCACAGGTTCTACAATAACACGAGTATAATCGAGTGGTGAATAGGCAAATAAATGCGCTGCACGGCAACAACAGCAGGTATCTCCAGAACGCCTGACACGTTGACGAGAGCTTTGGTTTCGTGATCCAGGCCCGGCTAGAGCGCTGGCTTGGCAAGCCTCTTGTCGCAGTCGGAATACGAAATTTTGGCGCCGAGAGGCCGGTGGGATTGGTGACGACGTCGCACTGCTATCAGACATGACTATCAGCTGTCGCCAGCCAGCTTGAAGGTGCCATGTCGAATACCTCATTTTGCAATTGCCTCTGTCGACCATGGTGCGCGTCTTCCTCGCTTCATCTTTGAGTCTCGCGCTCGCACATGCGCTCAACACGACAGCGCCGCCGGTCCATGCGACGGTGACGGCTGACCTCGATGATGCTGCCGTGCTCAAGCAGTTCCAAGCGTGGCAGGCCTCCCCCGCTGGCCAGTTTGCTCGCAAGCAAGGCCTTCTGGAGAGTGCGGACGTCGGTCCTGACCCGGCTCGGCTCGCTGCGTTCAAGGAGACACTTCTCACGGTAGCCGAGCTCAACCAAATGCACACCAGCGCGACCTTTTCGGCCAACAACCCGTTTGCTGCGATGACCAACGCTGAGTTTGCGGCCTACATCAAGCGCACTGGCGCCGACGTTCAGGCCAAGACGGACCCGGCACGCCTCGAGATATCGACGGCGACCGACTCGGTTGACTGGACGTCGTCGGGTTGCGTCGCGCCCGTAAAGAGCCAAGGTGTGTGCGGCTCGTGCTATGCCCACGCCGCGGTCGCCGCGGTCGAAAGCGCCATGTGCCTTTTGAGCAACCCGCGCAAGCTCGTGACGTACTCGGACCAGCAGCTCACGAGCTGCGGTCCTGGCGGCTGCACCGGTGGCATCTCGTTGCGATCGTTCAACTGGATGTTTGCAAATGGCGTGTGCACGCAGGACGCGTACCCGTACACCAACCAATTCACGTCGGTCACGCAGACGTGCGAGACGACGTGCAGTCCCGTGAAGATCCCGTTCAAGGTGCTTGGCAATTTGGTGGGTGAGAAGGAGCTTGAGGCCAATCTGCGGCGGCAACCCATCGCAACGACGATGGCCGCGTCGAGCGCTGTCTTCAGGAACTACGAAAGCGGCATCATCACCACCGGCTGCGACACAGAGATCAACCACATGGTCCTCGCTGTCGGCTACGGCACGGACGCGGGTCTTCCGTACTTCAAGTTCAAGAACTCGTGGGGCACGTCGTGGGGTGAGCAGGGCTACGTCCGCCTCCAGCGCGGCGTTGGCGGCGTTGGCACGTGCGGGCTTGCGACCAGCGGTGACTTTCCGCAGATCACGCCACCGACGTTCGGCTTGGTGACCGCCCGCGGCGGTGCCATCTACGAGTACTACGGCAACGTGTTCGTTGGCGCCGCGAGCAACAGCGCCAACGAGCAGTGGCGCTACGATGCGACCACGCACCAGCTCATCGTGAGCTCCAACCAGCAATGCCTTGACGCGTACAAGGACAGCGCGTCCGGGCAGTTTCGCGTCCACACGTATGCGTGCGACGCATCGAATGGCAACCAGGCCTGGACGATCGACGGCGCTCGCCAGCGCATCAAGCATCGGACGCACCCCAACTTGTGCCTCGATGTCGACCCGACGCAGAACAACAAGGTGCAGGTGTGGAGTTGCTACGACAACGCGCCCAACCAGCGCGTCGCAATCACCGAAGAAAAGGTCAAGCTCCACACGTTCAACGGCCGGTACCTCGTGAGCGGTCGAGGCATGCCGCAGTTCGTCTCGCTCTGGGGTGCGCCATTTGAGTGGGTCGTCAGCAACGTCGATATGACGTGGCGTGCGCGCTCGGACGGCGGCGGCGACAAGTGCTTGGACGCGTATGAGCCGTGGAACGGCGGCACCGTGCACATGTGGCCTTGTGATGCCGACAATGCCAACCAAAAGTGGCGCTTCGATGCAGCCACGGGCCAGCTCCGCCACGCCACGCACACTGGGTTTTGCCTCGATATGGCGACGACGACTGGTGCCAAGCCGCACCTCTGGACGTGCAACTCGCCTGCCAACGACTTGCAAAAGTTTACTTACGAGTCATTGAGCTTTCCGCAGTAAAAGTGCCATCTCACCGTTGAAAATTATGACTTTGTGTCCATTTTACCCCTGAAAACTATGAAGCTATTCTCAATAAATGACGCGCAGAAATATACGAATCGTATCGTCGAATTGGGCCTCGAGACCACTTGATGCGCATCGTCGCGGTCAGCAGCATTTGACCTTGAGCTGGTGTCGAAATGAGCGTACACCGCGCTGCACTGATCATATTGGTGGCGACCAAGCATGGTGCGACTGACGGCGGTACGTAGTGAAGCTTAGCCGTTTTGAATGCGTAGATTGCGCTGGCCAAAAGAGTCATTCAGTGGTGGCAGGAGTTGGCCGCGGAAGGCTAATTGAGCTAGGAAATCAGAACAACCGAACAGCGGAAGGAAATAGATTCGCGACAAGAAGCGATAGTATAGCCGGGTGCCAACTGCGACGGCCCCCAGCACGAAAGCACACCTGACGTGCAGCGCTTCGTCCACAACGGCACCAAGAGATGGCATTGTCATTATTTCCAAGCTCTCGTGGCTACAGACGGCATTTGCATCCATTTCTAAGGTCCACCCGAGGCCGCTCGCGACGACACGACCAAATCGTCGCTTCGTCCGTGTGTGTCCATATCCTAGGCAACAATTCACTCAATTTCAGATTATGCACTGGTAGTCGCAGCTGTAGCCGCACCAGTGTAATGGGTACGAGTTCAGTTGAGAATTATTAATAACGAAATAGCCTAACTGCACACAGAGCAGATGGTCCACAGGGGTTTGGCGGGTTTTTATTGGCCAGAAAGGAGGTGTGTGTAATGCGCTAACATCTGCCTCAACGGGGTTTGGAGAGTTAGGAGGTACTTATGCTCATCAAAGCGCCGGGTTCGGGGGTTTTGGGGGTAAAGAGATGTGCTCTACCAGTCCCTGGGGTAAGGGGAGGTGAGGGAGGCATGTAGCATGCAAACGCCTCCGAGTCCGGACCATCTGTTCTGTGTGCATTTAGGCCAAGCCATTAATAACATTTAAGACACGACGCGCCGTCGAATCCAGCATGACACTGACAATGCGTGCAGTTGTCTCCAAGTTCTACGTACAGTGTTCAAATCGCAGTGCGATAAGCTGCGAGTACGGCTTGACGAAGGTTGGGCCTTCGCTTCAGGCAAAAACTTGCTTGTGTTTGAGCATGTACCGGCCCCGGAAGCTCTGTCTGGTCTAGTATAGCAGGGGTTACAAGGACGTGTCTCACTGCTATCAGCCGTGGCTATCAGCCGTGGCCCCGGCTTTAGCTCAACATTCCAAATTGGACCAATCCAATCGACGTGCTTCTGCCTGCCTGGCATTTGATTGGCCTACAGCTACATGGTATCGCCACGCCGGTGAGAGCTACGTACACCTGCACAAACCACCGCTTGCCTTTCATTTCGGAATTGCCTTTGTCGATCATGGTGCGTGTCTTGTCAGCTCTGTCTCTCAGTTTTGTGTTCGCACATGCACTCAAGACGACAGCGCCGCCGGCCAATGCGACGGCGACGCCCGACCTCGATGAAAATGCCGCCGTGCCCGACCTGGCTCGGCTCGCCGCGCTCAACGAGACCACGGTCGCTGAGCCTGAGCAGAAAGCCGTTCCAGAGATCACCACGGTCCCGTTTGGCTTGGTGACGGCCAGCGGCGCAGCTATTTACGAGTACTACGGCAACGTTTATGCTGGCGCCGCGAGCAACAGCGCCAACGAGCAGTGGAACTACGGAATATTTTCGCACCAAATCATCTCGTACTCCAACAATCAGTGCCTCGACGCGTACAAGGACAGCGACTCCGGGGAGTACCGCGTCCACATGTATGTGTGCGACGACAACAACCGCAACCAGGCCTGGACGATCGACACTGTGCACCATCGCATCAAGCACCGGACGCACCCCAACTTGTGCCTCGATGTCGACCCGACGCAGAACAACAAGGTGCAGGTGTGGACCTGCCATGACGACGCGCCCAACCAACGCATCATGGTCACGGAAGACGCGGTCAAGCTCCACACGTTCAACGGCCGGTACCTCGTGAACGGTCAGGGCATGCCGCTGTTCGTCGCGCTCTGGGGCCGCCCTATAGAGTGGGTCGTCAGCAATGTCGACTTGACGTGGCGTTGGCGCTCGCGCTACTTCACGAGCGACGAGTGCTTGGACGCGTATGAGCCGTGGAACGGCGGCGCCGTCCACCTGTGGCCCTGCGACTCCACCAATGGCAACCAAAAGTGGCGCTTCGATGCAGCCACGGGCCAGCTCCGCCACGCCACGCACACTGGGTTTTGCCTCGATTTGTCGACGCCGGACATCAACATGCCGTATGGGACGAGACCCTACCTCTGGGCGTGCAACACCCCCGCCAACGACTTGCAAAAATTTACTTTCGAATCGCTGACCTTCAGGGACTCATATTTTTGAGAAGTCGGCGTCCTTTCGTTTTAAAATCGACGATGTTATTTTCCATTGAAGCGCTGCACTCAGAGATTGTGTAGTCGTCCATGACGTACAGTAAGGTCGAACGCGGCCTCTTGGAAGGTTGAAGCACGCACTCCAGCTAGAGAGATTGCCGAGATGCGTCGTTCGAGTGAGTGCACCTCCTCATACTCGTAGTGAGCAGCCGTGAGTTACTGCGTCCAACACCAGAGAGCTTGTCGAGGGGCGTCTATAGCTCCACCTCTTCAAAATGATACTTTCGGATCGCGTCTCCAGTGCCACGTGGCAGCGCCCAGTGCGTGGCAAGACGCGAGCGGCAACTCCATTTTGGCGCCATGGATATAGACCACGCGGTCATACCTGCTAGCGCGCTATCCTCTATAACTACAGCACTGTCGGTGGCATCTACTTCTAGTACCGGTACGCACCGCAGTGCACCTCTGGTCACGGCAGGAGCCAGTGGTGCGCCGCTATGCACCCGTTGCGTGTATGCATTCTGACAGGATATTCCCTCTACGAATAAATTTCGAACACGGTCCAATTGGATTCCACACCTGAAACCCGAGCATGCGCCACTACCGCATCCAAGCGCCGTACATCGCGCCCGAGCAGTACGAGCGCATAAGAACGTACGCTGCTTCTGCCTTCTCGACCATGCTGACGGCCATGCCTAGGTGCATTCGCCGGCGCTGCGTGCAAGGGCCATGGCGAAAGGTCTACGTGCAGCAGCTCCGCGCCAAGCAACAAGCGAAGCTGGCATCGTCGCCGAGCAAGGCCGCGCCGAGCAGCGACGCCGTCGAGGACGAAGCAGCCAAGCGCGAGAAGGCGGCGCAGAAGGCCAACAGCGCACGACTAGACAAGGAAAAGGAAATCGAGGTGCGATCGGAGCTCGGACCAGTCTCGTCTGAACACACGTCGATTGTAGGCGCTCGAGGCCAAGCTCCAGGAGCTCGTAGACCAAAAGCACGTTCAGTTTAAGCTGCTCAAGGCGATTCTCATGGACGAAAAGATGTCGTCGCGCCTGCCGCCGCAGCCGTAGCAACCCAATATAAACGGTGTACGATATTACTTGGACCATGAATAGAGGCCTGCATTGTTATGTACTACAGCTTCCACGGTGGCTTGACGTCGCCCGCGCGCCGAACCGCCGACGACTTTTTCCGGCGCTTGACCTTCTCAAGCACGATGTCAAGCGTCGCCGGCGGCAGGCAAATGCTCGCAAACGTGTCGGGCCGTTCGAATGGATGCCGCGCGATCTCGCAGTAGAGCTCTTCAGGCAGGCGCTGCAGCAGCTACGCGCGCTGAGAGGACGAGTCCGAGGGCGATCGGAGTAGTACCTGGAGCGCTACGTACACGAGACGCTTGGCATTGAGCGGCGGCGACTCGCGCAAATTGAGCTTGTTCATGAGATGCGTCTCGCTACAGGCCCGTTACCACGCAACTCGAGAGGTGGGGCACAGACGTGGTCAGGAGCTCGGTGCGGAGGAGGATGACATGGGCTGCGCTGAGAAGGACGATAAAGTGCACGCCCATGGCCAAGAGCTACGTCGCTGCCTGAGCGCGCAACGACAGCTCTCGCACGCACCGTGTCCCATACGTGCAGAAGCTCGGGCAGCGGCGGGATGCACGCAAAGAAGCTAAGGACGATCGGGTAGGCGTAGATCTTGGCCGTAATGCCTCTCGTCACCAAGTGCTTGTACAGCTTGTAGTCCAGCTACGCGGCCTCGAACTCGCTTCTTTGCGGATTTTTGTACCGTTTGGAGGCAGCGGTCGACGAGGCCGCAGGCGACGTGAACACCTGCGAGCTGTGGCGCAACGTACCGCGGACAGTGCTGCGTCACGAGCGCCGTAAAGGCCATGTACGCGTCGTCCTCTGGCAGCACGTACAGGAAGGGCGCGCAGAGGATGTTGAGGCCTTGGAAATACCGGTACGGCTGGTCGGCCTCGTCGCGCCCATCGTCCATGACCGCGCCCTACGCCATTGCTTGCACATCGACGCGAACCGTTGATGGCAAGTACATATTCGTGGAGGAAGGCGTTGAGGAGCCGCGCGAGCGTGTCTTCAGGCACGCGCCGCGCAAAGCTCGGGTCGCCTCGGAACGTTCGGAACGTGTCGTTGCGAATGTCGTCGTCGTTCTTGCTCGGGCCCAAGGCCACGAAGCGCCGGTAGCTCTGCTTGCGCTCGCTCGCATCGTCGTCGAGGCCGAGGAGCACTTTCCAGACGCGCCCGCGCAGCGTCGATGGCTCGACGCCGGACGCCTCGTCGTCCGACTCCATGGGCAGACCATGCACTATGACCATGCGCTGGAGCTCTTTCAGGCGCTCGTATCGGCATGTGAGGAGTCGGCCACGTTTGTCTACAGACGATCGCATTAGCTGCCTGCATGGTGTCGTCGTCCATGGCATGATGTATACCCATGATCGGAAGGCCGCTTAGCAGTGCCAGGTAGCGCCGCCGGAGCTAAGGCAGGTGAAGATGCGTGGCGCTTGGCGAGCGACGTACCAGCGCATCCGACGGCGCGTCGTCGAGCGGGACCTTGCCGTCGTCCATCCTCCCCAAAGATCGAAACTGAAACGCTAGCAATATACTTGATCAATGTATTAAATTATTAAGACGCGTGGTTTTAGCCACTGAAAAATGTTGGTATTTCATTCACATAATATTGGATATCTATAGCATAAAAACACGCAACATGTGCCAACGCCACAGCTCTGCAACACGACCACCATCGGTGATGGACATGTCGAGCCATTCGATCCTGCAGTCTTGATGAGTGCTCTGCTCCATGCCACAGTCGCACGACGCATGGATGACTCATTGAAAGGTCGGTTGCAAGCACTTCAAGGTGGCGTCGATCTCGCTTTGTCGGAATGACGGCTGCCTCGTCATCTATTTCTTTACGCAGCACCCTTGCGGTGTCGAGCCAAGGACGCCGAGACAAGCATCTAAACTAAGCTAGGTATATATCAAGTTAATAGAGTAGCATATTGTAGTCTTAGCCTCGGACTGTGCCCTTCTTGGGCCCTTTCATGGGACGCTTCGGCTCGTCGTCGTCCTTGGATTCGCTCTCGTGGTCGCCGCGCTTGGACTTGCCTGGTGATGGTGGGCGGGGCATTTCCTTGTAGAGCTTGAGCTTGGAAGCGCGGCGCGGCGTCTCGAGCGACTTTTCTCGCCAGAGGTCTTGCTGTTCGCGGAGGCAGCGCACCCAGCGCTTCATGTCGCCTTCCGAGTCGGCACGGAGAAAGTAGCTACGCGACGGTGTCTTGAGCACGAAGCTGTAGACACCGTGGTCGCCCGTGTCGAAGGGCCGGACGCTCTCGATCGACAAGAGGTCGATGACTTTGGACGGGATCGTGCTGTCTTTCGAGCCAAAGTACTTGAGCTCGGCGCCGTCGAGGGCAAACCAGCGCCGGTTCCAGGACGGCGTCAGCACCTTTTGCTCGTGCTTCATCTTGTTGAGGTACCCGCTGATGCACGCTCCGTCGTCCGGCATCCTTCGCAAGTCGAAAAGTGAGCTACAACGGCAATCCCAGGTCCTTTCCACCAATCACAGACCGCCGTCTATAAATAGAAAGCTTTTTTTACGCGCCAATCCAGCAACCAACGCGGCCGGTGTCACATAGATTCATGCAGGAAACGCTGTCACCAAAATAGCGTATTCGCGTCAATAGATTCATGTTGTGCACTCCGACACGAGGAGGAGACGTCCATATCCTCAACGGGGGGATCATAGAAGCAAGACGCCACTCCCCTTTGACGATGAATGCCACTACCTGTTTTATCACTGTGCCAAACTGCTGAAATCGTTTGAGGTCATTAGCACGCAGCCTAGTCTTGAAACCACCTGAACGACGGTTGGGATATGTGGCTTTCCCATGCATTTGTCGATGCTGAGACTTCAAATACGCAACGTGCAAAACGTGTGGAAGGGCTCCGTGTGTGAATGAACCCGTCAATTGTAAAGCGAGAGGTTGGTTGAGAGCCACACGTGCCCAGTAGCTCGTTCATCTCTTTAAGATAACATTGTACACTAGTTCCACTGAACCCTGTCTACTGCATAACTGCACTCCACCAGTCGAGACCGGTTTGCTCGTGAACTGGTATGCCAGTGGCGCGCCAAGGCACATGTATTGGTGGTCATAATCTGCAATTGGGGAATGCAACTAACTGAAGGAGTGGTGCTACTCGACATGCGCTTACATTGCAGCATCTCGATGCTGGACTGCGAAGGTCGGTTGGAGCCTCGTGGACGCCACGTGCGTCCAACGATCGATGCTTTCGTCATACCGTCAGGGTACAATTCCCTTCTTTTCATGAAAAAATAGTGTGCACAAAACCAACGACGAGGTCCTCTATACAAACTTGTACACACAGCAACCACAATCCACGCAAATGGCTTGGAGCCGACGTGGGCGCGAAAGGGTTCACAAAGCCCGGCTGCGATTGGTGCATTCCAATTCTTCTTTTGACCAATCACCATGCAGTGCAGTCTTTTTGGTATGCCAAGATGACCGAGGTGACGCCGACCACTTGTGGCTGCCTCGCGTCGCTCGAGGTGCTCATGGGCCCCCACACGGGCGCAATGGTCGCGCCGACGTCGAGCGCCATTGCCATCGGCCGCAGCAAGAAGTTCGTCGGCGGCACCGGCCTCCTCCTCGCGTCCGACTTTGACGTCTCGTCTCGCCACGCCAGCATCGCGCGCGACGCCAGCCTCGGACGCTTCGTCGTCGTCGACGTTGGCAGCACCAATGGCACCAAGCTCAATGAGGCGCCGATTGCGCCGCGGACGCCGACGCCTCTGCGCGACGGCGACACGCTCACGACTGGCGCGTCGCTCCTGGCCTTTCGCATCGATGTCGTCTGCGCCGCGTGCGCTGTCCCCACGCCCAGCGAAGTCGACATCGTCGTCGCCGCCGAGGCGCCTCTAGAGCACGAAGAGTGCGTCGTGTGCCATGGGTCGCTCTACGGTCTCTCGTTTGAGGTAGACGGCGCCGCCGGAAAGGTTGGTGATGACGCAGATCATGCGGTGTAGGAGCGCCATTTGCACGTGAACGCGTGCTTGGACTCGCAACCAAAGGCGAAGAAGGCAAAAACTCAAGTCGATCAACCAAGAGCAAGTCGAATTTGCACTGGCGCTCTCCAAGTCGCTCGTGGACGACGAGCTCGAAGCGTCCGTCAACAAGACAATGCTAACACGGGACCTCGCCGCCATTGACGCCCAAATCGCGGCCCTTCAGGTTGGCCTCGCACAGTAGCATTCTATCACTCACATAGTACGATTGTTTTTAGAGACAACGCGCCAAGATCCTCAAGCAGCTACAAAAGTCCGAAAAGCAGTCGAAACGCGCCGCCAAATCCCGCGTCTTGCCCCCCGATGCGGTCCTCACGGCCTTGCATGACTCTAACGACGCGCGAGCATTCCTGTACCCACACACTTTGGCGCTTCCGAGTCGTCGTCAGCCGCGCGGACGACGGTGGCGACCCGCAAGCGCCTCGGGGGCGCTCGTGTGGTGGTCCAAGGCCGCCCAAGGCGACCAATGGACCGCCGTCGACTACTTGGTGCCTAACGTCTTGCCCACAACGATACCCGTTGCGACACCTGAAGGACCCTCGGAAGCAACCGTGACAAGTCCCTCCGAGGCGCCGGTTGCCGAGACAACGGCCACGACAGACGAGTCCATGGAGGCGGCGGTTGTTTCTAGCAGCCCGACAACGGACGAGCCTCCTGCGATTGTCTCTGTCCCATCCCGTGTCGAGAGCCCGTCTTCGCATGAACCGCAAGATGTTCCCACAGAGCCCGATATTTCGATGCCAGCGAACATTGCGTCCATCTTTCCCCTGTGGCAAGATGACGTGGCGTTCATTGACGCGCAGACTGACGCTAGTGCGCTTCGCGACGCTTTGCAGGCGCTGACCGAGACGCGAGAGGCGACGACCGATGTTTCAACGCTATCTGCGCTGCAGTTTTCGCTGCCCACATGGAGGCGCGCCTCGCACTTCTGCAGGCTCCTATTTAACGTTTCTACACCCAACTAGCCGTCGGCTGTGCGATCCTTCATGTGGCGTTCCAGCTCCCGATACTCTTGGAGGACGCGGAGGGCCTTGGTCTTCTTCCTTGCGGCGTCCGGGCTGTGTACCACGCGCCGTGTTGCACTCGACAGTGCGTTCTTGGCGGCCTAAAAATGACATTTGATCCGAGTTGTGCGATCCCATGGACGAGGTGTACCTGTGCGTGGAGCTGCCGCAGCAGCGCGAGCTGCTCGCCTTTGGCTTCGAGCGCATCGATGGTCTCTTCCATGCGCTTGGTCACGTCCGGTGACTTGTCGAGGCCGCCCATGATGGCTTTGTAGCGCTCGTTTAGTTGCGTGAATTCATCCTGAACGCTGTCGATGGCTTTGGACATGGAGTTCAAAAACGCCACTTTGCTGACGGGTGGTTCGTCAATCTGGAGCTCCGTTGGTGCGCCCGTCTTGTACGTCGAAGGACCCTTTGCATGGTCAGTGGCCACAGGTGGTGGTGGTGGTGAGACAGCGTCGATACTTGGCTGCCGGTGGACGTCGGGCGCGACGGCCGAGTAGAGCTCGGACGCCCGGAGCGCTTCTTGTGCGGTTCCAATGACCGAGAACGACGGCGTCGTCGCCGTGCCCAGGAGAAATGGGACTTTGGCCATGTTGGCTTCTTCCAAGCGCTCTAAATTGGTCTTGGCTTTGGTCGGCTTTAACTTTTTCACGCTCTTTTTCCGGGGCGGTGGGGGCGTTCGAGCGGCTGCTTGTGCTTGCGTGCGACCGCCAAGGGCCGTCGATGCGCCTTTGACACCAAGAGTACCAGCCGACAGGCCTCGGTGACTCGCCGCCGCGGCCGATGCTCGACTTGCCGCCGTCGACCGGTTCACGGCGGGCGGCGGCGGCGGCTTTGGTGCTTTCGGTTTGACCTTGGCCTTGGCTTGCGCTTCCCACATGCGCACGACAAGCTTCTCGTTGAGCTGCGAGACTTGAGCGATCGTGCGCTAGTGGAGTACATGGATGTGGCGCTTGGAAGGTTGGCTCGGTCGTACCTCGGCCTCCTGCACACGGCTCTCGAGCGTCGTGTTGTGCGATGTCGTGCGTTGAACTTGGTCTTCGAGGGTCGCAATCTGACGCATTGCGTCCTTGTTGCTGCGCGTGGCTTCCATGAGCGCCTCTTGGAGCTCGTGGACGCGGCTCTTGGACGTTGACGACATCTCGACGACCTCGGTCTGCAGTCGCAGTACATGAGCATCTTGCATGGCATTTTGTTCCTAAACACACCAGGAGGCTCGGCGCACGGCCATAAGGAAGGACGAACCGCAAGCGCATCGTGCTTTTCCTTGTACGAGGACAGCATGTCTTGGACGTGCTCGAGCTCGTTTTTTGTAATCGCGTGGTCGTGCTGCGCCTGGATGACGTCCGACTGCAGTGCGTCCCGCTCCGCTCTACGACAGCATGGTGCATGACGAAGTGGCCTACGGCGAAACATACCGCAAGGCTTCGTACGCAGCACGTGCAGCGTCCTTGACCTGCTCGAGCTCGTAGGCGGCCTTCTTGGTTGCTGCCACGTGCTGGCCTTCGTTGAGCCGTATCTGCGCGCGGAGATTGGCGCACTCGTCTTCCAAGGTCGCGCGCTCGTCCTCGACGCGGCGAATCTTGTCTTGGAGCGCTTTGAGCGCCGAGAGCACGGCCTTGCTGTTCGACGCGCCTGTCGGTGTCGTCGGCGCGTGGCGCAGCGTGGCCTTGGGCGTCGTCGGCGTGAGCGTCGCAGGCGTCACGAGCGAGCTCAGCTTGAGGCTCGTCGTCGGGTCGTCGGCCGCGCTCAGCCGCCGAAGCGTCTCCTTGAGCTGCTGCAGCTCACTCTGCGCGATGCTCTTGGACGTCCGCAACGACTCCATATATCGAAGTACGAACCGTCGCCAAGATACTGCAATATGGCAACTTCGAACTTCGCTGCAACGCTTATAACGATGGCGCTAAGATCTGCGACCAAGGCTGTATGCCACCGGAGGAAGACGTCGAAGAAGCATGCGATCGACGGACGAATAGATAAACGATAGAATATGGAAAACGTAGAGGCGGGTTACACGGAGCACGTCGTGTCCGTGAGGATGGCCCATTGCCGGTGCATCTCGACCAGAAGCGCATGCATGGCCGCGCGAAGGCGCTCGTAGCCGTCCACATGTCTACAATGGTGGGTTGAGAGGGTGCAAGACACGCCGAGGCAACGTACTGGAGGCGGACGATGGACTCGTGGTACTTCCGGCACATGTCCAGCGCGTAGCGGTCCGAGAGCGCCAGCGTTTTCTAAATTGAGATGCGCACCATCGATGGGAGGCGTGTCGATGATACCTTCATGAGACTGTGGAGATAGTCCACGATCAAACCGACGTCCGTGCTCGATGTGAGGAGCGATGCGATCTGCTCCACGTCGGCTTGCCGCAGCATGTTCAACGACGTCGGAGCTGGCTCGGGCGGCCACGCAGTGTCGGACGCGCTTGTCGCGGGGCTCGATGGTACGTATTCGCTCTTTGGACCAGGCGGTGGTACCCCTTCGTCCGAGCTGTCGCTGTCGCTGGACAGCATCGACAGGTCCACGGGTTCATCTTGGGAGGCGCCGCATGCGCTCACTGCATCGACGGCGTTCTCAGATGGGATTCGAGGGGGTCGTCCAAGTGAGGGTGGTGTGCTGTGGCGCGTCGCATTGCGCTGATCGTCCTCACGGGCTACGAGAGGCGGCGCGTGACCATTATGGGGCATAGTGCATGTGCTGTGTCCAGTACCAGACTTGATCCGGGTCGAATTGGTATCGTTGACGGTGCTTTTGCCTCGTGGAGGTGGCGTCGAAGCCAGTATTTGCGTCTGCACGTCAACAACGTAGCTCGTGCTCTTGCTTCGGCGCACGTCGGGGCTCGCAGAGCCTGCGGCGCGGGCCTTGGCGGGTACGAGGCGGCTGCGCTGGCGGCGAGAGCACCCGAGACCGCTATCAAGAGAATGCTTGCGCTTGAGTGGGCTCAGGAAGCGGGCGCCCGTGCTCGGCGTCGTGGCACCGAGGCTGCTTCGTCGGCGCTCGTCACCCGCGCTGCTGGACATCTCGCAACAACCGTGTTGGCCGCGAACGAAACCCGGCAAGCTTTTAGCCAATCAGCAGCCGCCATGCCCAAGATTCCGAGCAGCTTAGTTAACGTTAAATAATATCGATCGAGCCGCCAGCAACGACAAGATTGTACACACACACGGAGTGTCGGCGATGGTCGTTGCAGAATGTATGGTCAAAATGCTGGTCAAAAAGTTAAAAGGACGGTTGGTGCGCGCCTACACAACGAAAGCTATCAGGCGCAACGATGTTTTAACAATGTAAACAGCGTTCACCGACATCAGGGTGTTCATCGCCATCACGGACAAAGTAATAAAGTAATAGGGTAACAACCTCATGCAACTTGAATGCCTATCGTGGAGTCTCCAAGCGTAGCCACATGAAGGAGCTATTCTGTGCTGAAAACGGTGCTAGGGGCACGTGCCGGTTGGCGACGAAACGTCAAATCCATGGCGTCGGCCGAGTGGATCATCGTCGTCAATGACGACGGCAAGGCATCGTACGTCCACGCAACGACGGGCGAGGTGTCGTGGGAGGCGCCGGCAGATGCGAGCGAGTGGGAAGAAATCGTCGACGTCTACGGCTCGGGCCACACGTACTATGTCAATAAGCGCACCAACGAGAGCCGGTGGGAGCTCCCGACCGAGCCCGAGTGGGTTCCGATTCGTCCGGCGACGGCCGACAACGACGAGGCGGCGTACGTCAATCAGTACACGCTCGCCCTCTCGACGTCGCACCCGCAGTCAGCGCTGGACCCGCAAGTACATGCAGTGTTGACGCCCGACGTGGTTGCGGCGCTCGCACTGCCGCCGGACCAAGATGCAAAGCTCCAAGCACTACTCAATCGCCCCAAGAGCATCTACAAGATCGGACCACCCCCCGCGAGCATGCTGCACATAATGAGCGCGTCCTTCTTCGCGAGTCTCGACTCGGACATGGCGACATTGCCAAAGAGTCGGGGGCTCGCGAACACCGGGTCCTTCAACTTTGAAGCGATTGATGCGACGTCGGTCTTGGAAACCTCGAACAGAGCGACGACGAGATGCAGCAGAACGACGACATTCTCGAGCAGAGTCGGCTCTTGCATGCTGCGCGGGAAGCGGGCGAGACCAAACCACTCTCTGCACGGAGCAGCACAAGCGCCCGCTCGGTGCGCAAGGAGCTCTCGATGACCGAAAGCGCGCAACAGGTGGAAGCGTTGCTAAGCCACCGAAGCAGTCACAGCCGGTATGATGCCTTCTCGACGACACCTCTTCCGAGCCACCGAAGCAGCCACGCGGAAACTGTAAACCGGAGTGAGCCCCCCGACGCCTTTCTGGAAGCAACACGAGTCGCCACCAACGATCCGTTGCCAGCGACACCGGACCCGGATGCCGCAGTGTCGGCTCGTATCGATACAACGGATGCGTGCGGACGCGCGTTAGCGAATGATGAGCATGCGCAGCCTGTCGGGACGGACGGTTCGGCTGCGCCTTTGGACTCTCTAATCACACGTCGGGTAGATTCCGAAGACAACGGCGATGCAGTGACGCCACGTACAACGGCGCCTTCTCAGGAGGACATACCCGTCGAATCACTGAGCGATGACAGTCTGGCGACAGAGTCGATGCCAGGCAAAAATGCTTTGTCAGTACGATACGCCACCGCGTCGGTAGACGCTTCTGTTGGCACTGAAGTCGCGCCGGAACCATCCATGCCTTCTTGCAGCATACCCTCCAAAAACACCTCTCCGAGACCGTCCAGTCCTCGATCAGACACGACACCGCTGACACGCGACGTGTCGGCAACATCTACTCTCGCTCATGACACCCTCGGGCCACCTATGCCTACAGCTGCACCAGCACCCTTGACACCAACGTCCGCAGCAGTAAAGACAACATCAGCGCGCGTAGTGACGACATTAACCCCGGCAACGCGCACCGAGCCGCCACCGCGCCTTCTCGTGCGTCAAAGCGAGTCGCGAACTGCGTCCCGCACCGACCTCGCCTCGTGGCAGATGATTTACAACCGCGCATCCAACAACAATTACCACTGCATTGAAGCCATTGCACAGCACAAGGAGCTCAAGATGAATCTGCATCAGGAGGAACACAACGCCCGCGAGGCCAAGAAGCGCGTTGTCGCGGGGCAGCTCCAATCGGCGACATACTCGACGTTCGACGTCGTGGGCCGTCCAATCGCGGGCTACGACCTCAAGAAGCACCTTCAAGACCTCTTCAACGAGCCCGGGCGCTATGAAGCCGAGGCCAACGCTGCCCGCCGGTCCAAATACGAAACCCTCCTGGCCGATCATCCTAGTGCAAAGTGGGCCCAGCACTGGCGACCGCTGCGTTTGCCACCGACCATGTCCCCCGCAGAGATTCAGCAGCGCGTTGTCTCGGACCGCGACGGTACGGGCGACACCTTGCTGCATTTGGCTGCGGCGCGCGGGTATCTCCCCAAAGCAAAAATGCTCATCTCACTGGGTGCCAACGTCAACTTGGTCGACAACAGCGTCTCTCGGTTGACGCCACTGCACGAAGCCGCGAGGGCTGGCAACGCCAACATGGTCAAGCTTCTTTTGAGTGCTGGCGGCGACTGGGCGCGACAGGATGCCAGCGGGGACCTGCCGCTGCATCTTGCGTGCCGCGGTGGCTTCTCGACCGTTGTCAAGGTGCTCTTGCACGCCGACGCTGACCTCTACTCGTTGCAGGTACGCAACTTCAAAGGAAAAACGCCCCTGCACGTCGTCACAATGCCATCGCTGCTGCATTTTCTACAAGGTACTGTACGTCGCGCCATAAAGAGACGACGGCGCATCACCGCACATGATGGTGGTGTAGAGCTTGTGGCGGCGTCGCAGCGCCAACGCTAGAGCTACCGCTCTCTACCTCATGGATACCTCTTCTCTTCTCTGCCTGCATGCAACGATTCGCTCAATGCCGTGGGTTGGTCGTCGTCTAGACCTCGTTTGTAAACGGTGGATAAGATCTGACATGTCAATGGGAACGTTGCACGTCACGGACGCCACAAACAACCAGATCGACTCGCGCTCCTATTCCGTAGCGGAGTCGTTCATGCTGCAGTTTACTGGGTTCGCGCAATAACCTTGGCTCTCTGTTCCTCCAATCCGTGTCGTTGGCAAGATGGATTGGCACGAGATTAAAACGTTTAACGTTGCGTTCGACCCAGGCAGTACTGCAGCAAGTACCTTTCATTCTCCGGAGCACTCGACAAACGTGTCGTCACGCCTTTCGCCGACGTCGTCGGTCCAGAATATGCTGCATCTACAAGCCCACATTGGTTTCACGCACGAACTGTTGGTCCACAGCAGCGTACCCCGGCCTCGCCGACCCAGAGACTGGCCACGAATGTGCCACCCGCCTGCGGCGTCTCTTCGGGTGTCGTTAGGAGATTCGAACTCGCGCGCGGCATGAGCAGGTCGCGCTTCAAGATGCTCCGCGCGTGCTCGGGCGCCGCATTAACTCCATGGCTCCGTGATGTCATGGGCCGGCGTTTTCCCGAAGGCATCTTTGCTTTGGTTGGTGTTGGCACGGCCGACATGGGTCGCGTCGACGTTGTGGCGTTTGGTATCGTTCTCGACGTCGGCCGGCAGTCCACGTGGGTAGTTGTCCTCGGACATCGAGCGGCTTCGTGCCCGCATCACTGAAGAGCGAAGGGTGCGCGGTCGGCTGAAGCTCAAAGCGAGCGAGCTGCACTTTGAGTGCGTCGGCCTCGGCGCGCAGCACGCGGAGCTTCTCGGTCAAGCCCACGATGAGCAGGTCGCGCTCTTTCTGGAAGAGGTCGGCCTCGGCGAGGCTCCGTTGCTGCGCTTGGATATGTGCCACCTGGCGCGCCGCGTCGGTTTGAAGGTCCGCAATCACCCCCTGGAGCTGCTTGATGTCGTCTTTAAGCTGCGAAATGTCCTCGCCGTTCCACTCGGCGACGCCCATGGCCTCGTAGCTCTGGCTAATAAAGTCCTTGACGCGGCGGATGGGCACGGCGGCGTCGACGATGTTTTTCTTGGATTTTTTCCGGCACAAGAGATTGTTGCCACCGCTCTTTTCTTTTGGGCCACGCGCTCGTCGGTGAGGTACTTGTTGAATACAACATCCACTTTCTGGTCGAGAATGTACCGTTCGAGCTGCAGTCGTTTCCGGAGCTGCACCGAGAACGCGCGCTTGAACTCGTACGTGAGCTGGCACGTTATGGCCTCCCGCAGCGTCGCCTCGAGCAAGATCGCCCTAACCCTAGGATGTAAGCATCGTTTTTGTCATTTTTAGAACCCACCGCTCGACGCGCTCGTGAGGAACCTCGAATTTCTCTTGTTCGAGCACACGGGCCACCGACTCGTACTCGGGCTTTCCTCGGTACTGGTGGCTCTTTTTGATTGGCGACTTGAGTCGCTGCACACTGCGCGACACCGCCGCGACGGTGCTCAAGTGCAACGGCTTACCCGCTGACTTGTAGATGCTTTGGAGAGCTTTTTCGGCCGGGTCGGGCTCCGGCATCGCGGCAAGCTGGGCTTGCAACGTCGCTGCTGCCTGCGCGAGCTCGTCCTTCTCGGCAACCCACGCGGCCCGCGCGCTGTCGTGCTCGGTGAGCAGAGCGTTTAATTGATCAATGAGGTGGGCCACACGCGCCGTGAGCTGCGCCACGTAGGCGTCGCCTGCCGTCACCAGCTCCGTCTGGGCGCTCAAGTCGACCTACACGTCCAATATATGCAAGAGAGCTCGAAAAAAATCATGCACCTTGATCGCATCGAGCTCGACGCCCAAGTCTTGGATTTTGACTTTGGCTTCCCGCAGATCGTCGGCGATCACCTCGTTGATGTCTGCAAAGGTGTGGATTGATCAACTGGTTGCTACAAACAAGAACGTACTGTGCAATGTCATGATCTCGTGGCTCGACTCGGTCAGAAGCGCTCGGACTTTCTGCAGCTCTGCGTCGCGGTCTGCCACCAGCGCCTGAAGGTGTGTGTTGGTCGCAGCGATAGCGTCGGCGTCGCGTTGCACTTTTTCCATGTCCAAGCGCATGCTATACTGACATCAACAACTCGCGATAACAGAACGTGCTGCCCGTACGCCTCGGCGGCTTCGTTGGCTCGGCGCGCCGAGTCTCGAAGGGCGTCCACGTAAGCCTCGGAAATGACGTTGGACGTCGTCTTGCGGACGTCGAGGTTGTGCATGAGGTTCTTGAGTCGGTTGACTTCGGCGTGGGCGTCGTCGACCATCTGCGTCAGCATTTTGTTGGTGCGTTCGATGCCGGCAATCGCGCATTTTGCTGCACGAGCATGTCGCGGTTCCTAGCATCGATTGATCGTCGACGAGTCTCCACTGGATATTGACCTTCTCGTCGTACCGTTTCTCCTTTTCGTCCCACTCGGTCTGGGCGATGGCCATCTTTTCTTGGTGGAGCGCTTGGAGCTGGTGCATTTCGTGGCGGCGCAAGCACGCTTCGAGGTTGGTAAAGTGATCGACTTGCTTCTGGATCGCCACGCGGCTGCGCTTGAGCGACGACGTCGTCCGATCGCGCTGGTGCCGGACCTCGCGATCGACGTGCGAGGCCTGCCTGTTGAACGCCTCTTGAAGCGACGCGCAGACGTCCGTGAAGCGCAACTCGAAATCGGACTTGCAGCGGGCGACTGCGTCTTGGAGAAACCCGCGCACCCTCTCATGGTGCGCGCTCGTATACGGCAACAAGTTGGCCGGCAGCTCGACGTCAAACGGCTGGGTCTCGAGGTACAATGCATACTCTTCGTGGCTCTCGAGCACGCTTTGATACATGGTCGCAAGGGCCGACGCGACCGTTGTGACGGCGTCCGCCGTAACCTCGGCCCACGGCAAGGCGTCGCCATAGTGCCGCCGACGCGGCTCGGTCCGCGCTGTCGCACCCACGGACGTGAGTGCAAACGGAAGCCGTTCGTCGTGGCTATGGTCGCTACTGTCGTCGTTGTTGTTGTTGCTCTCGTCCTCGTCTTGGTTGCGACGCGGCTGCTTGGACGCGGCGATCTGTTTACGGAGCGCCGCCAAGTCCACGGCGTCCATGGCTGCCTTTTTTCGTTGAAACCGACAATGAACCGTCGGTGTGCTCTCGAACTGCCACGCGTCCATATATATCCCCGAGGGACCTCCGATTGCTGATCGACCCCGTGTGTCATTGAGTCGTCCGTAAAGTAGATGGACTCGTGCACTCGATCGAAGGCGCTGTCGTCGTGCTGGGCAAAGCTCTTGCGCTAACGGTATGACCCCGGAGTGGTTTCTTGCGGCCACGCTGTAGCGTGCCCTGGCCAGAGCTTTGCCATTGGCTCGGCGTCAACACGCAGCAGAAGCTTCATACACGTTGCAGCGTCGTCGTACATGTGGCCTGTTGGCGCGGCTTGAGATGCTTGCGGCTTGGGTCGACGCGCCAGCGCAAGCGTCGCGCGTCTTCTTTTGAAGTGCAATGTAGAGCATCACCGCGCTCCGTGTTTCGATACCTTGGCTCGTACACGGCCAGCTTGCACGTACTTTCCGCATCCTTTATCCGTGGAAACCCGTTTCAGCATGTTGCTCATTTACGAGATTCTCGGGTCGAGCGCAGTAGTCCGAGTCAAGGGTACATATTTTATGTGCCCTTGTCCAAGTCCAGGGCCGGTTGTAGTGACCGTCCTTGGACGAGGTCGTAGGGAGATGCTTGGATTCGAGGAAACGCAACACGGCTCACAGTAGAGCCGTTCGACGTGCGTCTTACCTGCGGTTGAAGCCACGTGGGCATCGCCCACAGTAGCAACCACCTGCACGCTGTCTGCGCTTGGCAGACCATCGCGATGCTGCCACTCGACGTGGGCGCCGAGTAAGCTTAGATATGTAAGTGCCCATACCCAGCAACAGCTTTCTGGGACGCCTCGTGGATCGACGACACCGGCGGGGAGACACGGTACTTGTATACATCATCCACTATCTACGTGGACATCATTCCAGGCAAGATCTATCCAGATATCGTTCAACACAGCTAGCAACCGGTGACGAGAGAATCCGGTACATATCTGGATATATCCTATCCAAACTCAAAATAGTCCCAACTCGCTTTTTGTATGCACGCCGTCGACCCACGGCGCGTCACCCTGCAGCGTCAGTGCCACGACGTGTACTTGTCTACGGGAATTGGTTGGGCAGTCGCCTCTGTTGCAAGAGGGCAGGCAGGTGGTATCGGATCGAGCGCGATGCTGCAGCAGAAGGCGCCGCCGACGATCGACGACTCGGTCAATACGTGCCAGAGCTCGGTGTTCCTGCTGCTGCTAGCGGTGCAGATCGGGGTGCAGCCCGTCTTGATGGCGTGGTACGCCGCCGAGGCGACGAACGTCCCGCTGCGCATCGTCGTCATCAACGTCATGAAACTTGGCCTCGCGCTCGGGCCGCTTGTCGCCAGTGGGCGCTGCCGGCATGAGCTCTCTCAGTGGTCTGCGGCGATTGCGCTGCGCACGACAGTGCTGCCCGCCTGCATCTATGTCGTACAAGACTACCTCAACCAGACGGCCGTCCTCTTGCTCGACGGTGTGACGTACAACGTCCTCAACCAGACCAAGATCATCTGGACCGCGCTCTTTGTGTACTACATGCTCGGGAAGCGACAGTCTCATATTCAGCTCGGCGCGCTCGTCCTCCTTGTCGCCTCGGCTGTGCTCATCGCGGTCGGCGGCCACTCGGCCAATGCCGTCGTCGCCGACGAGCTGGCGCGCGTCACCGGCATGACGCGTGCCTGCATTGCCGCCGTGCTCTCGGCGCTCGCTGGCACGATCATTCAAAAGGCGCTACAGCGCGAGGCGCGTGACGCGTACGTCGTCACGATCGAGTTGGCGGGCATTAGCATCTTTTCCAACGCCTGGCCCGTCTTGCTCGGCGCGTCGGCGGAGAGCGCGTCACCGCTCTGGAAGGGCTGGACGAGTCTGACAGTGCTGACACTCTTTGTACAAGCGTGCGGCGGCGTCCTTGTCGGCTTTGTGATCAAGCACTCGGGCAACATCAAGAAGAGCTTTGCGGTCGTGCTCGGTTTGCTCTTGACCGCCGTGCTTGAGAGTGTTTGGAACGGCAAGGCGTTCGGGACACCGGGGTACGCTGCCTCGGTCTGCGTCATGCTCAGCACGCACCTGTACACAAAGTATCCGCCAAGCGCATCGCGCCATGTCAAGCCGGGGCACGAGAGCGCCACCAAGAGCGATGATGACGACGACGAGACACGGGGCGACGATGCCAGCGCCAAGATGGAGCTCTTGCGGCCACGCGGCAGCCATCACCGCCAGGTCGCGACCGAAGGCGACGCGGTGGCGCAAGCCCTCGAGGCCGGTGAGCTCGATGCATTGTCAGCGCCAAAGGCGTAGCCGCACTGTAACATAGCATGGTTCTGGATAGACGAGGAGTAGGTGAACGGACGCTAACAAAGTTATATAGCGTCTCTATCGGATACCGCGTTATGTACGCGACGGGGCCGAAGAGAACGACGTGGTCTTAATGCGGCTTGGGCACATGCCCGTCGACATAAAAGTTGCGCGTCGCCGCGGGCAGCGTTACCTACAGGACCGTGAGACGACGTGATCATAATGTATTCGACACGCATACGATCGCGTCGGCGAGCTCCTCGGTGACCATGACTTGGCAGCCAAGGCGCGACGTGGCCGTGAGACCAAATGCCATGTCGAGCATGTCTTCCTCGTCCTCACAGGCTTCTGGGAGCTCGTCAAACACGGGCTCTTCGAAGATCACGTGGCACGTCGAGCAGGCCAGCGACGACTCGCAGGCGCCTGCACAAGATAGTCAGGTCCATGATGCGAATTGAGCTCGCGCTACCTTCCAAGTCGATCTCAAATGCGTGCGCGACGTCCAAGATCGAGGTGCCGACGGCGGCCGCAACCTGCTTGATCGAGCCGTCCTTGAGGCGAAAGTTGATGGGCACCGTGGGGCCACCGACGGGCGCGGCGCCGTGACTAGCGCAGGAGGCGTGAGCGCCGCCTTTCAACACATGCAGAAGGCTCGTACTGCAGTGCGATGGACGAGTGGAACGTGCGGCGGGCGCTGGCCAAGACGCGGCCCACGGCTGGTAGGCGACCAAGCATCGTCGGATAAAGAATTCGCTGCCAGCGATCCACGAGCGACCAGTTGGGACCCACCCTAGAGGGGTCCTATGATAAAAGGGAGGTGGGCCCTGTAAAAATGAACTTGACCAACGAACCAAAAAGATCTGCATACATTGTACAAGGGCGTGATGGCATGGGCCGAACCCTCGGAGCCATATTCTCTTGGCTTCGTTGCTACGATATGCTTGCACACGAGTGCTGTGTGGTGATATTTTCTCGGACATTCGTGTGGCGACCAAGCTACGAGCAGTGCAAATTAGTTAAGCTGGATTTTCGCCAGTTGTAGTTGATGGCGCAGACACTGCGCCATCAACTACGTTTCAAGAGTTGTCGAAGAAATCGGGAGCCGAAGCGCGCCTTCGCCATGCGGCACACAACGTGCAGTGCGGTGATGGAACTCTGTTCGTCGACTCCGGACTCTCGTAACAAACTGTTCGAACTCTTCAGTCTTGAGTCGGAGCGCATACCGCAGGTCACAACGTGAAGACAACGATTGATTTGTTGAGCTAAGGCTAACCGCAGTAGAATTAGTTCGGTTTGAGCCTTTTTAACCGTTGCAATATCATGTGCAATTCCAGGTGCAATTTTAGTCGCAATGTGTAGCTCAATAGTTTCCTGCCGGTACAGGGTCGCTTCTCCGTAGACGGTTGTAGACTACCGGTACAAAATGGCCGCCAACTATGCCATTGACACTACCTACGGTCCACGATCATAGAACGGACCATCTTGGAATCGATTTCATAGGCCCCGAACCGTCAGATACAGTGGGAGACCACCATGGGAGACCACAGCGCCCCACTCTTTTACGCTAGTTTAGACACCAAAAGAGACGGATAGACGTATCCGAACGTCCACAATTGAGTTTGAGGTCCACGATTGCGAGATCATTGGCTAAAATACAAGATATATTCGAAAATAATCGCATGTGATTGGATGGCGTGCCGATTCTGAAACTCGACATCCCGCGAGAATCCAGGTGGCATTCGATCGAAGCGCGCGTGGGACGGAGGTGCGGTAGAGTCGCCTCCAGACCCTCGTCGTCCACTGGCACAGAAACTCATTTGCGATCAAGGTCGCTGCCTCCCACCATGACGGACAAGCGACTCTTCGTCTACAAGAACGAGGCTGGCTCCGAGGGCAAGGTTGTGTCGCTGAAGCCCACCGATACGTTCGCCACGTTCAAGTCGACGACCGGGAAGAAGCTGAGCATGCGAGCCAAGCGCATCTTTCTCGCATCGGGCGCTGAAATCCAGTCCATGGACGAGCTGCAGAACAACGACACCCTTTACGTCAGCGCCGGCGAGGCCTTTTACAAGAGCGTGCCCATGTCCTCGGGGCAAGAGACCATCCAGCTCTCTGTGCTGGGCAGCGGCGGCGTCGGCAAGTCGGCGCTCACGCTCCGTTTTGTGCGCGACTACTTTGTGCGGGACTGGGATCCGACGATCGAAGACGCGTACCGCAAGACGATCGAGGTCCAAGGCCGCGTGAGCATGCTCGAAATCCTCGACACGGCCGGGCAAGACGACTTTGAGTCGCTCCGCGCGCAGTGGATGATGGACAAGGACGCATATGTGTTTGTGTACTCGATGGACTCGCGCACAAGCCTCCACGAGCTGCAGCCGTCTTTGAGCTCCACATGCAGATCAACGAGAACAAGCGCCCGATGCCACCGATCCTTTTGGTCGCCAACAAGAAGGACGTCGTCGAGCAAGATGCGGCCAAGTGTCAAGTGCCGACCGAAGAAGGCCGCCGGATCGCCCAAGCGTACAACGCCACCTACGTCGAGACGAGTGCGCTCACGGGCGAGAACGTATCTGCGGTGTTTGATGCGCTCGTGGGCCTCGTCCGAAGGAATCGCATGGTCCGGCCGACGCGGAAGAAGTCACACATGTGCGCGATCCTGTAGTCGCAGCAGAGATGTAATCGTAATGGTCAGTGTCGTGCTACATCACATCCCGTGCTGTGCCTTGTGTCTAGCACGCACAATCCCTGTCGACAGCAGGAAAGCAGAGGTGACCAGCGGCCAGTCGTCGGCGATCGGCCGCCCTGCTTCTGCGCCGACGCTTCCTCGCCCATGGTTGCTTGGCTGTGTACGCGGCAACTACGATCATGTAGCGCCTATAGAGTGGCGCCCGCAGGCGCCGTGGTACAGATCGCGCGCCCGTGACCCCACGTGCCATGGCGGCGCGCCCGTCGCGGCCGTTGCCGCTGCCTCTCATCGCTGTCTGCAAGCTTCGAACTTCGAGAGGCGAAATTTAATTTGACGAACCGAGGTGAAAGCAATACAAACGCCAAGTCATCAGAATAAAACGTACTTTTGCTGGTCATCGCGTCAGTTTGTGTTTCGGGCCACCATGGAGGTCCGTCTCTTCGTCTACAAGAACGAGGCCGGGTCCGAGGGCAAGGTCGTGCCCCTCAAGGCCGGCGACAACCTTGCCAAGCTCAAGGCGCTCGCAAGCAAGAAGCTTAGCGTCAAGGCGAAGCGGCTCTTCCTCGCGTCGGGCGCCGAGATTCACTCGATCGACGAGCTCCAGAACAACGACACGCTCTACGTGAGCGGTGGCGAGGGCTTCTACAAGTCGCTGCCGGCCGCGTCTGGCCACGAGACCTTTCACGTCTCGGTGCTGGGCAGCGGCGGTGTCGGCAAGTCGGCGCTCACGCTGCGCTTCGTCAAGGATTACTTTGTGCGAGACTGGGACCCGACGATCGAAGACGCGTACCGCAAGACGATCGAGGTGCAGGACCAGCTGTGCATGCTCGAGATCCTCGACACGGCGGGCCAAGACGACTTCGAGTCGCTCCGCGCGCAGTGGATGATGGACAAGGACGGCTACATCTTTGTGTATGCAATGGATTCGCGCACGAGTCTCCACGAACTGCAGCCGTTCTTTGAGCTCCACCTGCAGATCAACGAGACGAAGCGGCTGCTGCCGCCGATCATTTTGGTCGCCAACAAGAAGGACCTCGTCGAGCAAGATCCGTCAAAGCGGCAGGTCACGAGCGACGAGGGCCGGCGCGTCGCGGCGTCGTACAACGCGACGTATATGGAGACGAGTGCGCTCACTGGCACCAACGTCAACACGATCTTTGAACAGTTTGTCGTCGAGGCGCGCAAGAAGCGCCTGCCACCGCAGAAGAAGCGCGGTCTCTGCTCTATCTTATAATATGCTATTGCTACTCGTCCTACTATCCTGCGTAATGTACTCCGCATTCGTCCCTTTGTCTCTCCATCTTGCTCTCACTCGGAAGCCTCCATCAAGAACGTGCTGCTTCACCGGAGTGGATTCGGCGATGGCCCACAGGCACACACATTTGTCCATGTTGGCTGTTGCCGTCCAGCGTCCAGGCGGCTGCTCCTAGCGTAAACGTCCTGTGTTGTCGGTCTTTTGACGCCACAAGCAAGGCATGTGTATGTCGTGTGCAGCTCTTTCGAATAGCTGACGGGTATCGATTGTGGTGTCGGATGACGTGGCAGTTCCCCGTGCAAAGAAGGTGCGTGGACCGCTTACTGCAAGCACTCGAATCCTGCGCGACGTCCGCGCAGGCCGCGATGCGCCCTTCATGCTTTTTCTCTTCGTTGGAGCCAACTCGGCTCATTAAGGTAGGACGTGGAGCTCATGTACACTTCAGGGAACCATTCGACTTCCGTTGACCAAAATGAACTCCTGAGCGTGTTTATCCCCTTTTACCCTTTTCACCATATTGAATATTTATCAATAGTATCTCATAAATAAGTTGGCTTACCAAGACTCTCACTATCCCTCTATAAAAAGAATACACTTGCAGCCATTGAGACGAGCACGGAGTAGCACCCGAGTTTCACCTCGGGCCATACGCCAACCAAAGCAACGTTCCCGTCGTGATGCTCGGCCGCGCTGTCCTCGCTTGCCGCTGTCCCGCGCTCAGGTACCGATGTAAGCGCGCCTACAGTTAGCCTTACTTTGTGGCGATAGGCCTTCCATTGCGGCCTACTCGACGTCGCCTGGCTTTCTGAAGCGGAAGCCCAAGCACTGGAACAAGCCCAACTTGAACGATCGGATCGTGTCGACGCAGTCGGTGTCGCACCTCCTCGACGTGTACGCCAAGGACAACCTTCAGTTCACGCGCCTCCACTTGGCCATGACTGCGAGCCGCCTCGGGAAGCTCCGCACGCCATACCACAAGTTTGCCGACGTCGACAAGCAGATCTTCCACGACCTCGCATCCGAGCTCACGCGCCGCCTGCCCGAGCTCACGGCGCGCGACTTTAGCAACGCGCTGCATGGGCTCACGCGAGCCCGGGCGCCCGACAGTGTCATCTCCGCCTTGATTCACTACTTTGTCAACGAAATGGACCTGGACGCGTTTCAGCTCACGGAGCTCAGCATGGTCGTGCATGGCCTCGCGTCAAACCGGTTTAGCGCCCAGTCGTGCGCTGCGTTCAACCACGCCGAAGACCGCCTTGTGGAGCTCATTGCGAACGACAGCGGCGTCGGACCGCAGCACGTGGCGAATATTGTCTGGAGCTACGCGACCGCTGGCGCCTACGGTGCGTCGGTGTACGGAGCCGCGGAAGCCTACGTGGCCACGCACGGCCTGGACGCCTTCAAGCCTCAAGAGCTCGGCAACTTGATCTGGGGCTTCATGCGGTCGCATCCGAATCACGGGTCGTTCGTGTTTGAGGCCGTCGCCGACCACCTCGAGGCGCGGCCGCTGCACGATTTTACGACGCAGAACATTGGCAATATCGTTGCGGGCTTTGCCAAGGCCGACCACGTGCTCTCGACGGCGGTGCTCGAGTCTGTCGTGCAGCACTTGACGCAGCGCCTGCCCGACTGGCTCGAGAAGCCGCAGAACCTCTGCAACACGCTCTGGGCACTCGCCCTCTTTGAAGCGACGGACCTCGTGCCGCTCAAAAGCGTCCTCGACGGCTTGTCTCGTGCCCAACTGGGCCTGCTCGAGAAGCGTCAGCTGTACCAGTTTCTGCTGGAAGCGTCGCTGGCGACGGACGCGCCGCTCACGACCATGTATCCTTCGCTCTACGCGGCGACGCATGCTGCCATGATGGCGGACGACAGCAGCCGCGAAGCTGGCCGCAGCGCGTTCGTGCCCGTGGGCCTCGAAGCCGTGACGCGGGCGCTGGAAGACCGGCGTCTGCACTTTGAGACCAACGTCATGACGGACGTTGGCTACACGGCGGACGTCGAGGTGCACTGGCCGGGAGCCTCGCACCGCGACCACGGCGTCCTCATCATGATTGACGGCCCGTCCCGCTACTGGAAGCGCAAGATGCGGCTCCGATCGCGCATGAAGAAGCGCCACCTCACGGGCAGCGGGTACCACGTTCTGAGCTTGCCGTACTTTGCATTGAGCGAAGAGACCATTGACGCTGCGCTCGACGACCTCGAGCGACAATTGACGCTGGACCGTAAGGCATAGTCGTTGTGGTTGATTTTTCTTGTTTGTTTTTTCAATCTACCTCGACAGTCGTCCTGCGGCGGTGATGGGACAAAGCAACTCGACAGAGTTGACGCAATTCGTAAGGACTGGAGACATCTCTGGGACCACGGTCAAGCACAAGAGCCGCGCGCTGTGAGGGGGCACACGACCCACCGTCGCAGATCCACCGAACGTTCCCGGCGCAATTGGTGTCGGCTCTATGACCGCGAGCGAGTAGCTCCGTGACGTGGCCTGCTCTCGTCGCTCGGAAGGCGACGCGTGGCATTTGCGATACGACTCGTTTCATTGTAGCCAGACGAGAAGAGACTGCCTGCGTTTCCAACTCTAGCGCGGGCTTGGGATGCGAGCTGGCCGCACGGCGTGCCACGTGTCCAGCGTCCGGTACAACAGACCTCGGCGGACGTTGGTGCTGCGAGAAGGATCAGGCTGCGACGGCAGCTTCAAGAAAGCCTTGGCGCGCAGCATTCAGCGTGAGATAGTGACGTATACCACGCTACCCCTTGCGTCCCTTTGCGAGACCCTGCGTCACTCACGCGTTTCGCGAGTTTACCTGCAGGTCAAACGTAGGTTATTGACTTAAGACCGAGGCCACATGTGCGTTAAAGATGGGGATTGGCTCGTTTCAAACACGCGCCATCAAGTTGACATGCATTGCACTCTCCAAATCGGTTGACGGTAGATACTACATACCGACTACGTAAGCAACCAAGCAGCAGTGAGAGATAGAGATGGGACCGACCACGAAGCCGATAGCGAGGACCGCGCGCGTCCAACCAATCGCGGCTGCCAAGCCAGGCCCGAGCCGCCAGCACGTGCAGGTGGCGGTGCGCATTCGGCCGATGGGTAGCCTGGACCGCGTCGAAAGCGTCCTCAAGGCACCAACGCACCCTGTCGTGCTCGTCCCGAGTAAGAAGAAGCAGCTGCAGTTCGATCACGTTTTCGACGACACGGCGACCGACGCGGCGGTCTTCGCACCGGTCGAGCCGCTCTTAGCATCGTTCCTCGCCGGCTACAACGCGACTGTGCTCGCTTACGGCCAGACGGGCTCGGGTAAATCGTACTCGATGGGCAGCGACGGCGTCAACCCCCACGGCATCATTCCATTGGCGCTCGACGCCATCTTTGCGCGGCTCGCGGGAGACGACACATGGACCGCCCATGTGACCTTTTGCGAAATCTACGGTGATGACGTCCGCGATCTATACGCCAAGCAGACGCTGCTCAAAGTCACGGACGCGCTGTCGCCCATGAGCGTAGAGGGCGCCGACGACGCCCAGCGCCGCCTCCTCGACGGCCTCCGGCACCGCACGACGGCGGCGACCAAAATGAACGCGACGAGCTCGCGGTCCCACGCGATCTTCACTTTGCACTTGCAGCAGCGCAACGAGTGTCGCAGCTTACGATCCAAGCTTCACTTTGTCGACTTGGCCGGCTCGGAGCGGCAAAAGAAGACCCTCGCCGAAGGCCTCCGGTTCCGCGAAGGCGTCAACATCAACAAAGGCCTTCTCGCGCTGGGCAACGTTATGAACGCACTCAGCGAGAAGAAGGCGCACGTGCCGTACCGCGACTCGAAGCTCACGCGACTGCTCCAAGATGCACTGGGTACATATCCAACGGATCGCAGAGCATGGACTGACTCGACTTCAAACTAGGCGGCAACAGCCAGACATTGATGCTGGCCTGTGTGAGTCCTGCCAAGCGCCACTTGAGTGAGACGCTCAATTCGCTCGAGTACGCGCTACGCGTGCGTAAAATCTGCAACAACGTGTCGCTCAACGCCGTGCAATCAGACTCGCCGGCCGTTCTGGAGCTCCGCCGCCAGATAGATGCGCTCTTGGTAGAGAAAACGACGCTCCAGTCGCAGCTCGCGGCCCTCGTGGCGCAGCAGCAGGCGACGCTTGGTCTCCCAATCGCGTGGCACGCACGCCAAGTCCATGCTTTCTTCCTCGAGGCAGCGCCGATCGTCTGGGACTTACTGCGCGCGGCGTCGCAACGCATCGAGCGCATCTCGATCCAAACGGTGGTGGCGGTCGCCGCCCACCCGCGCGTGCGCCAGGCGAAAAACGACATGCAGCGCCATCCCGTCGCGAGCGTCGTCGTCCTATGGATCGCCAACGTCGGCTTTGTCGTGAGCTGCAGCGCCATGTACTGCGTCGACCTCGTGCTGCCGCGCTTGCTGACCTAGGATGGATACGAGTTGATCTTGATACAATGATACAAAACAGGTTTATATTTATCGCACGGCCTTGTGTGGAACGCGTGGTGTATGTTGTGGACGATGTCGCCTCTTCCTGTTCGTGTACTCGTGCTGCTGCTCTTGGCGATGCTTGCTGCCCCAACGACAACTTCAACGATGGTCGAGCCCCGCGACGTCGACCGCCTCATTGCCGCTGTGGAACTCCGCTTCCAGCAGCTGCAGCAAGCTAGGGACCGCGACCGCCCCAGCCGAATTTGCACTTTTTAAGTAGCGTTAAAACTCGTGCCTAGTTTATGTAATATAGTCTATGCCAAACACACTTGTACCCATGAACCAAACCATTCCCAGAGTCTGTCTGCGATAGAGCATCGAGCGTCGCCACACGAGAGCACGGGTCGTTTTTGGTTTCGCGCCAAAACCAGACGAACCGTTTTCGGTTTTCTGCAAGGCGCCAGATTCAAATTTGACGGCAAAAATGCTTCGCGCGCTCCACACCCTCCTCTTGCTCGTTGCGATCACTTGCCTTGCGATTGCCAGCGCCGACCCGATTCCTCCGCAGGGCGCCGTGGAAGAGCCGCCACAAGACACGCGCGCGCGACTCCAAAAGCTCCGCGACCGCCTCCTCGAGCTGCGCCATCGCGACAGCCGCCGGGCGTTGTAGCTTAAACGACCAAATACAATCGACCATGCACATTACACGGCTCTATGTTTTCACGCGAAGCGCCTCGAGCAGACGCGATGCGAGCGCACACACGGTGGGCTCTGGCTCCTCGGCGAGGATCGTGGCGGCTGCTAGCACGTCTTCCTTGTAGACGATAAACGCCACGGGCAATGGCCCTTCGCGGCAAACGAGTGCCAGCAGCGACGTCGTCGCAGCCTTGCGCACGGCCATGTACTTGGCATCGCGCATACCGTCGTCGCCCAAACACACGGCGATAAGATCGGCGACGACCTGTCGGTTCTCGAGCACGCGTTTGTCCACGCCCTGGAGCACACGTCCGAGGCAGAGAAAGACAGCTTCACGGATGCTCCAGACGTGGAAGCGAGGCGTCGAGAGAACCTCGCGCGTGAGCCACGAAAGCACGCCGGTTTGCGCTGCGACCGGCGCGTCGGGCAATGGCGGCGGCGACGACGGCCACCATGCGCCGAGGGCTTCAAACATGCGCTTGGTGACGAGCGGTGGCACACTGCTTGGCGCGGCATCTCCCTCGCCCTCGTGCAGAAAGAAGAAACGCTGGAGCTGTTCAAAGGCCGCGAAAGGCGGCGAGTCGGGGGCGACGGTAGCGACACTGACGATCGCACTCTCGAGGTACGAGACATCGTGGCCGCGGCGGGCGCGGTCGCACTCGTGCAAGAGCAGCTCCAAGAGGCCGTGCCGGTCGGTGCCGTTTTCGCGTTTCGCCACATGGACGAGCGCCTCGAGGACGACGCCCTTGCCGCGCCAGAGCTTTCCCGGGATTGCTGCTTCCAGCGCAGAGAGCGTCGGCGACCACGATGCAATGTACGGTGCGTACGAGGGCTCGGTGAGCGTCTTTAGTGCGAGTGCGCCTTGCTTGCGCGCTTCCCAAGCAAGTGCCCCACTAGCGTCGTCGCGTACGCAAGCGCGGTCGTGACGTACCGAGACGAGTACGACAGCGTCGGCGGAATGCACTCGAGCACGGTCGCCCACGCTGCGCCGAGACCCGTCGAGTTGGCGAATTGGCCCGCGAATGCGACGGGAAACACACGCTGGCACCAGTCGTCGTCAGTATCCGTGGCACTGCGCTCGCGTGTTGGCGGCAGTTGGCGTAGAAGATCGGCAGCCGCGGTCGCCGTGACCCAGCCGTAGCGACCGAGGCCCGTCGTTGTTGTACTGCCAGCGTCGGTCGCAAACACAATTGACGTCGGGACGGCGAGGAGCGCTTGCGAGACGTACGCGTCAACGAAGTGCGTCGGCACGAGCTTGGCGACATATGCAGCCGCCCGGCCATACGCGCGGACGACAAGACCGTCGCGCAAGCCGTCCTCTTGGGCCGTGGCTTCGGGTCCGTCGTTCTCGTTGCTGCCGTCGCGCGCCTCGGTGAGCACCATGTGGGCCATGTACGGCGTGAAAATGGATTTCAGAAGTTTCTCGGCGCCGCCGCTGGACCGCATCTCGTGCGGCACGTCCGAGACAAGCGAGACGACAAAGTTGGCGGCGCCGACACGCGTGTTGAGGCCGACGCCCGACCGCAGCGTTGTGCAAACACCCGTGCACAGGGTGCCCACGATGCCCGACACGATGGCGCTGTGGTTGCGCGCCAATTGCGAGAGCTGTGTCAAGCACGCCGTCAGGAGCTCGCCCACGGGCCCGGCCTGACTCAAAGAGACGCGGAGCTTCTCGAGTTGGCGCTTGTCTTGCACGTGAAATTGCGCATATTGGAGCTCGGGCATTTCGAGCGAGCTCATGCACGCGAGGAGCGTGATGGGGAGCGTACTGAGATGCGCCTGCAGGTGGTGCGGCGGCAGCTGCTGCACGAGCCGGAGAAGGTACCCCATGCAAAGGCCTTGGCACAGTTTGTTGCTCGAGACAATGCCTTCGTCGACAAGGAAGGGCAAAACGGCGTCCACGCACGTCGCATCGGCCGTCGCCACACGCACGCTGAGCTCGCCCACGCACTTGACAAGCTTGATACCTATCGCAGAGCATGAGCACAAAACTCACACACACATCTGTGAGCCTACTGGCAATAACAACCGACTCGTTGACATCGTCGACGGCGCGGGCAGTCGCCTTCCAGAGGTCTCGCAAATACGCAGCGACTTGGCCCGACGTCCGTCCTTGAAGCAACTCGACAAGCGCAGCGCAGGACGCTTCGCGGTACTTGAAGTTCTTGCTGGTCGTACGGCCGAGAACATGCGCCATCAAGACGTCGTAGTAATCGTGGACAAGGTCCGGCTTGGTCGACTTGAGCAGCGTCCAGAGCTGGAGCATGCAGCCACTGATCTTTGGGTTCGGGTGGGCTTTCAGGAGAAAGAGGCGCGGCACCAGACGCGACGCGACCGCCGACGCATGCCACGTCACCTGGGCGCGCTCAATCTGACTCTTGGAAAACGCCGTATGTAGCACGTCGAGCTGCAGCGGCGCTGCGATGAAGCGCGAGACACCGACCGCCACGGGTGCACGGAGGCCACCCCACGTCGGGTCGCTCGTGCAGAGATACAAGAGCGTGTACATGACGCTGGGGTCGCCGACTTCAGCTGCGACCGTGCTCACTTCGCGGTAGCAGGCATTCTCGATTGCATTTGCGGCCGAGGTCACGTCGTCGGCGGTTGGCGTCGGCGCTGTAGCCGCCGGTGCGTTCAAAAAGGCGCGGTAGCATTTCAGACGCTTGAAAAGCGTGTCGCTAAGCTCGTCGGGAGCTGACGCCAGCGTATACAAGAGCGTCAGCGATTTCACAGCGCACTCTTGTGTGAACGCGTTGGCTTCGTTGAGCAAGTCGATCGCGCGGTCATGGATGGACGTGGCCGTGCCTGGACACTGAATCAACTCGCGCCACGGCCCATCGGATGTCGCTGCCAATAGGATGCAAAAGAGGTACAGGGCGCCGCTGGCCTTCAAGTGCGGGCTCGGCGACGATAGCAGCGTTGTTACCTGGGACACGAGCGACGACAGCGGCGCGTCACGGCCATGGCCCATGGCCACAAAGAGCTGCCCGATGCCATACTGAAACGACACGTCTTTCCGATCACTGTACGCGGTGACGAGCGCCGAAGCCGTGTCATCGACGAGGGCCGCGGCCTCGTCGTTGTGGTAGAAGAGACAGGCGAGCGACTGGAGCGCGCGGAGGTGGAGGCGATCGATCGTCTCCGCCATGTCGGGATCTTTGGACGGCAGCTTGAGCACATCGAGAAGTACCGCGAGCGTGAGTGGAAGGTTGGCCACCGAGTGAGCGGCGGCAAGCGCGCCAAGAACTTGAGTGCAGGCAAATGCATGAGCGTACTGCAGCTTGGCATCGTGGGCAGACAGGACACTGGCATGGCCGAGCAAGAGAGGCTCGAGCGTGCGCTGGAGCAGCACAAGTACGCGCGATGCAATGCCTTCGTCCAAATTCCGGAGCGACCGAGCAAGCATGCTTACGCCAGAGAGGGCGCCGTGACGCTCGGGCCAATGGTCGCTCGCGATGTGCGCTTGCAGCTCCATGGCAAGGCCGTGGGCATCAATCTCGGGAAGATCGAGAGACCCGATTGTGATTGCCAAGTGCTCGCGAATCTCCGTGTTTTCGACCGAGAGCAAGATAGCGACAAGCGTGCGAAGCTGCTCATGGAGGAAGGGACGCGCGGCGGGGAGGTCCGCGAGCTGCACCAGCGCCTCGGACGCAACGAACGCCGGACTGCCACCGGCCCCGATAAGGCCCATGCACGCCTCGACAAGTGCATGGACGTCCGATGGCATGAGGCCGGCTACATCGTTCGCCGCCAAACACGCCAAGTAGAACTGCAGTGTGCTGCGCAACACAACTTCTGACGACGTCGGTGTCAGCATGGACGCTGGCGAACACACGGAAACGACGCTTGCGAACGGCGGCAGCGGTGTCTTCATCATGGCAGCGGCGCAAATTTCCCGCACTTGGTCGCTGGCATCGCCTGCGAACCGCAGCAGCACCCGACGCAGGTGCAGGTCACCGCCAGGTGACTCTGTTGCATTGGAGAAGAGTAGTTGCGACGCCCAAAAAGCGAGGATACCACGAACGCGGTCAAACTTGGGCTGCATGACCGACGTCGCATCGCTGAGCTCGTGGATCTCGCGCTTGATGGTCGCCAGCACGGCGGATGGCACCAAGCCACTCGTGTAGGCGGTGCAGAGCGTTTTCAGCGCCTCGAGGCACACGCTGCCGGAGCGCGACTCGTCTTCTTCGCGCATGGCTCGGTACATCAGGTGCTGGAACGGCTCGGCCGACGCTGCAATCACCTACAGCGTCTGTCAACACAACTATTTGGACAGCGTCAGAGGCGTACCGCCGGACAGCGCGTCGCGAGAATGGAAAGACTCGAGTACACGCCGTGGCGCACCGAAGGGCTGCAGTCTTGGTCTTGCTGAAGCTTCATGAGCGGCGTGTATAGCACGGGTCCGAGCGCGGCGACGACCATCGCCTCGTCCGAGTGGCTCAGCGTCCAGACACAAAAGTCGATGCCAGCCTTCCGGATCGGTTGTGTGAGCGCTTTGGCCGTCACGTTGCCAAAGAGTAGGGTGCATATGAGCTGGAGGTTCATGGGAAAGATGTTGGCCGCGGCCTTGGAGAGACCCAGCAGTGGCAAAATATGGAGGGCAACAGCCTCGGGGAGCGGCGGCCGGTCGTTTAATAGGATACCTCCAAGCTCGGACGGCGCAGACTGGCCGAGGAGGCTCCGGGCAAAGAGCGACATGGCTGCTGCGTTGTCGAGCACGTCGAGCTGGTACTTGTGGAGGCGGTCGAGCTCCTCTCTGCAGTACGTGCTGATGGTGTGGAACTCGGCGGTCGCACCGACGGCAAAGTGCAAATACCACAGCGCGACGTTTACGCCGTCGCTACCGGCGATGACCCCTTTGAGGAACTGGACGACCTGGAGCTGAATGTCCGTGCGCGACGCTTTCTCCAGCGAGAGCAACTTGGTGCGCTGGAGGCGCTCGCTGCGCGCTGTCGAAATGACGGGACACAAGAGCACGTCGAGAAGGTAGTCGAGGAGGACCAGTACGTCGTCAGTTGACGCAGGGACGCGGATCGGCGTCGACGTCTGGAAGCGGAACGAATGCAGGAGGAGGCGAAAAAAGGTATCTTGCACCGACGCGCTCTTGGCCGCGAGGCCACTTACGAGTGCCGAGAGGATCGCCGTCTTCTCGTCCTCGGGCTGCGCAGGAAATCCGAGTTCGAGGAAGAGCACGGTAAAGTTGCGGGCATACGCAGCGTTCGTCTGCACGAGGTGCTCGGTCGGGTCGAGGTAGGCCAGCAACGACGCGAGCGGCAGCACGACGCGCATGGATGGAAACGTCTTGAGACGCTTGATAAGATGCGCAAAGATGTCGAGGATCTACAGACGCAGGCTGCATGAAGATGGGCCCTTCCATGGCGTCGGTACCTTGGCCGTGACCGAGGCCGCGCCCGTCTCGATGAGGCGCTGGAAGAGCTGGGGTAGGAGCAGGCGCAAGACGTCGCAGAGCTTGTCGTCGTCGGTCAGGCCTAGGCGCAGGAGGACGCGGTCGAGCTCTGCGACCCGCGCGGCCTCGTCGTGCTGCCCGTCGTCCATCTTGCAATATAAATGCCGGTCCCGTTTCCTACATAAAAATATAGGTCGACGACGAGAATAAGCTACAAATATGCTTTTGACACGTGTCTAATCGCTCAATACGGTTAATCAATTGCATATTCTTTCGATTTTGTATCGCAGAGCGGATTGTTTGCAACACCCAACAAAACGTCGCGAAGGTTTGGTACGACCTACACTCCAGTATCGGGAGTGATGGACTCGGATCTTGACCGTTTCAAGGCCGTCGACTGCGTTATTGGCTCGGCGCGGACGACTTACCAAGTGCTTTGGTGCACGCTTCGACGCGCGCAATGCAAAGGCGAACTGTTTCGAGTCCATGTAGTACACTGCACTTTTGGAGCCAGCGTTGGCGTCGCCAAACGAGGGGGAATCTCGCCAGGAAGAGACTCGTGCAGGTAGTGCTTCCGAAGCTCCTATTCAAGGAGATTACGCATCTCACGATATGGCGCTAATGTACCCAGATAGCGCGACCGCCCGTCCTTCGACTGCATCGCCTTCGCACGTGGCGATGGCGCATGCAGCTGGCGCGACAAGGTGTACATCTCTCTAAACACAAGGTGATGTGGGAGCAAAAGGCACTGAAACGATCAAAAGCCTCAGTTCAACATCCTTGCAGCTGCGTTCACTTTGTCGATGCATCATCTCTACACCTTGTTGTAAGAGCTCGTCGCAGGTACCTTGGACTTGGGTTCTTCTCCAGCTTTGAGGCGTCTCTTCAAGGATACAATGTATGCAGCGGCTACTCGAGAGGGGGCAATGGACGGAGACGGAGCGGTTGGCTAATGCCCGCAACCAATCTGCCTCAAGACGCGACCATCTCCGATTGGTTCGCACTCAGCGCACTTCAGCTATCACGCTGCCGATCGCATCCTGCGTCGTCGAGGTGGCGTTCATGGGCACTGGCGCCATTGGGAAAGACCACCTTAATGTAGTTTTGCACATCGTTGGGGGCAGAAAGTCCACACTTTTAAAATATTTGGCTTCAATCCCGTGTCCAACCCTGACCTCTCATGACGGGCAACGCGGTCATAGGCGACGACAGTAGGTCGAGTGTCGTACATGGGCTGTCCACCGCATCATGTCAGCTTGCCATCTTGGTCGGCCACGTCGAATCATTTGTCGTCGCCTCGCAAATTGAAGTTCGGCGGTGCTTCTGGAATCACTCAACATTCCGTAGAGGGGGTGCTCCGACGACCCCGTGAATGGTGATAGCCATCTGGCAATAAAATTTGGCGTCGCAAACAACGGTCATTTCTGGATTTGCCATGCTGCGCTCGACCCTTCTCCTCGCCCTTGCCCTCACGTCCGCCTCGGCGGTCGAGGTCTGCAACACGGAGCAGACCAAGTCCTGGACGACCTTCCTCCAGACGCCCGTCGACGTGTCGTGCACGAACGGCGTCGCCGCCATCACGCTCCCGGTGCAGTTTTTCAGCGGCAACAACTCGACCAACTCGACCGCGTGCCCGAACCAGACGTGCTTGACCTACTTTGAGAACAAGCTCTCAGCGCTCCCGATGTGCGCCGTGAACGGCTCCTCGACCGACCTCCACTCGGTCTTCTACAAGGCCAAGGCTGCGTGCTCGAACGGCGGCAAGACCACCAACTCGACGACCGCGCCGACCAACTCGACGACCGCGCCCACCAACGTGACGACGGTGCCTGTCGTGACGACGGACGCGCCGATCACGACCGTGTCGCCCACGACCAAGAAGCCCACGGCGACGACGCTGGCGCCCTCGGGTGTGTCGGCGACCACGCTGTCGGTTGTCGCCGCCACGGCGACGCTCGCAGCCACGATGTGGTAAGCAGCGGCCCATGCAGTACTCACTGATCTTTATATAAACCCTGTGTAATACGACTCTTTTTGACGAAATAATGCAAATTACTTGGCACTTGAGCTCGAGATGGTCGTGCTGTACGCCGGGGTGTGCTTGAGCTTGGTGCGCTTTAGCGGTCGCTGCGAGGGACTCGTGGCACCGCGCGAGAGGCGATAAGTTGTGGCCGACGACGCCTTGACAACGATAGGAGATAGGAGCGACGGGGCACATCTGTCGTCGGCGCAGATGGCGCTTCGATTGGCCTCGCGAGGTTTTTGCAGCGGCACAGCCATGGCCACCCGTTCAACTCTGGCGCGGCGCACTTGCAAGACAATGCTAGCACCGATCCCATCCACATGATTAGTGGTCGCGATATCGAGTCGCACCTCGTGCGATCGAGGTCCGTTGCGGGCGTGCTGCGCTGGCGCTGGGGGACCCACTGCGTCACCTCACGTGTCGCCTCCGAGTAGAGCGCAACGCCCTCCATCTCGACGCCATAGACCCACGCTTTAACGTACCGTGCCGACTCGCACGTGAGGCGGGGGGCGCCAACGTACCTACACATGAACATCGATCGCATTGCATATCCATCCAGCTTCCACCATACGCACCGTAGGCGAAGCTTGACGTTCGGCGTTGCATCGTCCACGCCCGGTGTCGTGGCGACCACGACCTCAAAGTCCCCCACGACGCGCATCTCGACGCTGGATCTGTATGAAAAGGGGTGCTCTCGCGACCCCTCGACGCAAAGATACGGCGCTGGAAGAATGACCAGAGCTTCGATTCGTGAATTGCATCCACCTTCGATTTCCGCATAGTACTCCATACTAATACATTTTCGCACTTGATATTGGCTCTCAGCGCACACGTTTGGTGCGATAACAGAGTCCCTCTGTCGTATGACGCAGCATACGCGACCGAGGTTCCTGGCGATAGGTTCTCGTGGACCCCTTTAACGCAATGACGTTATGAGATCCAAACCTGCGACAATTAATATATTGTATTATGCATTGTCAAGGTATTTGTTTCGACCAATTGGGAGCGATATGGCCTCGAGTGTGCACCAATCCGATTGCTGGATTCCTTCCTGCATCATGTCGACGAATCCACGAGAAAGCGGCGTGGAATAATGATGCGCCTCGAGCCCACATCATCAAGGTTCTCCAGACGGCGCTGCCAGCGGTGTGATGACGGCGGCGACATCCTTGGACCGGGCGACGACGACGATGGTTCTCTAGCCCCATTTCTCAACACATGGAAGCGCTAAGATCTTATCAATGCGCATGGGTGAAAACGTGCAAGCACTTCCATTCCTTCGACACAACCATCTCGATTGAGCAATCGACAAAGTCATTTTGAAGCCAATATGTTATTTGTCGGTCGAGGATTAGTGCTGGAGGCTGCCAATCATGTTTTGGGGCACAACCCACTCGTCGTACTGCTCGGACGTGACGAGGCCGAGGTCCATGGCCGCGACCCGCAGCGTCGTGCCTTCCTTGTGCGCCTTCTTGGCGATCTTGGCAGCGTTCTCGTACCCAATGTGCGTGTTGAGCGCCGTCACAAGCATGAGGGAGTTCTCCAGATGCGACTGCACCACCGGGAGGTTGGCGACGATGCCCACGACGCAATGCTTTCGGAACGAGTCGCACGCGTCGCCAAGGAGCTTGGCGCTCGTGAGGAAGTTGTAGATCATCATGGGCTTGAACACGTTGAGTTCAAACTGACCGCTCATACCGCCGACCGCAATCGCCGCATCGAGGCCAATGACCTGCGCGCACACCATCGTCAAGGCTTCGCACTGCGTCGGGTTGACCTTGCCCGGCATAATGCTCGAGCCCGGCTCGTTCTCCGGGATCTGGATCTCGCCAATGCCGCAGCGCGGACCCGACGCGAGGAGCCGGACGTCGTTGGCGATCTTCATGAGCGAGACTGCGAGTTTCTTGAGCGCGCCAGAGCCACCGACGAGCGCATCGTGGGCCGCGAGCGCTTCAAACTTGTTGGGCGCCGTCACGAACGGGTGGCCCGAGAGCTCGGAGATTTTGGCGGCGACGAGTTCCGAGTAGCCCGCGGGGGTGTTGAGGCCCGTCCCGACGGCCGTGCCGCCGAGCGCGAGCTCCGAGAGGTGGCTCAGCGAGCTCTCGATCGACGCCACCGCGTGGTCGAGCTGTGCCACGTACCCAGAGAACTCCATGCCCATCGTGAGCGGCGTCGCGTCCATCCAATGCGTGCGGCCAATCTTGATGACGTCAGCAAACTCGATCGACTTTTCGTGCAGCGCGTCGCGGAGCGCTCGGACCATCGGAAGCGTGTGGTCCACGAGGAGCGAGTACGCGGCGATGCTCATGGCCGTCGGGAACGTATCGTTGGACGACTGCGACTTGTTGACATCGTCGTTCGGGTGGATGACGCGCGGCGCGTCGTCGAGGAGGTCGCCGCCGTTGAGCACGTGCGCGCGGTTGGCCACGACTTCGTTCACGTTCATGTTGCTCTGCGTGCCCGAGCCGGTTTGCCACACGACGAGCGGGAACTCGTCGTCGAGGATCCCGGCGGAAATCTCGTCACAGACGCTGCTAATGAGCTCCAGCTTGGCTTCCGGCAGCACGCCGAGCTCAAAGTTGGCTTGGGCGGCGGCCTTTTTGAGAATCGCAAACGCGCGGATGATCTCGAGCGGCATGCGCTGGCCGCCGATTGTAAAGTTCTCGAGCGAGCGCTGCGTCTGCGCGCCCCAGTACCGGTGCGCCTCGACGCGCACGTCGCCCATCGTGTCGTGCTCAACGCGGTGCGTCTCTGCGCCGTCGACCATGCTTGTGTTCCTTGCGGCGTCGATGGAAAATCCCCAAATGCCAAGGCCCTTCAAGAACCACTTCAAGACCAAGATCGCCACCGCGCCATCTTTTATTGTACCTCGGCAATATATATATGGATTTGTAGGAAATAAAATAAAAACAAAGACGCACTCGGTTAAGTGCGCATGGCGGTTGACATGGCGGCCGGATCAAAATGATGTCATGACGCTTTTATGCGATAGCCAACGGTCGAGGATGGATGCGCGCCAAGCACAAGCAGCCAATGCGAGCACAGTTATTTACTTGGGTGATGCGTGTTCGTCTCCTGCCGTGCATGGAAACAAGTGAAATGCAATCTGTTTCCTGGATTGGCCATGCCACCGGCGTCCCAAGCACGGCCATTGCGCAAGCACCAACGTACCATCGTACCATGGGTTGACTGCTATGAATGCCGCCCGCGAGGTAGCTGCGCGTGGTGAGGGCTACCAGGGCACACAAACGTATCAACGAACGACGGGCGGCGTTGCTTTGTAGCTGGTGTTCGGGCAGCTGCAAGATGCGATCCGACGCCTCGGCTACTCTTTGCGCCCGAGTCGCAGATTCATCCAGCACGAGATTCGTTGGCCGCCGCCGCCAGCAACGCGTGTGAAAGGACAGGGTTGTACACGAGTTACAAGATCTAGAGTCGTTTGGCTGCGAAGTCCAAGTGCCGCTCGCCATGGAAGAAGATGTGGTTGCTCAAGTGGTCGCTCGTAAAGAGGTCTTCGCAGATCATCGCTCCGATGAGTGTGCCCCGCCCGGGCTCGATGAGCGACCCGACGGCCGCACCCAACGAAGCACCGGCGATCGCCAAGACACACCGATGGGCATTCTTGACGCTCGCTCTCGTAACGTCTACGAGCGTTGGGTTGCCCGCCAAGAGGTAGACCTGCTCGACGAGAAAGATCGCAAGGTGCGTCAGGAGCGACGCACGCGCCGTGGTCTTGAGCATGAGCTTGGCAACGAGCGCCTTGTCTTGGTATCGAATCATCTTTCGCAGCGACGATGTGTACAAGTTCTTCATGAGCTTGCCTACAGAATGGGGTGCGTCCAGAGTGTGCAGGCAAGATGCGATGCACCTGCGAGGCGTAGCGGGAGCGACTCGACGCAATAGGCTTCGAGCATCCGCGTGATGGTCACGTACGTGACGGCTCGGCCAAAAGACTCGCACCACGGTACGATCGCGTGCGTGATGAGCGCGTTGTCGGTCGCTTTGTCCTCGTCCGGGTTGCGCCGAAAGAGGCCATCAAAGACCACGACGACGCAGGACGTCCAGGCCGTGTGGCGCAAGGCGTCGGCGCGCAGGTGGGCCATGAAGGCCTTCTGGTCGCGGAGGTAGTTCTTTCCTCGGAGCAGCACGGCGACGTCCTTGGCAGCGCTCGTGAGCGCGCGGGTCGACGGCTCCCACACCTGCATGCTAGTACCCCAACAAGGCAAATTCTACACCACGCGTGTGTTTTTCTTTTACCACGGCGTGTGTTTTGAAAGCTACGATATCATGAGCGACGTGTAAAACGTGGCAATGATGTGTGTTGGTGAAGAATAAGGAGCCAATGGCATCGACGGATCGGTTTCACGCGGTTGCATTGGCGATGGACCGGCCGCAGCACCACATCACGCGCGACGAGGTCCCGACCGTGGACCTCGACGAGGCGCGGACGTCGCGGTCCTGGGAGTGGGTCCTTCTCGCGGCGGCGAAGGAGCCGGAGCTGCCGCTGCACGTCCTCGACACGGCCTTTGTCCACCACGGCAACGTCACGGCGTGGTACTTTACAGCAAAAGACGGACTGCTCCTGCGCAAGTCGGCCAAGCACTTGACTTTAGCGCTACTTGCCCAAGCATGCGTCAAGATCGCATTGGCGTACGAGAAGAACGTCGCCGCACATGCCGCCGTCGTGTGGCGTGACGGCGTGACCGACTGCCAGGTAGTCTCTCCTCTTCGCATCGTCACGCCGCTGACGCAAGTGTACATAGATGCTCTCGGCCAACGACTTGGCTATCGCGCTCGAAGGGCTTCCAAAAGGCTCGCTCGTCGTCCATGCGTACGTGCACCCGAAAGGCGACGTGCATCCGACGCGATTTGCCACGTACGAGTACGACCACAGGTACATCTGCCGCATGGAGAGGCTGCGCGCGACACGCAGTGTAGCCTCACCAAGACAGGCAAGCCGCAGGCCAAATGCACGCGGTTCGCGCTCGGAGCGCAGCGCATTGTGTCGAAAGACGCCAGCCTCAACGCCGCGATGGGCAGTGCGACCATGACACTTCTGGGGTAGCCATCGCGGGAGGACCACTGGCTGTACTATATTATGCCTCCTTGCTAGTGCGGTCGAGAAGCATCGCAAGTGCCGCGTGGTGGCTGCGACGCTGTACTTTGTCGTGGACGACGCCGGCGGCCTCTACCTCGTCAAGACGGCGACGTGCATGACGACGCCGCTGGCTCAATCCAAGCCAAAGAAGACGGAGGTGCCAAGCAGCAGCGCTGTCTTGGGCACGACGCAGCGTATGCTGCTGCGCGCGCAGCTCGACGATCTCAACGCGCCGGACGAGGCCGCTGTCCAGGCGATTCTGCACCCCAAGAAATCAGCTCTCAAGCAAGGGCGGCTCGCGTCCCTGCCCAAGCAGACGACGATGCGCGCGTCATCGCCAATCAACAACAACCACATTGCAGCGGGGAAGCTCCTTTCGCGCGTGGAACGCCGCGCGATCTCGGCGGCGAACCTTGGGTCGAGCCAAAAGAAAGGGTGTGTCGGGGACTTTTGCCACATCGTGGTGGACCCGGCCGATCGCATCCAGCGCGGGTCGACGCCGAGCCTCCTTGGGTTCCCGAAAGGCAACAAGAGCCTCGCGGCGCGTGCCGCCAAGTATGAGAAGAAGGCACAGACGTTCATGGAGAGCCTCGAGGGCGCGCCCAAGATGGACGCTGGTGACAGCGACATTTGGGCATCGCTGACGACGGCCAACGGAGACCCAGGTTGCACGCCGCACACGATCCCGTTCAAGTACATCGCGCAAACGCGCGTTGAGAAGAACCATGTCGACCATTACATTCGGCGCTATGTCAACGGCGACGACGTCGAGTACATTGGCGAGCTCTACGACGACGGCGGCGACGGCGAGCCCCTCGGCACGGTCTTCCCGGGGTACTACTACCAAGACGTCGACGTGTGCGCCAACTGCTTTGCGTTGTATTCGCTCATCGAGGAGGCGCGCGTCAAAGCGAAAAGCCGCGCGGCCGCAAAGATGAAGCGCAAGCGGGCGCGGATTCCTGAAAACACCACGGCGAAGGCGGCGCTGGCGACAACGGCTTGGGAGGCGGCGTGGGCCGACGCGGTGAGTGTCGCCAGCTCGATTACTCTGTTTGAGATCGCGGAGCTGCGGAGCTTTGTGCACCCGCCGCCTGCGATCGCAATGGTGGCATCGGTGCTGCTCATTCTGCTGCTGAAGAAGCCAAACATCTCAGTGTCTCGGATGATCTCAACGACGATGGCAACGACGTACACCGGTACTGGAGTCTTCTCAAACGAGAGCTTGCGCACAGCGATAAGCTCCACGCGCGGCTGCTCCACGTGCACGTGTCTGACTTCTCCGCCGACCAAGTCCAGCGCGCGCAGCGGTACACGGCCAACCCGCTGTATCGCGCCCAAGTCATCGAGCCGATCTGGAAAGGCGCCGCAAAGCTCTGCACTTGGTACCTAGCTACGCCGCTCGCTATGTTGACCGGCGGGTGCCAATAGGACGCTCGAGGCACTGCGCGCGTACCACTTGTGGCAGCCCACCGTCTGTAGCCTCGAAGCACCTCTCGAGACACCACCGCCGACGGTCGACACGAATAGCACGCTGCGCGCGTTGGCGCAAAACAAGCAGATGGCGCGGCTGGCCGGGGCTCGCGTCGAGCCCGAAGCCGACCCCAACCGGCAGCACGAATTTACGTGCGATGACGGCGTGACGACGATCATGTACCAGGTCCTCGGCCTCGGCTCCGTTGAGCTCTCGAAAGCCAACCTCGTTGTGTGGCCCGACTTTTTCGACACGCTCGAAGCGACGCGAGTCTTCCTCCGGTCCGTTCTGACCGCGCACCCGGGCTGTCAAATGCTCGTCTTCAACCTCCCGGGGCAAGCCAACACGACCTTCGCCAACGATGCATCGCTCTCGAATCTCTTCTTGACGCGCTGCGTGCACGAGCTCCTTACGTCGCTGAACGCATCGGGCCGCTTCTCAACGTCGGTCCCCTTTCACCTTGTGGGCTTTGGCCATGGCGGCCACCTCGCAGCCTGCTTTGCGATTCAGTTTGGCGCCATGTACGCGCCGCGGCTCCAGAGCGTAGCGCTTGTCAATGGGTTTGCGTCCATTGACACGCAGCTGGCGGGCATCTTGCACGGCGCCGTGAACCTCTTCCAGTGCCTTCCGCACACGCGACCGGACTTGCCCGTCTCGTACTTTAGCAAATTCCTCTTTTGCGCCGAGTACCTCCAGCGCGTGGACCCGAATCTGGCGCTGAGCATCTACACGGCGGTGACGAACGCGATTTCGCTCGAAGGCCGGCTGCGCATCTGCAAGGGCGCGCTGCACAACGTCGACCTTACGGCCCAGCTCAGCGTCATTAGCGTCCCGATTGTGGTCGTGCAGTCGGTCGAGAACGCGCTCGTGGCGCCGACCAATGTCGATCCGTTTCTGCAAGGTACAAACTTGCGTCTCGGGGTCGCTATTGAATGTTGACTCTAGGTCGGTCCTGTGTGCATGTGTGGTCGCACCAGCAAGGCAAGAAGGGCGAGCTCAACGACCGCGGGCGCCAGCTGCTCGCGCAGGCGCTGAGCGCGCCGGAAAAGAGCGCCTTTGTCACGTGGCTCCGCGCCGGGCACGAAGTGCGTCAAGAAGCAAAGCACTACATTTGCGATCTCCTCGACGTCCTCGTCAATTGGCCAGCCAGTCGCCCGGACGTCAGCGCGCCGGCCGACATGGCGGTCGCGCCATCTCCTGTGACAGAAGTGCCCACACCCTTGGTCGCACCGCCAGCAGTACGAACGACCGAGCCGTCGACCGAAAAGCCCGATGGGAGGCGAGTTCGAGGTCCGTCGCTGCAAAGTATGCCGCCGCCGCTGGTGCCGCCGCTGGTGCCGCCGCTGGTTGCAGCGACCGAAGTACTGTCGAGCGAGCCGGACGCGACTTTCTACTACGAAACCGAAGCCAACGCCGCCAAGCAGCGCCTCGACGAACAGATCAAGCTTGCAGAGCTCAACGCACAGCGCCGACGAGAGCAAGAAAAAGCAGAGACAGAGGCGCGCCTCGAGGCGCTGCGCTTGGAGCAAGACCGTCGGCGCAAGCAGTGGGAAGACGAGGACAACGCGCGGTTGGCGGCGCTTGACGCAGAGCTCCAAGCTCGGCACGGCGCTCGAAGCCAAGTGCGCCATGCGGTTCAAGACGCTCTCTGGACCGCCGATGTGCACGTCGCCAAAGCCCTGGAAGCCACGACGGTTCCGTCCACGTCGATCCCAGATGATCTTTTGGTCGACGTCGCGCCGCCGGCGCCAAATCGTCGACTGGAACTGCGCGAGACGCTCCTCGCCGCGCACGAGGTGCCCGTGATCACGAGCCTCTTTGAAGAGCTCGAAGCGGAAGAAGAGAAGAGCCGAAAGCTCGGGCTACTCAAAGTCGAAGAGTACGCCCACGTGCAACATCAGGTACGATGTACCAGTGCTCTCTAAACAAACTTGACACGTTGATACATAGATGGCCCTAGCACAAGCCGAACGGCAGAAGCAAGTGGACCTCGAGCGCGTACAGGCCCTGCTGGTGCTGCACGTGGCCAAGGCCATTACGATTCAGACGTACGTGCGGCGGTTCTTGGCGCAGTGCGCCTTGCAGCACCTGCGGGACGAGGTCTCTCACCCTTCCTTTTGTTGTCTAACTCTGCGCTGTAGCGCCAGCGAATGTTGCGACGGGCGCGCGCCGGGGCCGAGATCGTCCGCGTCGCCCGCGGCGGTCTCTCGCGGATGCGGACGCGGGCGTACAAGACACGGAAGATCGAATTGGAGCGGTACCTCTCGAGCACGCAGCTCGTCCAGCGCTGGTATCGCGGCGAGCGAGCGCGCAAACTCTATGTGGCGAAACGTCGGCTCAAGTACGCGGGACTTTTGCAGCGCGCGTACCGTGGCCACCTCGGGCGGCGCAAGGCCAACGCCATTCGAGACTCACAGACGCACGTGCGCATGCTCCACGCCAAGGCGACGCAGCTCCAAGCCACGTACAAGATGCACCGCGAAAAAGAGAAATTTCTGCGCGTTCGCGTCCGGACGCTGGCGGCGAACGAGCTCCAGCGCGTCTTCCGCGGGTACCTCGCCCGGAAGCGCGTCGCTCGCATGCACGAGTGGGACCGCGCCGAGCCAGGGCCGGAGAAGCTCACGCTCGGCCTCCAGCGCATCGAGGCGTCCAAGGTCGAGTTCGAGCGGCAGCAAAAGGAGATCGACGCCCTTCACCGCGCGCAAGCGTCGGCCGAGCGCAAGGTGTCCGAGATCCACGCGAGTCTAACGGATGCGCAGAAGGAGCTCTCTGTGCTGGAACGGGAGCTCCAGGAAATCGACCAGATCGAGACCGACTTGCACGAACTCACGCACGAGGCCGAGATGCTCAAGGCCCGGGGCGGCGTCGAGCACGCCGAGCGTCAAGGCCTCGGCAACGGCATCGTCTTGAACGACCCGTCGTCCAACGGCGGGTTTGAGACGAAAGAAGAGGCGCGTCAGCGCATGGCGGACGCCTACGCACTCGAGATGGCGATCCACATCAAGCGCAACGAGCGCGAGAAGAAGAAGAAGGAGCTCGAGGCCGAGTTCACGAGCGTCTTCCATGACGTGCAGCTCAAGAAGCAGGCGCTCGAAGAGATGGAAGCCAAGCTCAGCGACATGGAGGCGACGCGGCTGCGGAAGGACCGCGAGTTTGCGCGCATGCAGCGCAACCTCATGGAGCTCCTCGAAGAGCAAAAGTACGAACTCGACATGATCCGCGAGAAAGGCATCGAGCTCGAGACGGCGACCGCCACGTCAGCAGCCGCCGCTGCCGCCACGGCCATGAAAGCCAAGGAGCACGAGAAGAAATCCCAGGCCATCTTCGAGTCGACGGAAGAGCTCATGAAGTTTCAGTTCATGGTACATCTGGATACGACTCACTGGAACCCGTGGTGTCATGCAGGTCGTAGTCCATGTCGCTCTCGTACTTTAGCTCGCTCAACATGCTCAAGAGTCTCCGCGACATCAACGCCGACACGACGGCCGCGGCCATTTCCAGCACGGCCGAGACGGCAGCGACAGCCGCGGCGGCGGCGGCGGCGGCCAACATACCCACGATGCAGCGGCTTCAAATCGGAAGCAACGAGCTCATGGACGCAGCGTCGAAAAAGAAGAAGCTCGAGCTCCTCGAGCGCACGAAGCGCGAAGACGAAGCCAAAGCCGCGCTGCTGCAGCCGTTCCCAAACGCGATGCGCGACTGGTCCATCGACGACGTCCAGCGCTGGCTCGAGGTGCTTTCCCTCTCGCAGTACAAGCAAGCGTTCCGGGAAGGCGCGGTCGATGGCGCGCTCCTCCTCGAGCTGCGTCCCGAAGACCTCTCCGACATCCTCGGCGTCACGCACAAGGCGCATTTGCTCAAGATCCTCGTGTCGCGGAAGAAGTACTTGCCGTTGAGCCAGCAAGACAAGGTCAAGGCCGATGTTGTCGACAAGGAAGACGCGGCAGCCAAGACGCGAAAGGGCGTGCCAAGCGCCGACACAGTGTTCAGCCAGGCGCGCAACGGCCGCTTGAAGCGCCTCATGGAGAGCGTCGAGGCCGGCTTCGACATCAATGCCGAGGACGAGAAGGGCAACACGCTGCTATCGATCGCGGCGCAGAACGTCAACCAAAAGATGGTCGAATTCCTCGTGCTGCGGGGCGCGAATGTCAACCACAAGAACGCGCAAGGCAACACGCCGCTGCACTTCGCCATGGCGTACGACAAGGACGGCGTCCTCGGCGAGTACCTCATCGGGCACGGCGCCGACGACACGATCGAAAACGCATTCGGTCTCTCGCCTTATGACGGTATTTCGGCCGAGTAGACTAGTTTCGGTGGCTTCTACACTTGGTAGTTGAGGAATAGAAGAAAGCGTTGGTAGATGCATCCGTCCTGGCGCCATCTCGTTGAAAGAATCACAGACACAACGTCGTCTCGTATTAGTGGCTCGAGAGCTCCAAGAACTCGTCCATGATCTCGTCGTGCAGCAGCTAATAGGCAGCGTGAGCACAGCATGATCCAATACGATATGAACCTGCGGGTACAAGCTCAGGAGCGTCGAGATGTAATGGCCCAAGTCGCGCTGGCGCTTCTCCACAAAGTCGGACGAGAGCGACGAGCCGAGGTATTTCTTGCTCGGCAACGACGGAAACGAGCTCGCAAGGTGCGGGTACTTTTCCCGCAGCTACGACTCCACCAGCATGGGCATCACGGTGAAGAGTCGAGACATACCAGTATGTCGATCGCACAAAACTCGCGGTATCGGCGAGCAGCATTCCACGACTACACACTGCAGGTTAGCAGGGCGCCGTCCGACGTGGCTGTCACCACGTACGCGCAGGCGGGCGCTGGGGTCCTGGACGTTGCAGCGCAGAATGTACTCCTAGCCGTCGCCGCCGTGAGCGCCCGACTCGGCGTCGCTCTGAAGCCGACGGTACCGTGTAGAACTTGCCGCTGTCCTGGTCCAGCGCCTCGTAGCTCCCAAAGACGTCGACCTTGACGGCCTCGTGCATGACCTCGGCCATCGTCGCGGCTTGCCTCGACTGCTGCTTGTTTTCACTGGATAGATTTGCGTGGTGTCGGTGAAAAACGTGAACAACGTGAAAAACAGAATCAGATCAACCGCTCTCGCTGCGCAATGCGTCGTTAAAGCCCGCTTGGCAGCGCATTGAGTGATCACAGAGAAGAGAGATGCGTAGTAGCTTCCTGTCAGCGTATGCGAGACCTATTTAATAGTACCAATCGACCACACGTCTTGCGTCTTGACTCGCAACCCAAGCGACGATATGGACTCGGCAAGAACGCGCCGCAGCTCTCGAGCGAACGCAGAGACGTGGATTGCAGTTGGTGAAGCGGCGTACTTCAAGCCCGTGCTTCAAGATCCTATAGACACGTCTGGCGTCGTGTCCTTTCTGCAGAAACTATCGGCTAGCCCGGCCGACGCGCAGCGTGATTTCCAGCGCATCTCGATGCACTCGTTCCAGGCCTCTCGTATGCTCCAGTTTTCGCGCCTCCTGCCGTGCCTGTGGCACGCACATAACCGGCGGTCTGTTCGTCGAGAGTGCCTGTGGCACGCACATAACCGGCGGTCTGTTCGTCGAGAGACTTGAGAGAGCGTGTCAAAGTTCTACTATCGAGGGCGTATCCAGATCAGCGCCAGAAGGGCACTTTGAAAAAGATGGCGCACTGCGTCTTGACGTCGCGGGACCTCTTGCGCGAGATGGGCGCGTACCAGAGCGGCTGCTACGCGGACCTCCTGCCCTTCCTTCGCCTTCTACAGAGCACGACGCCCCGCTACTTTCGGCTCAGCGACCACGGCGCCTTCCACGCCCTGCTCGAGCCTTGGCGCTCGGTGTTTAGCATTGACCGCTTCGTGCGCGCCAAGCCCGAGTGGGCCTCGTACGTCTTGAGCTACGCTGCGATCTACGGCAAGGTCGAGCTGCTCGCAGACTTGCACGCCCAGGGCCACTTTGTCAACGACGAGATTGTGTGGGCGCTCGCGGCCGAGCACGGGCACGTGTCCATCTTTGCCTTCTTGGCACGCATCGTCTGCGACCCGTACACGGCCACCGCCATGACGCACGCCGCCAAGTACAATCAACTTGCTGTCGTGCGCTTCTTGGACTCGCACTTTGGTCCGTGGCGCAACCGGTGGCCGCTCACGACGGCATGCAACCACGGCCACGTGGACGTCGCGCGCTACTTGTATGCGCACAGCGACGGCGCCAGCGTGCCCAACCTCATGCGCGGCGCGGCCATGCACGGACACCTCGCCGTGCTTGCGTTTTTGCACGAAAGCGGCTACGCGCACTGCAGCACGCTCGAAATGGACATGGCGGCCAGCCACGGCCACGTGGACGTGGTTCGGTATTTGCACACGCATCGAGGCGAGGGCTGCACGATGCGAGCCATGGACCTCGCGGCCATGCACGGCCACTTGGACGTTGTACAGTTCTTGCATCAACATCGCATCGAGGGCTGCACGACGGACGCGATGGACAGTGCAGCGAGTGAGGGCCACCTCAAGGTCGTCCAGTTCCTGCACGAGCATCGAGGCGAGGGCTGCACGACGGACGCCATGGACGGGGCCGCGATGCACGGGCATCTGGACATTGTCCACTTCTTGCACGAGCACCGGCGCGAGGGATGTTCAACGTCGGCGATGGACGGAGCAGCCATCTACGGCCACACGGACGTGCTCGTCTTCTTGAGCGAGAAGCGCCATGAAGGCTGTTCGGACGCCGCGCGCGCGTACGCCGCCAAGCACCAACCGCCGCACATCGTGCGCCTCCTCAACACACCCCGTCCTAGCTGAGGCGATGTTGAATTGTTGAATTGTTTTGGGCTGTTTTCTCCATCTGCGACGCCACCGAGAAAAGAGAGTGTGCGGACGAAGAGCCTTCTTCGTTCGAATGGATGATGATCTACTGTGTTGCCTACTTCTGCTTGACAATTTCCGCCTCCCTACACGACACATGAGGATCCATCCGAGACCTACGGAGTTGCGACGTACCAAGGGTTGACGCGGCTGTCGTCCGACCCGTCGTCTTCGTCCCACACGACGCGTAGCGCTTCCCACGGTAGGAGGCCGTTGGCCAACACTGGCAGTGACCCCGCCGTCGACGCGTTAAAGTACTCGGTCGGCATGCCCTTCGGGTCCCGGAACAAGACGCGAACCTTCTCGCCCGCCTTCCACGACCGGTTGACCGCCGTCTCGTAGCGCTTGGCGTCGACGAGGAACTCGGGCAGGCGGTTCTCGAGGCGCAGACTCACCGTGATGCGTGACGGCACCACGTCGGCCGGCAACTTGTCTTCGAGCTTGGCGCGACCGCGGCCCCGAGGTGCGACAGCATCGTCGCCCTTGAGCTCCGCCGCGTGCTTCTTGACGAGCGATTCGGCGACGGCCACGAGTGCCGTGGCCATCGGCGGCAGCGTCGGGAACCGGCCGTCGCAAAAGAGCTTGCAGTTCTTCGCGATGAGCTTGACGTCTGCGATAAAGGCCGCGCTATTGGGGTACTTGTCCTGCTTGATGCGCGCCGCCATCGTCGAGAGGTCCATGGGCTTGAGCACAATGTCCTTGTACGTCGGAAAGTCCGTCATCGAGACAGGTTCGAGGAACGGACCCGCGTTCACGTCGTGCTTGAGTTTGTTGAGGATGCGGAGGAGGACGCGGCCGACCTTTTGCGTCGCAGACGGGAGCGTGCAGAGGTGGCTCTTGGGCTCGAGGCGCGTCACGAGCGACTCGGACGGCGTGAGCACCAAGACCGCGTACGGGTCACCGTTCCCGTGGTGGTACCCGACCTTGGAGACAGTGCACGCGACGGTTTGCTCGTGCACGACCGTGTCCACGGGCCGCGCGAGCGGCGTCGCATGCTTGACTTTCGCGTCGTCGGCGAGCGCCTGCGCGTGGCCGTTGCCAAAGTACACGACGTTGTGGCCGACGTCGGGGCAAAAGTTACGCGCGGCCTTGGGACGCAGCTGCAGCCAGTCTTTCCGCGTGAGCTCGACGACCATGTCCATCCAGAGGTCCATGACCACGCCTTGCCGGAGCCACGCCGCGAGAAGTACGAGCAGCTGCGGCACCGTCTTGCTGCCCGCGACCATCGGTCGCCACCCGAGTCGCTGGGCGCGCCAGTGCGACTGAAGACACTCGGCCGGTAACGCGTCCAGCATGCGCGCTTCGGTGGTTAGCGTGCTCTCGATGGCGTCGGCCAGTGACTGCACCGACGGCGCCGGCGTCTTGTCGCCGAGTAGCGACGCGAGTCCGGCGAGGGCCGTGCTCACGGCTTGCAGGGCGGGTGCCGTTGTCGGGAGGGCAAACACGGGCAGCGGGAGACACGCCCCGAGGCAGTAGGTCGACTCGGGCGCGAGGTCCGGTGGCGCCACGTACGGGACCTTGAGGTGCGCGATGATGTCGTCTGCAATGAGCTCGAGTTTTTCTTTGAGCTCGACCTCGCGGATGCCCTTGGGGTTAAGCCACTGGAGGAGCGAGTCGATCTCGTCTTCCTTCGTGTACGTGTGGAACGCACCCGTGTCGTTGTGCTCCCAGACCAAGAGGGGACCGTCCATGACGTAATAGCGGTGATGGAACCGGTCTTTGCCCAAAGGCGCGCAGCGGATGCGGAGACCGCTGAGCTGTTGACGCAGCATCGCTTCCTTGGCGCTCGACTCGCGGCTGTACGCGGCCTCTTCGGCCGACCGCTCGGCCGTAATGTTGGCGTAAAACTCGGCAATGAACGCGTGCTTCTTCTTCGTCGCGTCCGAAAACACATTGTTGTAGTTGGTCGGAATCCCTTCGTTGATGCACAGTTGGCGAAACGCCTCTTCGCGTTCGCGCCGGCCCTTCTCGGCGTTGCGTCGCACCTGGTCGCGGTCTCGCTCGTCCTTGCGGAACTCGCGCCAAATTTCAAACTCCTTCTCGACGTTGTGGTGCATGTCATTCCTAACCACAAGGTTTTTCAGCAAGCAGGATACCCACATGTCTTCGTACCGGACACGTTCGAGCTGCAGCAATTCGTGGCAGGCCCACGACAGCGCCTGCACGCGCAATTCGAGCGGCAACTACCCAAACCCAGTTGTTGGCACAGTAGCGTGCTACGCATTCGTACCTCGCTAAACTCGGTCGCATCGAGCGCATCAGCAAGCGCGTCCGTCGATGGCGGTCTGGACGTCGCGTGCAGGTAGAGGGCCACGTCGGCCGCGCAGGCCTCTCGCAGCGTCGCCGCCGCGCGGCCAATCTCCGACTCGGCGCCGTTGTACAAGATCGCGTTCGACCAAATGAGGTCGAGGTCGTCGAGGAAGGCGTCCGGGTTCGCTTCGTACATGCGCGCGTGCAGCTGCGTCAGGAGCGTGTGCAGATCCATGGGCCGCGTGACAATGCTCGGGTAGTCGGCCAAGTTCATTGCTTCAAAGTCGACGGGTCGCAAGAACGGACCCGCGTGGGCGTGCTGCATGAGCGACTGCAGCACGAGCTCGCGCCCGTACCAGCCGTCCCACGCGCCGACGAGATACGCGTCGAGTGGTCGCGACGCCGAGAGATGCAGCAGTTGCCGCAGCGCCTCGGGCCAGTTGAAGACCGTGAGAGCAAACGTCTGGTCGCGGAGGCCGTAGACCGTACCCGCGGTTTTTGGCAGCGGCGACCGAAACTGCGTGTACGTCGGCACTTCGCGCACGAGCGTCTCGAGGACGGCGACAAAGATTTCGCTGCGCACGAGCGACGCGCCGCCATGCACCATGCAGAGCACGAAGCTCGTAAACGTCAAGGTCGGCGGCAGGGCGCTCAGGACGTCGCGGTACGCGCCGAGAAGCTGGTACAGCATCGCGAGGTCGCCGAGGAGCTGTCCCGACAGCGTCGGCGTGAGCGGAAACGTCGTGTCGACCGGCCACTGTGGCACGCGCATCTGGTCGTCTTCGGGCAGCTCGAGAAGCACGTCGAGGTCTTCCATGGGGTATTTTTTCTTCTCGAGCCGGTCCTTCTCCATCTGCTTGCGGATCTCTTCGCGCTGGCGGCGCTCGTCGTCGGCCTTTTGTCGCCGCTCGAGGACTTCGCGCTCGCGCTGGAGGCGGCGCGCTTCAACATCCGCCTTTTGCTTCTCGTGCTTTGCGACGCGCACTTCGAGGCTTTCGTGCATGCGGTAGAGCTGCTTGAAGAAGGCGCACTGGAGCCAGCCCTCGAACGGCGCCCCGAGATTCCCGACTTGGTTGGCGATAAACTTGCAGTGCTCGATGAGAAACTTGATCGTGAGCGGATACCGGCCGAGGATGCTCTGCTCGATCACTTGCTGGAGCGTCGCGCGGTAGCTCAGGCCCGGGTGCTTCGGCAGCCACTCGCGCAGCACCGAGGCGATGTGGAAGCACGCCTCAAACATAAGTCGCGGCTTGGTAAAGTGGCGGCGGTAGCTCCAGTGCGGGAGCATGCCCGATATCGGCCCCGCAATCTTGTACCACGCGTGCGCCGTGATGACCCACAGCGTCGGGTCGCCGTCCGTGTAGTCGAGGCACCAGTCCGAGATCTCGGGCAACCACACGCGCTGCGTCGCGCACTTGGGCGGGTGCCGGAACCCGCACTCGAGCAGCTCCAAAGAGGCTTCCGAGACGCCGTCGATGCGGACGCTTCGGACGCCGTCGGCGCGCATGAGGTCGTCGAGGTCGGCGCCCACGACCGTGGGTGTCCGGTTGTGCACCTTGACGTACGACGTGGCCGGCGTCTTCTTCTTTCCGATCGGTCGCGTGTCGCTCTCGGACGGACTGCTCTCGTACGGATCCGGCTCTGCACTCACAGGCGCGGGCGGCGGCGGCGGCGTGCGTAGCACGCTGCTACTCGCCGACGACGACGAAGACGACGACGACGACGACGACGAGCTGCTGTCCGAGCTGCTGCTTTCGTTGCCCGAGTCGTCGGCGCCGTCGTACTGCCGACGGACGCGCGCAGCCGATTGGTACCGAGGGTACGGATGCCGAAAGACCGCCGGGAAGAGAGGCAGGCCCTCCATCGCGTCGTCGTCGTCGTCAGCAACGTCGTGACAGGCCCCGTCGAGTTGGTCGAGCTTGGGCTTCTTGGCCTCGGCGGCAAACTCGGCTTCGAGTGGTCGCTTGCGCTTCACGTGGGACTCTACACATCGCGAGGCGTCGTGAGAGCACGTCGCATGTGCCATCGGTCGACCGGTTGTCGCATCACTCTCCGTGTTGACGTCGCTCTCTGTGTTGTGGTCATCGTCGTCCTCTTCGTCGGAGGCGAGCTTCCGGGCGGCCGGGTTCTTGCCCGATTTCGTTGGCTTGCGCTTCCGGGCGGCCGTCGCGGACGGCGGGGCAATGTCCGGCATGTAGTATCGCACTGGTGGCGGCAGCTCCTCGAACGAAAGCGGCTGGACGACAGTGCCAAAGGCCATGATGAGCGGTCGCTGGTCGCGCGGAAGCTCAAACACGTCGAGGCTAATGGGTTGTCTACAGAGATGGTAAGGAAGACGGCGTTCCTGGCCGACACGAGACGTACCCCGACTGATCGCAAAAGTAAAACTGGTCGAGGTTGCGAAGCACGTCGCCACCCGCGTCGTTCGGGTGGAAGTTGTAGATGCGACCATCGATCGCGCTTTCATCGACTTCGACGGGGGCGTTCGTCGCCAAGTCGGGCGCCACGAGCTCCAGTTCACGACGCCCACGCAGCTCGACGGCGCTCGGCGTGCAGACGTCGCCGGGATCGCCTTTGACAAGCTGGATCACAGTCGCCGAGGCCTGTTTTACGACGGGAGGTTTACGCTGGGGCGTGGGTAGCAAGTGCATCATTGGCGGTGGCGGCGGCGGCGGCGTTGCGATGGCCTTCTTGACGGCCTTCCCTTTCGCAGCCTTTGTACCTGGAGGCGGCGGGGGTGGCTTTGGCTTCGGAGCCGCCTTCGGTTTCGGTTTGGCCCGAGGCTTTGGCTCGGGCTTTGGCTTGCCGGCTTTCGCTGCCGCGGCTTGTATTTCCTTGGCCGTGTTGGGCGACACGCGAAATCGGATCTTCTCGAGAGGCTGTGGAGGCGGTGCTGCACTATCGGAGCTGTCATCGTCCGACGATGAGTCGCCGGAGCTCGAGCTGCTACTGCTGGGACTGCCGCTGCTCAGACTGCTGCTGTCGGAGCAGTACTGGCCCTCGCGGGCCATCAAGTCGCTGAGGGTCATCTCGGTCACCATGGTCTCGCTACAAGGTGGCCATGAGCTCGCTCCTCGATGCATGCCACATACGTCCTGTCGCGTCCTTGTCTCCGCGGGGCTACTGGCGGCGAGCGTAACGAACAGACCTCGACCGGGTTTGTGGAGGCAGGCAAACTAGGGCCCAAGAGGAGCCAGCCATCCCCTGGTTTTATTGCCGAAAGTCCGAAATTAAAGTATTGGCCGTTTTTTCGCGGGCAAAATTCGGCATGGCTAGAATCACGCCATTTCGCGCCAGAATTTACAAGATGTGGCCGATCGCTGGACGAGGCGTATGAAACCATAGCGCACAAGCATACAACTCGCAGGCTTTGACACGTGACCATAACCGACGTATGCAGCAGAGACGCGCATGCAAGCGTTGTCGTCGGCTGCCGCGTTGGAGTGTACTACCGGTGTTCCATTCGTGTCGATTACACGTGAAGGCAAAGTCTGCTGGTGGAGCTATTGTGGATCATTGATTGCCTGAGGCGGTTTATCTGCGCCAGCAATACTGCAGCAGTCCTGCAGAAAACTGGTTTGGGCTACCGAGACTACGTATAAAATTCCGGGCTAAACTATCCAGTGGGACGCGTCGTTGGCTTTTTCATGGCACTTGCTTCCGTTAGAGCATCTAGAAACGCATTCAAGCGATCGGCTCTCGAGTGGGATGTCCTGGCACGCGCCCTTGCCACTTGTCAAACCGAGATAATCTCGGTCGAGTCAGTGTGGCGCCTTAAGTTGCGTGATTCTAGTACCTGTACCCCTCGCAGCTTGAAATTCCGAAGTGTCCGAATTTCGCACCGCGCGTCCTATTTCTAGCGCACACACCAAATCGCCATGTGACACACTATTTCCCAGTGACGACGACCGCAAGCAGCATGGAAGGGCGCCCCGCTCCGCCTGGCCGCCGGCCCAAGGCGCGCGTGCCTGTCAAGGCCATGGACATGCATGTCGAAGCAACCATCGACGCCCCGGTGCTTCCGTCGCCGACTCTAAAGCAAGCGGTCGATGAGATCGAACAAGGCGATGGCGCGACCTCGGACGCATCGACGTGCGACGATGCCCCGCCCGATGCCAGCGAGGAAGAGGCTCGGCAGGATGCACCGACGACAGAAGTGGATGCACCCTCGAGCCCATCAGCTGGCAACGCGAACGTAGCGACGCCTGTGCCCGAGGACGACGTTAACGTGGCCATCGTTGACGTCGACACGACCGTAGCGACGGAGCCCACGCCGCCGTCTTACAACGACGCTACGGACGCTGTACCTGCGCCGGAGACGCCGATTGAAGAAGCGCCGCCGGCCACGGGGTCGTACTATGGCCTCGAAGCCCTCCTGGCGCCGTTCACATCCGTGCCCGACGTCCCACCGCTTGAGTCGCTCGAGTGCGTCTATAACGAGGACGCTGTGGAGCTGCAGAAGCTCATCTTTCGCGCTGTCAAGATGTGCACGAACAAGAACAAGCTCAAGCTCGAAGAGTTCAAGATCAACGGGCGTCTGTATGGCAATGGCTTCATGGAGCCCCACGAGTACATTGACGCGATCGCGGCCGACGTTGGCAGTCTCGAAGTGCTCATCCTCGTCCCGTGCATGCTGCGCTTGCAGCCCGACCGCATGGCGAAGAAGACGCTCTGGCTCGCCTTGCGTGCGTACCGAGCGATGCACCTCGCCGCGTTGACGCGCCAAATCGCACCGTTTTGAGACGCCACGTAGCATATGTACTACTCCTCTGTCAACGCCGTCTTGCATACCGCTATCATTCGGCGTAGCTAAGAAGCCCACTGTGCGACTCGACGGCGCGGACGGTGTCGAGTCGCCGGCGGTCCTTCGCATCTCGTTCTCGCCCGCAGCAGAGCATGTCTGTGGAAGCAGAAGACAGATTCAACGATCACTTGCGGTACGAAGCTGGCAGCGCCGTCGACCCCATCGCATCCTTCCGCCGTTCTCGAACGCGCAAGTGTGATTTTCGAACTTTCCACATTTCCGCCGCGTACCTTGCAGTTTGTATACGGCGCTATCGAGGGGTAGGTTCCCTGGGTTGACGGACATGCAAACGGGTGCTTGTCACGCGCATACAAACCCCACGTCTAGTGAAACGCCGCATGCCAACGCCCGGACCGAAATATCGAAAGATACATTTGAGCTGGAAATTGGCCCAGCGCCGGTAGCACATTAGATTCGATTTTGTGTTGCCCGATGACGATGGCCCGGCCCGACGACGACCTTGCCGTTGACGTCGCCGTGCGCACGACGTGCGACATGCTCGCAGACGACCCGATGGACGAAGAAGAGGACGTGGTCGACGACGACGACGAAGATGAGGACGACGAGATGGACGGCGACGCCGGCAGCAGCAGCAATTGCAGTAGCAGCACCGAAGACGATAGTGTCCCGTCCAAGCGGTACTGGCGAGAGCAGCTCGAGTTCCTGCGAGAATGCTCTGGCGGTGAAGACGACGACGAGCACGCAGACGATGCGCTCACCGGCCACAAGCGCGCTGGCACGCGCGCCAAGCCACGCAAAACGGCCGCCAAACCCGTCGCGACGCGGACGCGGGTGTGGACGCAGGTCGTCGGCTTTGACGACCTCAAGCAGTGGTTTCACGTGCCGATGAAAGAGGCCGCGCTGCACTTTGGTGTGCAAATTACATCGCTCAAGAAGATGTGTCGGCGCAATGGCATCAAGCGATGGCCGCACCGCCAAGTGCGGTCGCTCTCTCGCGCGATCGACTCGATCATGTCGGCCATGGGCACCGCGTCGCCCAAAGAAAAACAGGAGCTCGAGCAAATGGCGCTCGAGCTGCGACAGAAGCGGCAGTCGGTCATTGACTTCCCCAACAAGCAGCAGTCCTCGCAGCAATCGTCACAATCGCACTTCTCGACGGTCCTCAGCAAAGCCGTCATGTCACCATCGGCCTTCAGTGAGAAGGAGATGGCGATGATGGCACCGCGCGTACCTCGGGTGCGGGCCAAAGTGGCACCGCTACAAGCGCACACGGATGGCATCAAGGTCGAGCCGTGCCTCAAGTCGGAGCTCGACGACGACCTCAGCCCGACCAGCAGCAACGGTAGCACGAAACGCGGCGGCCGCTGGCTTGCCGAAGAGCACCAGCTCTTCCTCGAAGGACTTCGCGCGTACGGGAAGAACTGGAAGAAGGTCGCACAAGTCGTGCCAACGCGGTCGACCGTGCAGATCCGAACGCACGCGCAGAAGTTCTTCAAGCGCATGTCCCAGGAACGAATGTCACCGACGGCGTCCGGGAAGGAACATCACATCTACCTGGCGTCGGACGCCGAGGCTTCTGCGTGGTTTGAGCCCGTCGAGCTCATCGCAGACGACTGCCCAAGTGGCGCCAAGTTCTTTGACCAGCATCGCGACTTCTTTCCCGAGTTCCCCGACTTTGACGCGACCCTCGAGCAATTCCAATTTTGACGCGTTAATTTAGACGACGACGACATACGAGGACGTATTACACGTCGTACACATAGTGACCGAACGGCGGTCTGGCTTAGATTAACGCGTTCAAATACACCCTGTACACAGTCTGCCATCGCGAGGACTATGGTAGCAGCGTTGCGCTGTCGTGGTATCGTGTCTCGCCAACGAGGCGCCTGATATCCACTTTAAAAGAATGCGTTTCGGACTGCCACGTATTAAACGTGTTAATAGTACAAACCTACTCGCGTTAAATAATTAACGCCGTTCAACGCGATTAACCCGTTCGGACTTAACGGCCTGACGCAAAGATTTGGATTTCGGAGACACATGACCAACATCGAGTCGGTGCTCCAAGCCCGGGAGCGACAGCAGCTGCGGCCCCGGCGCCTCACGACGCCCGTAGCCTACACGGACGAGCTACTCGGCGGGTTTGCGCCCCATGCCATATCTCCCATCCGCCGCCTCCACAGCCATGCGGCGCTCGTCAAGCGCTTGGTCTGCGACAGCGTGCTGGATGGCCACCACGGCTGCGTGAACCGCCTTAGCTGGAACCGCGATGGATCGCTCCTTGCATCGGGCTCGGATGACACGAACGTCGTGCTCTGGGACTTTCATCGCCGTACGTCGTCGACATCTCTACATATCGTCATCGTCTTCTCATGCGATGTCTAGGGAACGCCCGCCTTACGATCGCGACGGGGCACTCGATGAACATCTTTGGCGTGTGCTTTGTGCCTGGGACGAACGACCACGTTGTGGCGTCCGCTGGCATGGACTGTGAGGTACGTCTGCACCACGCGCCGTTCCGTCCGCAAGGCTCGGAGCTTCTCGCGAGCCACACTGGACGCGTCAAAGACCTTGCAGCGTCCCACCTCGTCCCACACGTCTTTTGGAGCGGCGGCGAAGATGGCATCGTGCGGCAGTTTGACATTCGCGCGCTCGGCGATCGCAACAACGCCCGGAACACGCTCGTCAACCTCGGTCGCCCGCGTCTCGATGCCCGGCGCCTGACCGTGATGGGCATGAGCATGCACCCGGCGGACGCAACCAAGATGGCGATAGCGTGCGGCGACCACTATGTTCGCATCTTTGATCGACGCATGCTCCGCATGAACGAAGAGCACGCTTCGGTGCCGCTGCAGCTGCTGACGCCGCCCCACTTGCACTTTGACGCCGGTCTGGATTCGCTGACGCGGTACCACATCCGTGAAGCCCATGGCACAAGCGTCCAGTACAGTCCGGATGGCAACCAGATCTTGGCCAACTACCACAACGACCACATCTACCTCTTTGACGTGAACGAGCGGACGGCGTTCAAACCACTCGAGCCGGTGTGGACGCATGGGATGCACATGGACGCGTGGGCGTACGACAAACCGGCGCCGTCCGAGCCGCTCAACGACCTACTCGACCTCGCTGAGAAGTGCGTTGAGTGGTCCAAGCCGTCGGCGGCACTCGAGATCCTCCGCACGTTGCGCCCGCCGAACTGGCAAGACAACGCGATTGTCCTTCGGCTCTGGACGACACTGGCGCGCGCGTACATCGGGCGAGCATGGCGCGGTGATGGCTTTCTCGCGCTGCAGTACGTCCTTCGGTGCCTTCAGCGGACGCCGACGCCGACGGACGACCTGCTGCTCGTCTACATCCAAGCACTCTCGGCCAGTGGCCGCCAGCGCGCCAGTCGTCGCGAGGCCCAGCGTCTCTTGCGCACTGCGCCCTTGCTGGCCGAAAAACTGGCTCCGTTTCTGCTCAAGCGCCGACGCCCAAGCGTCGAGTCTTCACTCGAGGACGAAGACGACGATGATCAAGATGATCAAGATGATCAAGATGATCAAGATGATCAAGACGATCACAGTGACGACACGGATAGAATGGACGAGAGCGAAGCGACAGAAGGGGGCGCGTACGAGGATGCGACGTTCGAACTCGCGTCGTCGCCCGAGAGGTCCTCGCCATCGTCGGAGTCGGAGTCGTCGAGTGGACGATTGTCGATCGAGAGCGCGGACGAAGGTGGTGTTGCACCCATCGATTGGGGCAATTTCCACCTCGCGGACGCTACAGATGCCACGCTGCACGTCCTTCGGCGCTACATTGGCTACTGCAACCTGCACACGGACATCAAGGAGGCGACGTTCTTTGGCGACGAGCACATTGTGGCCGGGAGCGATGACGGATACGCGTACATTTGGGACCGCGCGACCGGCTGCCTTGTGAACGCGCTCAAGGCGGACGAGGACATTGTCAACTGCGTGCAGGGCCACCCGCTCCAGCCCGTGCTCGCGACAAGCGGCATCGAGAACGTCGTCCGGCTCTGGTCGCCGGTCGCCGACGTCGACGTGTCACCGACGGAAGACGAGTTGGACGCACTCGTGGGGGCGAACCAGCGGCAAATGCAACAAGAAGCGACGTTTCACGAGCGGCACCGCCACGCCGCCCGCGTCACGCGTATCATGGAGAACCCCGAATTGCTGCGGATGCTCTTGACGGGCCGGCCGACGGAGGGTGCGTCGGGTGGGATTCCACCGTGTGCCCAGAGCTGATTGCGTGCGTGCTTTGGTTCAGAGACAGAGTAGCGTAGTATTGTGCAACACTACAATGAGAAACAACTCGATGAACTAACTGTCCACTGAGAATGTCATTTGACGATTTCTCCACACCAAACGACAAAACAGCACGTCGTTTCAAGGTTGGTGGCAACAAATCGAGTCGCTTACTGGTCCTGCGTCGGCTTCATCGTCGGGAACAGAATGACCTCCTACACACCGAGCGCAATCGTTCAATAACAAGCAACTTGGGAAGCGTACGCGAATGTGGGGCATGCCCGTGAGCATCATCACAAGGCGGTCGATACCGATCCCAAACCCGGCGGTGGGCGGCAGACCAAATTCGAGCGCGTGGCAAAAGGCTTCGTCCTTGACGTGTGCTTCCGTGTCGCCCGTCTCGCGGTCCTTGGTTTGCGTCGCGAAGCGCTCGCGCTGCTCGTCCGGGTCGTTGAGCTCCGTGTAGGCGTTGCAGAGCTCTTTGCCGCCCACGAAGAGCTCGAAGCGCTCGGTCACGAGTGGCTACAGGTCCATTCGATTGCGTTTGAATCCATAATGGCAAGGAAGGATGTACGTCGTCGCGGTGGGCCTTGGCGAGCGGGCTCAGCAACGCTGGGTGGTGGATGAGGAACGTCGGGTTCACACACTGCGGCTCGAGGTACTCGCCGATGAGGCAGTCGATGACGCGGGCAGGGGTGTGCGGCTTGGGACACACGACGTCACGTGCGTCGCAGATGGCGAGAAGCTTCGGCACCAGCTCTAGTTTTGGCGGTGAGAAAAAACACTCTAGAATCGGGTGCATAAAGTACATACCAGGGTCGTCCATGGCGGGCAGGGGCTCGCCCAAGGCTTCCTCCAGGCCTTCCAGGATCGAGATGCGCTTGAATGGCGGCGAAAAGTCAATGGATTGGCCGTTCCATTCGACGTTGTACGACCCATTGACCGACTGCACAAGGCGTAAGTGTTGTCAAGGACGCGTTCTGATAGGATATAGTAGCGTAGAGGAAGAGAGTCGGAAAGGATATCAGACAACATGTCTTCGGCCGTCGTCATGAACGTGTTGTAGTCAGCGTACGCTTGGTAGAACTCGCACATCGTGAACTCGGGGTTGTGGGACTGATCGACGCCTAGAAAAGAACGGTTGGAAGAGAACCGAGTTTGGTGCCAAGTACCTTCGTTGCGGAAGACCTTGCCGATCTCGAAGACACGGTCCATGCCGCCAATGACAAGTTGCTAGAGTCCGTGAACATGAAGACAATATTAGCAACTGGTGCTATACCTTGAGGTACAGCTCTGGGGCGATGCGGAGGAAGAGGTCGGTGTGCAAAGCACGCGACGTTGTCGTAAAAGGGTTGGCGGCCGCGCCGCCAGCAGCCGTGCACAGGATCGGCGTCTCGACTTCGATAAAGTCGCGGTCTTCCAGGTACCGGCGAATGTATTGAATCACCTACGACCCAACGATTAAATGCAGTGAAAAGAGCAACACGTATGGCACCTTGGCGCGCGTCGTGAAAATCCCTCGGACGTCCTTGTTCGTGAGGAGGTCAAGGTACTTTTGGCGGAACCGAATGTCCTAAACACGCTTGTGAGAAGATGGCAGCTGTAAGCGATGCGTACAATCTCCTTGAGGCCGTACTTCGAGTTGGGGAACGGCGCCAAGCAGGGCGAGAGCACGCTGACGTGCTGCGGAATGATACTAAGCTCGCCTTTGCCCGACTTGCCCGGGAAGCCGTGGACGCCAATGATGTCGCCACGCCGAAGCGAGTCATGCACATGCTCAAAGGCCTTGTCGCTCGTGTCGTCGGCGTTGGCGTAGTGCTTGCGCTCTGCAAGCACTTGCACTTCGTGGCCGTCGTTGCAAATGTCGAGGAAGATGAGCTTCTTGCTCGCCGCGCGGATGGATGTGATGCGCCCTACATATCGTGAGCCATGGCATTGAGTGTGAGCGTTATACCGGCAAGCGAGACGGGCACATCGCTCAAGCGGGCCTTTGCCGGCAGGTCGTCGTACTTGGCGATAAAATCCTTGACCGTCATCGTTACGGGAAAGTGGTTCGGGTACCGCGTGTAGCCCTCGATGTCTTCAAAGCGGCGATGGGTCATGTCTTCGTCCTTGTCATCTCTAGTCGTCGAGAAGAGGCGTGCCCATGGGCGGGCGGTGGCGGCGACGGACGAGCGCGCCAGGAGCGAGCGGTGCTGAAGCATCATGGCTTTCGAGGTGATCCTTGGCGTTCATTGGTTCAAGCTTCCTCGTGATTGGTGCGTTTCGGACGTTAGAAACACCCAACTTTGAACCACGCCCCAGGTTTACCACAAGCATCACGCTGCAGCAAAACAAGCAACGCAAGACAGCGGGCGTGCTTTGATAATGCAGAGTAGGTACCTCGCGACATACGTGTTTAGATGCGCGCATTGCGCCCCCGACGTACTGTATTTCGGCGATGGACGGAAGGGTTCCAAAGCTTTCAAACAGAGATCACAACCACTCGCATCCGATTCAAAAGGGGTGCGAAAAAGAATATTGAGTTCGTATTGACAAAGGTGCGAGGGAGCTTTACGACGGGTAGCAATGGCGATACGATTTTTCGGTGAGTGTTTGTGGTGGTCGGCCATTCATTACCATGCTCGCAGCTCGCAGAAGCGCCATTGATTGCCTTCGTTGCCCACACCATTGCATCAATCATTGCTGCTCCACGAAGCGACAGCAGCTCCCATCACAACGATGGTTTTACCTGTGCTTTCTTCCCGCGATCCCATGGACGCGGGGTCGCGCTTGCTCATTCGCTCATCTATAATCCAAGGAGCCAATCTGAAGCCGTTCCCTTAATTGCAGTGATTTGATTGGCCTATAATCCAAGCTGGTTTGGCTTCGTGAACGTGATCTACGCTCGCCAAGACCTTTCAAAGCTGCCACCAGCGAAGGTGCGTCAACTGTGCGCTACTCCTTGGCTCCATAGTCGAGAGCGCTAGCGGCTGCGCATGATGTTTTGCTTTACAGGACACATGTGGGGCGTCATATCGATGGATGCATTTGCGTAAGGTTGCGTGCTCGTAGCCTCAATGCGGCGTTGACGAAACTATGCCTCCGCTCAGAACTCAAGTAGTCGTCTCAGAAGCAAGATGCGCGAGTACGATGCAGTGATCTTTGGCGCCTCGGGCTTCACGGGCCAGTACATTGCCGTCGAGTGGGCCAAGACTGCCGCACCCGGCTCCCGCTGGGCTTTGGCCGGTCGGTCCCAAGCCAAGCTCGAATGTAAGCTTATTGCGAAGCGTGTTGCGCACGTCCATTCTCATGTCCCGGTGGTAGCTACGCGCGCGCATGTGCAGGCGGCGACGGGCTCGACAGAAGCGATCCCGATCGTCATTGCCGACGTCTTTGATGGTCCGGCCATGGCGGCGATGGCAGCGTCGACGCGTCTCGTGGTCAACTGCACGGGGCCGTTCCGCCTCTTTGGCGAGCCCGTCGTGCGCGCGTGCGTCGAGGCCGGTACGCACTACGTCGACATTACCGGCGAGCCGCAGTTCATCGAGACGATGGCGCTGCGCTACGACGCGACGGCCAAGCAGAACAACGCGCTGGTCGTGCACTCGTGTGGCTTTGACTCGATTCCAGCGGACATGGGCACGGTGTTTGTGACCAACCAGTTCCCCTCCGGCGGCGCCTGCGCGAGCGTTGAAGCGTTCATCTCGATGCACGGCAAGCGCGGCCATGCGACAACCTACGAGTGCATCGTCCGAGGGCTTGCGGCGGCCGACGATCTCAAGAGCCTCCGCCAAGCCAACGCGATCAAGGTATTCTTACCGCATTTCTGAACTCCGCGTCAACAGATGCGTGCAGGTGCCGTACTTTGGTCCGCGACTGACGCTGCGCAACGTGGGCTACGACCCGCGCGTCCAAAAGTACATTCTCAAGTTCCTCGGCGCCGACGCGTCGGTCGTGCGTGCGACGCAAAAGCACCTCGTGGCATCCGATGCGCCGACGCCGCCGACGCAATTTGCCGTGTACGCGACGTTTGCGAGCGCGTTTAGCTTTGTGCCGCTCGTGCTCAGTGGGCTTGCGCTCTATGTGCTCGGACGCTTCGAGGCCGGGCGCCGCCTCTTGATTGCGCACCCCGGGTGGTTTACATTTGGGTACTTTACGCACGCCGGGCCGAGCGCTGACGAGATGGCGCACAGCGGGTTCTCGCACCGCTTCTTCGCCAAGGGCTACAAGGACAAGGCGACGATCCACGCGTCGCCCGACTGGGAGGTCGTTGCGCGCGTCGACGGCCCCGAGCCCGGCTACGTGGCGACGTCGAGCATGGTCGTGAGCGCCGCGCGGGTCGTCCTGGACGGCGAGGTGCCAATCACTGGTGGCGTGCTCACGCCAGGCGCGGCTTTCCGCAGCACGTCGCTCATCGAGCGCCTCCAAGCCCGCGGCATCAACTTTACGCTGGAGAAGAGCCAGAGTCTCGTCGCGTAGACTGCGATTTTTAGGCAACAACAGCATGAGCAACTATTAGTCCGGGTGGTCTACGCCTGCTTGGTCTTGGCCGCAAACATGGAAGTGCCACGCGCACGGTAGAGGAAAAAGACGGGCGCGATCGCGAACGGAAGGTACGAGCCGAGGATCACGAGCGGCGCCGGCGTCGCAAACTCGCCAAAAAACTGCTCGACGAGGACGATGGCGTGCGCTACTGATGTTTGGAAACCACATTTGTCTCAAACAAATATGCAACGGTGGAGCGTATGAAAAGGATATCATCGTGGTCAGCGACATGGAGGCGTAGACGAGCGTCGGGACGCGGATCCATTCGCAGCCTGCAGAGATATCGTCGACAAATGCAAAGCGGCAACAGCGAGAGTATTACCGTGCAGGAAGGCGTACGTCGCCGCAATGTAGTACGGCACCTGGAGCGTCATCTCCATGTAAAAGCACACCTGCGCACCATGAGGACATAGGATGCCGATGAAGTGAATACGGACCAAGAACCACAGCGGACGCGCACCCAAGAGCGGGTCAAAGCGCCGGCACCATTCATGCAGCGCCAGCACGACGGCTTGCGGCGGCCAGTTGACGAGGGGCTCGACCTGACCAAGCGTGGTGAGGCGTCGACTGTTGGGGTCGTACGCACCTTGCCGTACGTGGCAGGGTCGTGCAAGACCGCTTCGGCATCGCAGATGAGGGCGATCGTGAGGCTCATGAGGCAGTAGCCGATGAAGAACCAGTCCAAGCCGATGTTGGCGCGCATACTGACGTTGCTTCTTGTTGCTGGACGAACGCAAAATGACGCACCCGCGCGCGAGCAACCTCTTATAATTAGTATTTATTATCAGTTTGCACAGTACACAACGCGCCATCAGATCAGCGATGCAACATGACAATTCGTCCACAAGGCTAGCCACATCGCAGAGGTAACGAGTACCAAATGTGCTGATTCTAACTCTGGTAGAAGAGGTGGCAGAAAAATAACACACAACAGAGCGTCTGACGGAACGCACGTCTCTCTTTTGATATGAACGCGTGCTTGCAAGCATAAGACCAGCCAGGTCTCCGAACGGCAATGTTCGCGCGCTCCGGAGGTTTCTGCGCTTTGGCGCCAGAAAACAGGTCCCGCTGGTAGGAACTTTTGAATGCGAAGCATTGTTTACCGGTAATAGCGACGCGCCGTCGTCGCTTGCTGCTGTCTTCAATGTGGTATGGCACCTGGGTTATCTGGGTATCCTACGTAGCTCTTCCGGAGCATCTTTGACGCCTTCGTCATGAGTCGAGTACGTCGATGGGGTCGCTGCGGTGGGTTGCTCACGCTTCGCGAGTCTTGCCTTCCTTCAGGTTTCTTGCATCCTCTGCGCTTGCCGCTCCCGGAGGAGCTCCGCCTCGTATACCGCTCGTGGCTTCCCATTTGGCTCCATGGTACTAGAAGACGTCCAATGGAGGGCGTCCTTGGTATGGCAGTTGTCTCCGCGCGCTTCCGTCGGAAGCTCGCTGTGAGGCTCTACTAGGTGCGGCTGTGAGGGCATGATGTACTCTGATAAGCGCGTCGTACTTGATGAATACAGCTGATACAACATCAGGTATAATGTGCCGCATGTGACAGTACTTAACGGGGACCTCAAAATCGCACTTCATGGGATATGCTCCGCGCGATGCGATTGGCTGATACAAATGAAACTGCGTTTTATTGATCAAAATGGCTCTATATATAGCCGGCTCTCTCTCCGGATGTCAAACATAAACAAGAAATCTTGGTAGCAAAAGCAGTCTAT